GCGCATGCCTTGAACAACTCAAAGACGATGGGTTGTGGCATCCAATCGCATTCTATTCGAAAAGCCTCAATGAGGCTGAGCAGAACTATGAAATCTATGACAAAGAGATGCTCGCAATCATTCGAGCGTTGGAAGAATACCGACAACATCTCGAAGGTCATCCGCTCCCAGTCGAAATTTGGTCCGATCACCAGAACTTAACCTATTTCAAATCAGCACAAAAACTGATGAGACGGCAAGCTCGATGGTCGCTCTATCTTACACGGTTCAACATCCAACTACATCACAAACCAGGGAAATCAATGCATCACGCTTGTCACAAATACAGTCCTTGTAACCCTAACCATTCTCATATAAATACCCTAAGTGCCAGCACTAAGCGCTGGACCAGGCTATACATCACCTAGCCAGGTATCCAAGCGCACATCTGTATATTACACGGATGGTGCTGACGCACATAGCATATTACATTACATATGCTGGTATAGAGAATAGGTTACACGGGTTACCTGTGAAGGACTAGATCCAACATATAGTCTCATGTCCTCATGTGACCTCCAGCGGGCTATGCTGCTACAAGGGCCTACAGCCGAAAGGTGCCCAGCAAGCGTAGAACGAAGGAAATCTAGTCACGTGACTAAAAGCCCTGAAAAGGAATACGTCACAAATGTGCCGATCATATACAATCTGACACAATGGATCGTATCACGATCATAGTTCCCAAGGGAACCATTGAGTCCTACAATAGATTGTATCGGCACGTGACTTATCGGGATCAACCAGAAATCAATTGACTAGTCGCCGATATAAGTCCTGGCCATCAAGCCATATAAGACTTACGACATCTTAATAGTCATGGAGATAGATCTCATAGCGTCTATTAGACTGAACCAACCAACCTCAATCCTAGTCTCGCAAGAGACCTGTTAAAGGATTAGAGCAAGGCAGTCTACGCTATCATTATCCTGAAGATACGACGAAATGGCCTTTTGCTAGACTTAGCATATGTGACAACCCGATCCCTGAACAGGATCCTCAATAGGGCTGCGACATTAAGTCTGGGCCTTTCGGAGCCATAAAAGGTCTAGAGTAATCTCGGACATCATTGTGCGCAGTATATCACATGCGAATCACACAATGACGCCACGAGTCCAGACCTATCTCAAGTACACATCACGTACAAGCTCAGATCCACAGACCGGATAAGAGCCGACCCTGATAAGGGGCCGCCGATCTGGCATCTAAAGAAGTCTTGACCCGGTTCCCACTTGATATTAGAAGAAGCCATGACTGAGTCTTCTATAGACTCCTGTACTAGTCTTGGCCGATATCAAAGTGGATCTCTGGGGCACTGTCGGGCGTTTCACCTTGACAGTTGTGGGATACGTAATTTCTGATGGAAATACGTAAACGTCTAGTGGGGACCCAAAAGAGGTTCCTTCGGTCCCCTCGGTTAAGGGTACTCACGGTGCAAGCCATGGTCCAATAGATACACGTAGTTATAATTAGGTTAAGTGCGATAAGGTCATGAACAATGAAGCGGCGCCATTAGAAGGTATTTGGCGCAGCACCTCGCCGTATGTGTACACTAAAGTAGGTTCTCACACGGCTCGATCTGTAGGTCCATACCCGGTATCAGGGGTCCTGGATCTAACATACTTGCCATATAAGGGTTCCTAATATACATATGTATTATAATATGAAGTAGGATAGACGGTATATCGGGGTACTCCCCTGCTTGTATATATACTAGGGTCAACTGGGAGTAGATCCCCAGTTCTATCATACTTCCCCACCTGGGGCTCACTCCTCTCTGAGTCCTAAGGGACTGGCTAGCGATCCAGGTCAATGACCGTCTGACATGGGACTTCAGGCCGCCCAACTGAGGGCCTGCTTGTAGTTGTGTAGTGATACACATTATCCTGCCACCACCTACTTGTCAACATATCACGATCGACCATTCAAGTTGGTTCTGGATGTTAGAGGTAATTCATGTCTAGTCAGGACTACATAGGTGCCGACACATTAGCTTGTGTTCGGAGATTATTCCCTAGTAGTTCGTGACAGCGCTGATCCTCTGTCCAGGAGGCCAGATCATGAAGAGGGGGTAAATCTCGATAATTCCGACAAAACTCTGCTCAAAACGGAATATTTCACGATTAAAGCTATTCAACATACCCATCTTGCAGTCGTCACAGATCATGATTTGGTGGACAAGATCAAGGAGGCACTACAAGACGACAATGTGAACAACTCATATCAAGATCTACTCAAGAAAGGACAACGAGAGTTCTCGAAAGGACTCGAAGACTGGAACTTCGAAAGTGGGATATTACTATACCGAGGCAAAGTCTATGTGCCAAAAGCAGATAATAAGGAATCACTTAGAAGAGAAATCGTCCAGCGTCATCATGAAGCTGCCAGTGCAGGTCATCCTGGAAGATGGAAGACATATGAGATGCTATCTCGTAACTACTGGTGGCCAGGAATGTCCACTTACGTCAAAAAGTATGTTGGTTCTTGCGACCTTTGTCAACGCAACAAGAACATCAATCAGCCGAAATATGGAGAATTACAGCCAAACGAGGTTCCAACAGAACCTTGGGAAATTGTCTCTGTCGACTTAATTACTCAATTACCAGAATCCCATGGATTCAACGCCATTATGGTAGTTGTCGATCGTTTGACCAAAAGAGCGCACTTCTTTGCAATCACCAATGAGTTCTCAGCATCAGACCTTGCTCGTACTTTCTATGAGAGGGTATGGACACAGCATGGTCTTCCGAGACAGATTATCTCGGATAGAGGTACGCAGTTTGCAAGCGCATCATTCCAGGAAATATGCAAACTCCTTGGGATACAATCAACAATGTCGTCCGCATATCATCCGGAGACCGATGGTCAAACTGAAAGAACAAATCAGTCGTTGGAGCAATATCTCCATATCTATACTGACAGATGCGTGGAAGATTGGAGTATACTACTGCCAACTGCCGAATTCGCCTATAATAATCAGACTTCTGAAGCCACTAAGAATTCCCCATTCTTTGTCGAATACGGTAGACATCCACGTGCAGAACCAACAATAATGGACCCCATAAAGCATCATACGCTAGATTCCATAATGCAGGCACGAGTAGAAGCGCAAGAGCAAGTGAAAGCAGCCATTCTATTGGCGGCTGAACGCATGAAGTGGTATTACGATCAATCCGTACGACCAGCACCTTTCAAAGTTGGAGATCAAGTATTACTCTCCACTAAAGATTGGCAGACATCGGGAGCTAAACTGGCACAATGGAGAGATGGACCCTTCGAAATCGTAGAAAAACTAGGACCAGTCACATATAGACTCAAAATGCCACGGCAATACGGCGTTCATCCAGTTTTTCATGCGTCCAAGCTCGCGCTCTACCATGAAGATGAAATACCAGATCGCACTCTCAGACCCCGTCCTCCTATCAAAAAGAAGACTGGCGAAGAATGGGAAGTCGAGAATATAGTCGACTCTCGTGTCATTCGTGGCAAACTTCAATATTTGGTGCATTGGAAGGGTTATTCTAAAGCCGAAGAAACTTGGGAACCCGCTGCAAATTTGAAGAAATCTCCGCGTCTCATCAAGGAATTTCACAGAAAATATCCTGACGCACCTCAACCAATATCTCTCATTGATACAAATCCGGTCAATGGCGTTTTTCCACCCAGGAGAACAGGTCAAGTCTATGACCCCGCCACTGATACCATTCAGATATACGATCAGGATAGAGATGATTGGGATTATTCTAGAGATCTTCAAATTACAGTAGACAATCCAAACGCACAAGCACCAAAATATGCCCATGAAGACGATGCTGGAATGGATTTAGCCGCATCAGAACCAACAACCATCTGAGCACACTCAAGAGGATTGGTATCCACAGGACTTCACTTTACAACACCTCGAGGGACCTATGGTCGAATTGCACCATGAAGTGGGCTAGCTGTCAAAGGCATCGACGTAGGCGCTGGTGTAATCGACAGAGGATACACAGGCGAAATCAAGATTTTGCTGATCAATTGGCCCGGCGTACTGGCATATGCCAAGAGAATGCACATGCTCTGCCATTGGGCTTCTCAGCTCCTTGAAGCTCGATTGCACATATTATTCTCGCTTCAAAATTGCAATTCTTCGTGTATGCGAGACAATGCGAGAATACGACGTGGAGCGAGTACGTTAAGTAGGCAAAGAAATATAGCCTTCGACAAGAGTCACAGTAGCTAGGTATTGCAGCATAATGTATGTGTGGTTTCGATCAATTCGGTCGAAACAGTTTAGAACTGTATATTGCACTCAATTGAGTGCTGATGCAATCATTATAGCTACTGAGATGAAAGTACCGTGGTGATCCTATGGAGCGCAATGCCGACTTGCGAGTACTCTCACGAACTGATAGGATCGCCACACCTATGGGATGCTCTGAGTACGTGGCTACGCCGTGATGCGTCCTTCCTCTACTGATGTACGCTCTACGGACTGACGTACTTTATCCGATCACAGTGCAGGCCGCGAACGATCACCGAATGTTTTCCTCTACGTGACGACTCGGCGTTCTCGCGCAGGTACGCATCAAACTTGAATGTGGCGCAACTATGTTGATTGATGCGTTGATATCTCATCCTTTTACCGATCTCCGTGATGCTGCAAATTTCGGGTATCGTGCTGCTGCCAGCTGTCCTTACGGCTCGACTTGCGCGACCGTCTCGAAAAAGCTAGTGCGCACTTATCCTACGGTGGCTGCGCTGAGCTAATACCACAATGGCATGCACAGTCTGACAATATTTTACAAGCGGCCGTTGTTTCAGACATGGATGCATGTGACAACAAGCAATCGCACAAACGTATAAATTGTGCAGAAAGGTATACTCTAGTGAGCTTATATCATTCCTGTTATCGTTTACTGCTCATCGTCATTTGAGCACCTCTTCACTTCCTCCATACCTTCCTTTCAGTGAGATGCAACACAATGGTCCGCACTACGATCCTCACTTGTGCATTCATCGTCTCCGGCGCACTCGTTGGAGGTACGCTGTGGCACTTCTAACCCTTTTTGACGATTCTCAAGTCGTTTGGAAAGCTTTACCAGTGACGCGTTCGGCTCTTGACTGGCATGCTTTCGAGCGGAGGAGTGTCTTTGAAAACTGGGTATGTTTCATGCACAACTCATCATTGATGCCGCTTTCCATGCATCATCTGTAGGCCTCGCCATCACCTGGACAACGTCCCTTGCACTTGACGTACCTTGAAGAACGTGAGACGATCGAGCGGAGGAACTGCCGAATCTTCGGCTGTTTGTACGAGGTACAGGTGTGTGGCGTTTTCGATTCATGTTTGACACGTCGACTGATCAACAATGCCAGGCTTTACCGACAACACACAGCGATTTTCTGCCCGCCACGGCTGTTTCTACCCAGCCCACTATCCTCTCAGAGGGTGGCGCCCAAACTGTACGTCTTGAAATGCCTGGCTTGGAAATCTATCTTATGGTTCACAGCCTTTTGGCAACGCAGCTGCAAAGGAACCATCGTCTTATGAGGCATAGTTCTCCCACAATTAGGACCTCCCCATTCGCCTTCCGAGACGAGAGAGCGCCACTCTATCGTGACCGAGAGCTGCTGATACTTATTTGCTTCCATCTATTCACTTCAAAGATGACGGGCCGGATCCGCATGTACCTCCCATTCCCCAAAATATGCTATTCCATTTGCCAAGGAAATGATCGTCGGTGTGGCCTAGGACTGTCTCAGGCTTGCTTCAATACTGTTGAAAAAATGGCAGCATTCCAGCCATTCACTGGGAACTCAGTCGTCTGTCATGAGACTTTGTATAAAGGGCAATACCTCCACCGGCAAGGCATGTGTAGCTTGTTATCTGAAGCCGGCTCATTCAAACGGCCATCAACATCCGTACGACAGATACGCTGGCCTTTCGTACTTACCGCGGACGGAGGGGGAAAATGATCACTCAGTGGACAATCAGGATAATAGATCTCATCAATGCCAGACTTTAGGATGTCTACTATGTTCGAGCACGTTGTCATAAGATGCCAAGTGGAACCCGACCAAGACACCGATTACATCGCCAGCGCCGAGAAGACATTTCGGAAATACTCTTTCAGTCCATCCACGCCCAACACAATGCCTCCAATCACACCATCCGGCCTGACGATGACAATAGTCAATCCACCACGAGTCGGCGACACTGCGTAACCCTCGTAGGCATGCCCACTCCCATCCGAGAGGAGCAGATCAGCAGACTGAACATCGGCGCATTCGGGAGCCGTCTGTGGGAGAACGACGACGGAGCGGACCAGACCCTCGGGATAGAGCTCCGTCGCCTTGAGCACAGAGCCGATACTGTCGGACTCGGCGGAGAAAATCAGTGCAGTGTGCGAACCAGGACGGAAGATGTGGAAAAGGGAGGTGATGTTATGTTCGTCGTCCACCTTCTCTCGCTCGTGGATGACCAGGAGCCCCGGCGCGTCAGGGGCTCTGTCTCCAGCGCGAATTCCCTCGCCCCCTCCGTACGCACTGTCTATTAACTCCGCCTTTTCCTCTGCGGTGCACGGCGTACGCTCATCCACGACGATCGAGCTCCAACAATAGTTGACTCCGAGCTGGTTCAGCAACCCATCCCGTTTCCAGGCAGAGATGTCATTCTCTACTTTGGTAGCCATGCTCCTACCAAGAATAGCGGTGGTGCGCTTCAGCATGTCTTTGATGACTGGAAGACGCTCCTCATTGTAAGTGGAAAGGAGAGATCGAGAGGCGATGCCCTTCTCGACGAGAGAAAGCTTCCAGCCGAGGTTAATCTGCAACGGCGCCATCAGAGCGAGCCTACCGACCGCGATCGAGATCACTCACCGCGTCTTGGATGCCCGAATTCAAGCCCTGTAAGGACATATTAGAATTGGTCATACGAGCTGCTTCAGCTGCGAACTAATCCTCACTTGACCGCCACTAGGGCTATGCACATGTGCAGCGTCTGATTTATGAGAAATCAATGAATGTTTGATATGTTGATTAGGTGGGACAACATACCTCCCGCGACAAAAACACGTCCCTCACCAAACTTGTCAACCATCCGGATATTCGGCCTATATAAAAGAGAGCGTGAGGCTAGAATATCGTTAAACATAAAATGTACAACGAAACTCACGTATAAGCGGACAGCCATATCACCTTGCCCACTTTGATATCATCCCTGTTTGACACGGAATGGACAAATTTGACTAGTTGCTCCCGGTCGTCGATTAACTTTGCATAATCGGCATGTCCTGCGGCAAAAATGTTGAAGATATCACCTTCGTATGTGGGACGAAGGGCGAGCCTGAAGTGGCGTGAATGTCAACGGTCTAGCAATTTATTATCGGGCACGTACGATCTCTCGCTGAGATTTCCCCAGCTATGCAAGGCCTTGCAACGCGGTCACATTAGCATGATGAAGTCGTGAAGAACAATGTGAACAACTTACATCCTTGCTTATCCCAAAGATCTCGAGGTCGCCGATTAAAAAATGCTCCTGTCCACCTCGAGTCTCACCATCAAATGTTAGACCAAGCTGCTTCCGCACAACTCCTGCTTATACGTTAGTACCACGAAAGCTCGTACGAATGGGCTGTGTGCACCTTTGGCGCCATCTGTGCCAACCAGCCACTGCGCGAGAACGGTCTCACGCTGCTCGCTCTCCCCTGTCTTTTTCACAATCTCCGCGACGACACAGTTCTCCTGCTGCCTGAAGCTATGCAGCTCCGTGTTCAATTCCACATGACACCCATATTTTTCCAAATGCTTGCGCAGTACACCTTCTTGACGATTCTGGCCTATCAATAAGGCATTGATCTGATGCGCAATCCTTCATACCACGTCGAAAATAGAGGGATGGGCTAGACTCACGTATGGAACATCGGGAGTAGGGTCCTGTGGCGTTTGCATATAGAACTCCTTCAACACTTCAACGCCCCCCGGCAGTTTGTAGACCCTATTCGGTATGAGAGAAACTCCTTCAGCTTGCATGTCGGGCAGCACTCCCAAGTAATTGTACAGCTCAAGCGAGCGTGGCTAAGCTTACTTCATCAGAAACCCGTATCCACGGAAGAGCTTAAACAACGTACCATGACTCCCGCACCGCGAGATCCTGCATGGTAGCTTGGTAATTTATCGATGATCCGAACCGAAGTACCGTTCTTCAGCAAAGTGAGAGCTAAAACAAGGCCCACAGGACCTGCTCCAACCTAAGACGAGCGCGAAGAATGAGCAACATAGCCAAGTTTACAGCAGATGCTGAGCTCACAATCAGAACGGGTGTAGACAATGTCTGAGGCATACTGCTGTACTGGTTCGAGCACAATATTCGTCCAGAGCTGGTTGCATAGAGGTAGCAGCGAGCAGGCTTATATTCTGCGCGGGATCCCATTCCCGCATTTGCTGAAACGTCATTCTACGCGCGACATCGTGTGTTCCCTGCCGATGCCGCAACGTCTGCGTGGTTAATTCATGGGATGTTCAGAAGGCTGATCCATTAGAAGCGACAGCGTCACCTAATCTGATAAGATCCGAGGAGAATCAGCAATACTGACACGAAATAGCTTACGCACAGAGCGCCTCTCACGGACTTCTGTGAGGACTCGGCGTCCTTGTTCGTCGGACGTAGCTTCGGCGATGCTGATGCATTCGTTCGGCTGATAGGAGGACGAATTACTTCGAATTGTCGAGGCGCTCCCAGGCTCGGCTGCGTCCGCATGGAGTTAAGTGCATATCATTGGATCAACCGCACAAAAATACTGTACCTGCTGGAACGACTTGTGCATTGCCCAATTTGCGCATTGTCCGAGCGGTCAGCAGCGATTCGCATCACTGACATGGAGAAGGTTTAGCCGATGCTGAACTGATCAAATACTGTGTCGGTTAGACGGCGTTTATGGCTTGGATAGTAGCCCGATCCTCCGACACTGCGGCCAAATTGATCGCCCACGCACCAGCCTACACGTTCGAGACTACTGAGGCATGACATACAATTGCTTGCTCTTGTCCAATATCGAATTTGATGGATCAATGTCGTGCACACTTCGCGCACACTCACGAATGCTTTTTCAACCATAAATGCTCAATTGCCGTTCGACTCTGTTGAGAAATTGATACAGCGAGCAGGTTTGCATCTTCCCTAAATATACTCCGAGTAGCGCGGGGTTTTTGAGCAGAACCTTTGGAGACCCGTGTTTGCCAGAATCACGTATACGTACTAGTGGAAGAGACCTGATTAAGGACGAGGAGAAGAGAAGAGACTCGATGTGACAGTACGCCTTCGAGCAGGCAGGATCTAATCTAATCTATGGAGAGGTCTTATCAGATTAGATAACAACCGGACGTGTTCCAGCGTGACAGCGGTCGCCGTGGCCGCATTGCGGCTTTCCTTAGACTTCCAGCGTCCTACTGCATAGAGGCAGTGCAAGGATCAGTATACACAGTGGCCGTACGTACGCTCCATTACAGTTACATTTTATCGTCGAGGACCCTCATGCCCCAGCTCGTTGCGACAGGTTAGGCCCCACACACAAAGTAAGATCTCGCCTGACAGTTCAACGTGCAGTGGTCCCGCGGGCCAGACATGGTGCGATTCCGAGCAAGTTTGACATCAACGAATACTAACGTCCTGTCTTATGGTCAAAGGCACCTCGCTCGGACACATATGTTGCTCTTCCAAATGAAGATGCGACTGGCGGAGAGACACCTGAATCGAGCGAGCCCTTGCTCTCGCCAGAAAACGCGTTTCACGGCGGCACGCTCGTACTCCATAAAGACGGCCGAGGCTATACCTATGCATATGGTCCGAAGGGCCTCAAGGGGCTGCTGCACAATTACTATGCTTTGGGTTGCGCCGTGTTTGTGTCCATAGGAGGACTGCTCTTCGGTTACGACCAAGGTGTCATTGCGAATGTGCTGGTAATGCGTGACTTCACTGAGAGGTGGCCCATTGGGGCGTGGGAGAAGGGCGTTATGAGTCAGTCCTATTCATGCAGAAAGTATCAAAAATATAACGCTAAGCTAGAGTGCTCTTCCAGCTGCCGTGCTCGAGCTGGGAGCCCTAATCGGCGCTCTGACAACTGGCATGCTCGCTGACCGCGTGTCGCGGAGAACGTCAATACTCATAGCATGCAGTACGCTGTTTCGCATGCCTCGTCAGAGTAACCTGAGAGCGATAAGGACAGTGTTCCACCAGTCACCTTCTGCGTTGGTTCAGCATTACAGGTTGGCGCACAGAGCCTATTTCATCTCACGTTGGGCCGCGCAATAAGTGGACTCGGTATCGGTGCGCTAAGGTGCGTCAGCATCCTACAAATCCCGTGGGCTACTTCAAACGCGTACTTGCAGCATGCTAGCGCCACTCTACATGGCCGAAATCAGCCCGCCAGAACTCCGGGGTTCGCTCATGACCATGGAACAGCTCGCAATCGTGCTCGGTGCGGTCCTTGGCTTCTGGACTGGCTTCTTCACACGTAACGGTATGGTTCTAAGCACTGCTTGATTGGTCAATATCCGCCCTCATATCCTGATTAGTTCCTGGATCCACTTCATGGAGAATACCCCTCGGCATCCAGTTAGGCCCAGGCATTCTACTAGCGACTGGGTGTCTCTTCCTCCCTCCATCACCGAGATTACTCGTCATGCAAGGCCGCACAGACGAGGCTCTCCACGCACTGGCAAAGCTACGTCGGCGAACACCCGAAGAGAGTGCTACCGACCCTTTGCTTCAGGTGTGCTTGATATCACGACCGTGCGGCCGCTCGCTAACAATAGGGATAGATTGAGCTGTTAGAGATGCAGACGGAGGCGATGCTCATCTCGCGACATGTAAACGTTGATGCCTGTGAAGAATCTGAGGAAGTTGTTAGGACCAGGTCGTTCGCGACGGAACTGAGGTCCTGGCTGCGCCTCTTCGGAGGGCAGTATTGGGAGAGGACTGCCATCGGCATCATGATGATGTTCTTTCAGCGTACGTATAGCATGAAATCATTACTAACAAGCCGCGACGTTGATCGTGTTATGATGATTTTGCAGAGTGGAGCGGAATTAACGCGCTGCTGTACTACGGTCCAACATTAATGCGATCGCTCGGGTTGCAGGGCGATAGCGCGACGCTGATGGTATCGGGTGGCATTGGGATCGTGCAGTTCCTGGCTGTGCTCCCTGTCATCGTCGTCATCGACCGGATAGGCGAGTGAATATGACATTGGAATTGTTATAGTGCTAACGCACCATCTTAGGACGCAGGCCGCTGTTGAGAGGTCCGTGATGAATGATCTCGGTGGTCATTCCTGGGCTTCGTGCTGACGAGCTGGACGAATAGGAGGCAGCGCGATCATGGCGTTGTCGCACTTCTGCATCGCTATCTTGGTGTGACTTCACGTGTGATCCCATGGTCACGCACTGCTGATGTGTCATTCAGGTTCGGCAATACGAAGGCGCATGGGAGGCACATAGGTTTGCAGCGTGGATATGCGTTGGGTACGTAAGCATAGTCATAGCCGCACCCTCCTTGTCCCATCTTGCTTCGCCCCAGATGTGTTTATATGTTCACCGCGGCCTATGGCATGAGCTATGGTCCGATAGGGTGGGTGCTTTCTACTGAAGTATTTCCACTATCGGTTCGCAGCAAGGGCGTGTCACTTTCGACGGCGTCAAACTGGTTCAACAACTGTGAGTCATTGCATACGAGCTCGTTGATCTTCGACGAAAGTAGCCCTCGCATTTGAATAGTTCTCATCGGCCTAGTAACACCAGAGATCATGGAGATCTCACCTTCGTGAGTGGTTTTCAACCTCAATGCTATTCGAGCTGTTGCTCAGCGATCACTTGTATCCAGGGGCACATTTCTCGTGTTCACCACTGCGTGCTTTTTGGGCTACATCTGGTCAACCTACGCTGTGCCGGAGACTGCCAACATTTCTCTCGAGGAGATGGACGAAGTGTTCAGTTCGTCAGCTGGCCGCGAAGATGCCGATCTGAAAGAGCAGGTGTGTTACTATGTCCGACATATATCTGTCGCCTTGGGCGCAGGTCTCATGCTTCTCGCAGATTGAGCAGGACCTTGGCTTGCATGACTTGGTTCAACGGTGGGCCGCTCACTGTGCCACTACATCGTAGTGTCCTAGGCGTATGTCCACTGCCCTCTGTCGCGGCATTTGCGGGATCCTCTAGAATCAGTCCGTTGAGTAGACATATCATATTGCTTGGGTATGGCGATCATCTAGGTAGTAATGTCTTAGAATAGGTCGTATAATGGTTCAATCGCATCTCACATGGAAGGATTTTATTGACATTGTCGTGGAGCATGAAAAATAAACGAAATCTCGATGCATTGGTATCGATGACATACAGCAGCAACACGAACAAAATGAAACGAGAGACGAGAATGGCTACACTACGAAAAGATCCAGATGCGAGTGATGGACACGACGGACACACGGTGATGAGGCGGCAAATGCGAAGCAACGGAGGGCTGAAATACTATATATACAATCATCTTTGTGTGAAATTGTAAAGACATGCAATATCTGTGTTTCAAACACCGTATCGTTGTGCTAAGCGCTCCTGTATGGCAGGAGGGAAGGTCGCTACCTGGGCCGACCACCCAGCAACATCATGGTTCTTGAATGTTGTCAGAATCTCTTGGAACATCGCGTTGAGCTCGGGAGACGGTTGGTTCCATCGAACGATCGCGTTACAGAACCAAAGAAGGCTCTGTGAAGTCACATTAAAACTATTCATTCATAACATGATAAAACCTCTTACCTTCATTATACCAGTCGGGTTTGCCTTCACAAGCGTGCACAAACCGCGGAATGCAGAGTCCTTCTCTTCATTGTCGCGTATCTCGTACAGTGCCTGGCACCAAGCCTGGGCAAACTCGGGTAGCAGCGGGGCGACCATTGTCGGATGCATGTACCCAACTCGTCCTATTGACACTGCAGCGTTCTCATGCAGACTGCGAGGGGCTTTGGGGTGAAGGAGGATCGGCACCAAACGTGATATCAGCGGGTTGACCCATTGTCTAAATTCGGGATCATCTGCCGAGCATACACCGTCAGCGTGAGTGATACACGGAGAAACTTCCATATACCTCGTCCGTAGCGTAGAGCGACTTCACCGACTGACCAAGCTGCGTTGTTGCATGCGCTGATGAACTCAACTTTCGGTTCGGGGTCCAACTGCTCAATGAGCTCTTGCATAATCGCCGGCATATGCGGACGCAGAAGCGGGAAGCAGTTCATGGCCATATCGCCGACGAGCGCATAAGCGGATTGCCGAACGGGCGCTTGTGGGTGCTTCAAGCAGAAGGTGAGCAACGAGAGAAGGTTCGGCTGGCTACGTGTGATCAACGGCTCCAGAGCCATGCCGAGGCCCTGCGTCAGACCGGACAACAGGTCAAGCGCGACAACCAGGAACGATCTGTCTGGTTCGTCCATGTCCGAATTCTGCTGGTACGCTTGGTACTGAAGCAGGGAACTGTGGACGATGGCAGCGCAGCGCTCGAAGATAGGCCCCGCGTAAGGAAGGAAGGCGGGACCCATGGCTATGGTCACGGATGCGAGACACTACACATTACAGAAGAGTTAATTTTGGCAGAACTGTTTGTGCGCGCAACAGGTATCACGTACCTCCAGAAGGGGAATAAGGTCCTCATCATCGTCTTTAAGCTTGCTCCACCGCTTAAGGAGTGGTGGCATGAGAATCTCTACGAACGTTGGATTTTGTAACGCTGGGCCGACGGCATCAGCGAGAGTACCGACAGCATCATACAAAATGAGCATGTTCTTGTGCTGGTACTTGTCGAAGGCGAAGACGAGGTTACGCAGGACTGGCTCAAGGAACGGCACAAGCTCGGCGCCCGCGTCCTCCTCAAACGTCGCGAATGCGCTACAACCAGCTTCTTGGACACGCTTGTTGTTATCGAGGACCATACGCAAAAGCTGCAAGGCGTCAACTATCAACAAGAAGTGATTATGAATCCGATGCTCACCCCTTCCAATGTTGGGACGAAGAACAGGTTCCTATGCTCTTCTGATACAGGCTGAGTACACCAGCTGGCATACCGGCCCAGCGTCCAACACGTGATCGACCGCACAAGAGGCTTCAAACGAAGTCAGCGAAGCGCATGGTGAATGTCACGTTGACGTACCTTGGGATCGTTCAGCGTGTTGTTGAGGTACGGGACCAGCGTCGACAGATGAGGCTCAATTGCATCGATACAACCTAGGCAGCATGGTTAACATCCTGTACACCGTGGAACACCCGGTGCTTACCTTCGGCCATCGCACCCAGAGCCAGGATACCGCTCTCTCGCTGCAGCCAGTCTTCACTCCATAGCTTGTTTTTGAGGGGCTCCAGCAGAACATTGAGCAAATCGGCACCAAACCGAACTGCCAATACGTCCAACGCCGCCGCGGCGCATTTTCTCAGGTTCCATTCAGTCGACATCTCGTCGAAGTCCTCGTCCTCGTCAAGTTCATCGAGTTCGTCATCATCATCCTCTAGCTCCTCGCCGTACGCTCCAATACGTGGCTTGGACGAAGCGTCTGCGCCATTCGCCTCGTGCTCGTAGCCGTGCGATTTACCTCCATAGTGTCGCGGTTTGATGTCGCTTTCCTTATCTGGAACAGACGCGTCCTCTGCGTCGGCCTCGAGCCACACCAGGTCGTCCTCGCCATATACCATGCAATCGAGCAAGACCGGTGCAACCTTTCCAAGAAGTGGGTGAAGGTATGGCGCGAGGTCGGGATCCTCGGCAAAGGTTAACCAGAACTCGCAGGCCTCGAGAGCGACGTTTTCATTCTTGTCCTTTGTCGAGTATAGCATGTATTCTGCGACATTGTTCATCTCCGGCATGAGCTTCTCGGGTCGAGACGCAAGGAGCAGGACGAGCGCCTGGCAGACATGACGGCGCACGGAGGGGTCTTCGTCCGATGCCCGCTTGAAGAGCGCCGCAATGAAGGCGTCTATGTGGGCGAACAGTGATTGACAGCCGATGGGTACGAAGTAGGACAGACAAGCGATAGCATGTGAACGCATTTTTGAGTTGGGATGCTCCGAGAGGATGAGAAATTTCGGAATCATGAATTCAAGGGGCCATGTGCCGCTGATCTCGACGTCCAGCTTCCGAGGATAGTCTTCACATGCCTTCTCGAGCACGTTAAATGCCGCCTAAAGCCAAATCGTGTGAGATCATATCGCTAGCGATCGATGATGCACAAATAAGCAGAGAACGCATATTAGATTCAGGCGATGTAGTAGTCGCCACCACACCGCGACCCTCAGGAGCATGATGCGCAGTCAAAAGCAACAACCAAATGCAAACCTCTTTCCGTCCCACTCGTGCACCTGATAGGAAGTTGCAAAGATGCTTACCTCTTGTTGGTCGAAATTCGTCGAATCCAAGTAATGCACCAGCTGTTGCAGACACTCCGGCCAGTTCTTGGGCTCCAAGATACCAAGGAATGCGACGATATCTTGCCCAGCTGCATTACGGATCATAACCGAAGGATCATTGAAAGCCTGCAAGACTGAGGTCTTCACGAACGACACTACGTCCGGTGATGATCTGAGAATGAGACGGGCATTGTTCTTGAGGAGATATCCAGCGATTGTACGGATACGGTCCTCCTCCTGCGGCATGCACGCGAGGATGTAGGAGAGATAGCCAATATAATCAGGAACGCGCGTGAAACTGTTCAATTTCTTTGTAATGGTAGATTAATGAGCATGAGATGCGGTAGCCGAAATTACGAAACGACGTACATGAGTAATAGTATGCTGAACCTGCGTGTTCTGGGTATCTGTTGAGTCGTGGATTGTCTGCAAAATTTCCTGCAGTCCATCTTGTTGAGGGACCCAGGAGGACATAGTGGATGATCAAGACGCGTGAACAGCGTAGAGCAAGTCAATGGACGCGTAAAAGTGGGGACAAGTTCGGCTTGAGGGTGTCGGGCTTGCTGTTTGTTTGCGACAAACCTGCGTGGCTGATGTAAGTTAATTCATTTCGGTAATTCCCATCAACATTTCCAAATCAGGAACGTCCATCACTTTCTCGTACTACTTTCTCCTCCGACACACATGCATTCATGGCCCTTCCGAGTTGCTCGCCAGCATTCCATCTGCAGCTACGAGACATCTGTGTGCTTTCTTATAGATGTCATGTTATGCCGAGGCTGTGATAGACTTCGACGGAAGAGGTGTTCCAGCCTACAAATCCGCCTACTGTTGGTTGGCAACTCCACCGTGCAACGCCACATTACTGCTTCATGCATGATCATGATATCGCGAAGCAGGACCTCCCTCTCCGTGATCTCACGACTCACTTGTAATTGTTCCTATTCTGGTTGATGATTTCTGACCGGAGTCCCATGTCCGGTGTGACTCTTTTGCCTGCTGGGCGTGCGGATATGAAATCGATCACCAAGCACCCGGATAGCTTTCTGCAGCACCAGGCTCCTCCCCATTTGTTCCTGGGGGCTAGAGAAGGTGTCTTCGTCGACGCTGAAGCATCAGATGACCCGTGCTTCATCCGCCGAAGTGGCCACATCCGAGTCAGTTATAGGTTTAAGCTTTTCGATTACTTCTACGGGCTTAATCGGTCCTCTGAACACCGCTATCGCCAGACAGAGGATACTGTAGATATATGAAGCCTGCGGAGTTTGGAGGGCTGTCTCATCTGTCATCTGTCCATCCATGGGAGACTACACTAGTCCTCTGCATAGGTGTTTCCTCGCCTCGCCTAGCAGCCATCTGATTTCCTCCGATAAAATTGTCTTGCGATAATTCTTTAGGCCATTCAGGCCATGTAGAAGTGAGCACACAGAATGAGCCATGGCTTCATGGCACGACTCTTTTTTTGGCCGGGCACTTCTAGTGCGATGGATGTTGAGCGTCTAAGTAGTATCCGTCAATGGCACCTTGGCAAGTGAGAAGGGCGATGTGTGCGTCATGAATGAGAGATATTTACTCAGAGCCACTGAAAGAAAGAGACTGCGGAAGTTCATGGTCTACGAAGGAGAGCACGTTGACACGATCGAGTATTTGCGTCTGAATCTAGCTACTAGGATTTGGTACGTAACGTCCTCAGATACGTTTACTTCGAAAGCGGATGGGAAGGAGCCTACTACCGCGCTGCCGATGCGTCTAGAAGAAAGCTGGCACGACGCCGATTGGAGGTGGACGCACAAGTCCAAGTCAATATGCTTCTATCATGATAAGCTAGCAAAGATGGGCGTGCATGCCCACGGATCCGCGGCACCAATCCATCAGTTTCTATTTAGCAAAAGTCTGAGGCCGTTTAAAGCTTTGTATGGTCTTATGAAGCGTTCTCCGTGCCGTTCTCGGGCGTTATTGGGGTCGAGATTCCCGAAGCATTCTGAGATGCCGCCGCCGGCCCTGGGGCTGGGATATCCCCCAGAGGATCCTTCATGTAGCTTCGTAAGAAGTTGCGCCAAGGAGCCTTGGACGGAACGAAATGCCCTAGACACACCGGCACGATTACTCCACGGTCGTCCGTGCCAAGGGGTTTACGACGTACCGCCATCATGATGCACGACGCGTTTGTTGTCTGAGATATCTATGAGAGTCTTCGATCGTTCCTCGACAACGATGACGTCGGTCCTCCCCAGGACGTGCAGCGTTGGCGTGGAGTACGAGGGTGAGAATATCGTGTCAGCGAGCGGGCTGCGAGGTCGGAATCCCGCTACCGCGATGCAGAATCCCCTGGGAAGTCGATCAATTAATCTCGGATATCTCGGGGGCCGGCGGCATGATGCATATTGCGTCCTGAGACTTACAAAGGAGGATGCGGTGGCTTTCCATCAATCAAGAAGGGCGGATGCGCTTGCGGCCTTTCTAGCTGGACCGAACCACCGAAGTATGATCAGCTCTTCGAGTCCGCAGACGGAACATAGTAGACGTACAAGAGCAGCGAGGATAGCAGCCATCGCTGCTCCCTGGCTGTCGTATGATGATTGATCAGTTGCGCACTTGGGGACTGGGACTATGAAGGCCAAACCTGAAACCAAATACTCCCTAGAACAGTAAACACGTCGCAAAGCGCCGTACAAACGTCATTCGGAAGACACATACCTCATAGTGGTCCTTCGCTAGGATGTCTCTCAATGCAGCGAGCGAATCATCTAACCCGCGTGCCAGATTCCGGTCAGCCTCCGCCTTCCACCATCCGCGCGGTGCCAGTGCAGGATCCTGTTCTTTTACTGCCTCTGGGGCCCCGAGGTCCTCAAGTGACGAGTTGTTCGAGAGCGTGCTCAAGTACGCCATGTCCACGGGAGTGAGTACGTAAGGCGCATCGACGAACACTGTGGGGAGCGTCATGTTCAGCAAGCATTGATCAAGCAGCCTGAGGGCGGGGAGGGAACACACACCGAGTTCCACATCCTTGCCGCATGTCTTGCGGAGCGCGCCCATCTATGGGACACATCAGACCAATCTCTTCCACCGATGATATAAACTCGTTTCCCCTCACCCTTTTGCTGAAGATCGTCGCACTTTGAGCGTACCTTGGAGATCATGAGCCATCGGCCATCTCAACGGCTTGCTGTGATGAAAGTATAACTGTGACTTGCCCGTGCAACATGAGAACTTTACGAGTGGTCGCCATCGAAGATGTCTATTTTCGTGATCAGAAAAATGAAGCGGGTTATAGGTCTTGACCGATCTTTCTACACGAATTCCTGGTTTGCGCCAATAGGTCACGCTATATTCCTGCGGAGTCATCAGTGTTGTTGAAGGTTTCTGCACCAGGCGCGCTGAAGCTCACGAATCAGTTTGCTCTCGATGATACGATAGGTATGAAGCAGCTTTTCGATCTGGCTATCTGGCTATCTGGGTTATAGATGTAGGACTGACACCTAGCGATGTGAAGTCACTACTGACAAAGGAGAGCGTAGATCCCTTACTTGTTCGATTCTTGACGTCGCAGAGTCTACAGTTCCAAAACGCGAGAATCTCGGCGCGGCACCGAACATGGACATGTTTGATCCGTTGTCGATGATCGGCTGATCCGAGCTCGGCGTCACGGCCAGAAGGTAGAAATCAGTTGGCAGGGATCACCATTCAAGCTGAGCTCGTCATACAAATCGAAATGTAACCGTCGACAAGCCGGATCATAAGCGTCCTCAAGCTTCAAGAGGCTGTTTGTCGTGAGCTTTACCTGGCGGTGAATCCCGCGCACGAGTCCGAAGTGTGCGGTGACGAGCGTGCAAACGTTAGCATCTCAACATGGCATCGCAGCTGACTTTTTTTTGAATGCCTCTGAGAACATACGACACCAAACGAGGGGTCAACAGAATGAGTATGACATCCAGTGTACATGGCATTAATATGGGCCTATGGATATAGTACAACAGTGGGCAGGTCGCCACTGCAAGTGAGATGCTGATTATATGATACTTCGAGCCATCATTAAATTATCGGACGACTGACTTTGAGCAACAAGGCATGTTAGTGGCAAGTAATCCGGAAAACGTGAATGACCGCATGCACCGAAAGACGCCAGCACAGGAAGCCTTCACATCGCCTGGCAGGCAGCAAAGGCATCACCATAAAGCTCCTGCGTCTCCCTCCACGCCTCCGCCCAGTCTTCCACCTCCTCCGCAAGAATCCCACCATGTTTCCCCTTTTTGCTCTGGATGTTCTTTTCTAGTTTCTCGAGCGGAACCTCCGCGTAGTCGCCCTGCAAGAACGGCTTCACGAGCGTGTAGTGCACGATGCGCGTCTCTGTCTTGAGATCCTCCCAGAGCGCGGGCGAGCGCTTCTTGATAGCCAGATTCGCGTTGTACGCATAGGGAAGGCGCATGGCCTCCTTGCCGTAATAATAGTTGAGGAACGACTGCTCCGCATCCTCCGCAGGGTACGTCGCGGTACCGATCTTGGAGACCATATCGTTGAACACGTCCATCGACGGGCGGAGGAAGAGCACGCCCGCGTTGAACTCGACGCCGAATCCGCGCCCGTCGATGAAGACGTCCGGCACGGCACCGAACGAGTACGGGAGCGTGAAAAGCTCGTCAAAGTTGCGCCGGACGAGCGTGTCCGCGTCGAGGTACACAAGGCTGCGCACGCCGAGCTTGCCGAGCGTCCAGAGCTGCAGTTTCGAGTACTGGTCGACAAAGTGGCGATGCACGCCCGCGTACGGCGGCGCGATACGCGCGACTGGATGTGGTGTCCAGCCTGTTGCAGATGCGATGCAGACCGCGCGCGGGGACGTCTTTTCGGGTAGGTAGATCATGATTCGGCTCGCGGAGCTGTTCACTTTGTTCAGTGTGTGGCCGAGCGTGGCAACTGCGACTGCGAAGGCATCGGTATAGAGGCTTGTCACAATTGCGTTCTCGTTGCTCGCTTGAGGTATTGAGACGTCGGATGCGAGGAGTGGGTAGCCATGGCTGGGGGTGGGGAGATGGATAAGAACGCTGAGCACAAAGGTTGGAGATCATAGACAAACTGAACGGTTCATGGATCTATATCTGAGGAAGCACGCCCACGGCTCCTGCACATGAAGTACCTTCGATCTGTCAAACTCCGTCCATCCCACCCTTGCTCATTATGGCATGAGCAGCCAATCCGACATGGCATGCCCGACGCCTCCCAGCGCCCCCGCCTTCTAACCAGAATGAAAGACGAAGATACAACTCACAGATGCTGATAGTTGTCCAGCGCTGCTGGCGTCGCGCCATAAAAGTACTTCCAAAGGAAGAAGATATTCGCGAGCACGGAAAGACTAATCAAGATCTTGCCAAACGGCCAGCGCTGGCTGGTGGCCGTGCCCTGAAAGCCGTTCCACAGCGGTGAATACTCCTTATATCGCCGGAACGTCGAAAATACAGCCATGTAACAATCGCTGGCAGAGTTTTGGGAGGTATATGGGAGGCTGGAGAGATGCAATTATGCGGAATCACCGCGACTGCGCCGCAGGAGTTGGCCGTTGGTCACGAGCATAAGCGATAGACATGTTGACGCCCTGGCAGAACGACGAACGTGCATATAAAGGTGTGCTCGATGATTGCGACAAGCGTTTGGTAACTTGGAAAGGGAGGAGAAGAAAGTATACTCATACAATCACTCTAGTGCCAAGGCGTCTCGGATACACCGACTTTGGAACTTGATCAGGCCTAATATATTCCCCTCCCCGAATGACTGCTAGTACACATGTACAGACCGACATAGATTGTCCAACAACTAAGCAGCTTGTAGACGACGTCTCGCGTTTCTGTCTGACGAAAATGTGTGCGTTGAGACCGAATCCGCTGTCTTCGCGTCTCAGCGTTTTAGACGCGATGACCTTACTAACTGCATGAGCAACAATAAACTGTCGGTGTATTAGTCTATAGCTTCAGCCGTGCAATGCGAATACAATAATATGAATATAAAGGACAGTCCTGACATAACGTGCCACCTTGCTGTACAGATAATGCAGAACAGCGACACTAGCAGATCGGATCAGCATCACCAGAACAAGCGACAGAGCAGCGCGACTCACCTGCTCAATGCCAATTGTGCATCATGGAACTGGAGGACTCGCTGCGGCACTACCGCACTCGGTCAGCGCGTCGGCATGAGTCCGTCGTGTATCTATCCAGAACTCCAACCACTCCCGCAGCTCCTCCTCGAACAGACCTCCGTATTGAGAGATCTTGTTCTGCACGTTTGCCTCCATCCGCCGTATCTCGACCACCGTTGCGCCCGAGTTGTCGAATTCTTTCAGGAACGGTTTGACGAGCGTGTAATGCACGATGCGTGCCTGTCGCTTGACGTCTGCCCAAAGCTCCGGCGCCCTTTTCTTGATGGCAAGGTTGGCATTATAGGCGTATGGAAGGCGCACCGCCTCGGCTCCGTAGTAGTGATTGAGGAACGACTGCTCCGCCTCGTGCATGTTATACGACGCAGTGCCGATCTTGGCGAGCATGTCCTGAAACACGGCAGTCGACGGTCGGAGGAAGAGCACGCCCGCATTGAAGCTTAGCGAAAAGCCTGGGTTGTCGACGTACACGTCCGGCACCGCGGCGAAGTTGTACGGCAGGTCGAACAGCTCGTCAAAGTTGCGGAGTACGAGCGTGTCGGCGTCGAGGTAAACGGCGCCCTTTATGCCGGCGTCGGCAAGCGTCCAGATGTTGAGCTTCGAGTACTGGTCCATGAAGTGCTCAAAGACGCCTTGGCCGTTACGTGGAGGAGGGATGCGTGGTATTGCGCGGGCGACGAAGCCGGTGGATGTCGCAATGCATAGGGCGCGGGGGGAGATCTTCTCGGGAAGGTAGAACAAGATGCGGCTCGCGGTGCTGTTGGCTCTGTTGAGCGAGTGGCCGAGGGTGGCGATCGCGGTTGCATACGAGTCGGTGTATAAACTCGTCACGATCGCATTCCCGGTCGGATCAGGTGCACGGAACGTGGTGAGGAACTCGTCGTTGACGACCGGCTGTATGTTTCTGTATCGATCAATGTCAAGCCGGGAACACATCTCCCAAGAGCGTACGCACAGGAGGCGACTCACAATGGCTGATAGTTATCGAGAGGAAGCGGCCACTTCTTGGATAGCTTGCTACACAAGACAATGTTCATAATCCCTGATACTGCGAGCAGAACGACGGCCACGAAGCCATATTTGCGGGGACTCGACTTGGAGCTCGAATTTTCGGACCACAGCGGAGTGTAGTCCTTGTAGCGGGACCAGCATGACATGAATGGGAGATAGAGGGGTCACAAGTCAACGGCTGGTCAAGATGGCATCGACGAGGGTTTACACGATGGCTGCGCAGAGCAACGTAAAAACGCTGATCACACCGCGGGTGGACTAGTTCCGTTATGTCTCTTTCGCCGTTCAAGATGCGGGCACAACCACCTACGACAAATAGCGTGCGCGGTAGAAAGCTCGAGGTTTGCGTTGAGGAGAGGGGTGGTGGACCGATGCAACTTGCACGTCGGACGTTGCATGTCGAGACACGGGGACCAGCGCTAACTTTGCACGCTGAATCAAACGCTTGCTGAGTGGCGGCCACTGCTGCACAATCATCATCAATGCATCACGCATCACTGTTTCAGCTACAATTTGCGAAAACAGAGTTGGCTTCCCAAATATCCCCCTTCCTTCTGGTCAATATCCCATAAGGGGGCCGCGGGGAGAACACTTCTCGGACATCAATTCGTTGAACGCGTTCCGACTATGCCAATCAGTATGTGTTTCTGATTGCTTATCGCCGATACAGTGTATGATTTCCTCAACATCATGATTGTGATAGATGATTGTATCGCAATGCGCACGCCGCTATCATGACATATCAATTTACGCTCCGGTGCGAGGACATTGCCAAGAAAGAAATGAGAGGAGTCAAGGCATCGCCATTGGTCAAGTTCGAAGAGTACGTGCACATTATGGATACCACGACTACTCACAACAGCATGACAGCAACAGCTGACAAAATCATACTACAGTCATCTGCATAGCCCGTTCTCACTTAATGTTTGATATCATTACAAACCGACAGCAGACAGGAGCGCGTTCCACTCCGGGTGCCGAGGCCGGCGGCCTGTAGAACGAATGTGAGCTTGGATGACGGAATTGATACTCCAAGGCGCAGCTCACCGGATCACATCCAGTCGTGGCGGAGAAGGAATTGATACCACATCCAGGACTTTCTCCCGACGTTATATCCGTTAAAGCCTTCGCATACAATGTTACAATGTCGACTTTAGGGAATGATCCATCCATTCTAGAGAGAACTTACTTTCTGACAAGACGGTGGTTCAGTAACGCGACCATGCTCGCGAATATAGGACCTGAACGATTATTTCAAGCAAATGGAGCACGCAATCGTGCGTATAATTTGCATCTGCCAAGCATGCACCGCAGGGGCTGTTGAGAGTGCTGCTGGCTCTTGACGTCTGAAATGAAGCGTGAGGTGTCGACAATATGCAATCCTTGTGCATTGCTGGAGCTGGTCGTGCCCGTGTCCGAACGGCTAATGAATTAATGAATTTGTATCTCATCGCCCCACTGGTTAACGCATCAAGCCCGAGCAATTATAATGATCGCAGTAGCGTCTAGACACTGGGAGTAGGTGAGCTTTCACGAAAAATTCATGCTGCGATTGACACGAATTACTGACAATAATGCTCTTGTCATGAAGGTGTACCAGCCCTCATGCACTGGTTTAATTTCTTGCCATATAACTGGTACGTCTCTTTCCAGATATCAAGCCACTCCTGGAGCTCCTCGTCGAAAACACCATCAAACTCGCCCATCCTGCTCTTCACGTTGTCCTCGAGGCCGTCTATTGTGACTATGGTCTTTCCAGTATTGTCGGCCTCCGCGAGGAACGGCTTGACGAGGGTGTAGTGGACGATGCGCGCCCGGCCCTTGAGGTCCTGCCACATTTCGGGCTTGCGCTTCTTGATTGCGAGATTTGCATTGTATGCGTAGGGCAGGCGAACTGCATCCGCCGCATAATACTGATTGAGGAACGCCTGGTCTGCCTGGATGGCGTCATAGGTTGCCGTTTGCATCTTATTGATCATGTCATTGAAAACGTCCATCGACGGACGTGCGAATATTACGCCCGTGTTGAATTCGACGGCGAACCCATGTAATCCAACGTATACGTCTGGCGCGGCACCAAAATTATATGGAAGGCTGAACAGCTCATCAAAGTTGCGCATCACCAGTGTATCCGCATCAAGGTGCACGACAGCTTTGATACCGGACTCGCTGAGAGTCCATAGATTGAGCTTCGAGTATGCGTCCATGAGACGTTCGTGCGTTCCCTTGCCATTGTGAGGAGGAGGAATGCGGGTGACGGGATGTGGGATGAAACCCGTAGCGCTCGCAACGCACAGTGCGTCGGGGGAAATGTTTTCCGGGAGATAGAAAAGGAGTCGCTTTGCGGTGCTGTTCACTCTGTTCAGAGAGTGCCCAAGGTTGGCAATTGCAGTCGCATAGGAGTCCGTGTACATGCATGTCACGACAGCGTTCTCTTCTGAAGATGGCTTTGCTAGCGCATTGAAAAATCCTTCGTCGACGAGCGGCTGTGTATTTCTGTGGTACAGATTGCAACCTGTCAAGTATTTAGATGAAGTGAACGATTAAGGTGCGTACAGATGCTGATAATTATCCAGAGGTGTCGTTGGCCACCAATGCTCAAGCCGTTTGATCATGTAGGCGTTATAAGCCACAGAGATAGCGAGAACCACGACATGTCCCAGTACAAGAAATATCAATTGGCGGTTTGTTTGTCTGAATGTTGAAACATTTGGCCATAAAGGAGTATAACCCTTGTATCGCGTAAAGAGTGACATGGTGAAGGTGGGCACTTTGGGGAGAGGTTACTACGCACGATTGGCCGCCCGCCTGGAGAGCTTTCAGTGCGCAGCAGGGGCTCGGTAGTGCCGGTGCCATCATCAGCGGATCAACGTTCAACAACGATCGAGTACCGCGAAGAATTGATGCGGCTTCCGAAGTTCGCGTAATTAAGGAAAGGACCAGCTCAATCAGCGAGCGTTGGTGTTCTTCGAATAGTCATGCATCATGCTCAGCGCGACATGCACAAGAAGGGACAAGAGCTTCTGAATCGCATGCGAACTGCAAGCCTGGTAACATGAAACAAATACGGTTATTATAGGAGAACAAGGAACACTTCATGGATGTTCACGTTGAATTCGTAGAGTGCATTGAGTACTCATCGTGTCTCCACAATCCGATCACAATAGCCAACCCGAGATACTGCTAGTACAAATCCCCAGCTTTATTAGAGATCGTCTCTCCGCTACTTTCAGCTTACTGGTACAAACAATCACCCCAACACCCTCCCCCGCAAAAGCGAAAGCCCGAGACACTCCTAAATCACGGGATAAACCGATGGACGAGTATCGCCCAGACATGGACTCCAAATCCATATCCTCAGTCATAGAAGGACTCCTTTGGAGTGAGATTGGTCCGCGGAAAATACGCTGCGATTGCATAGTATCAACAGCTAGTTCGTTCGATTTCGCTGGGAGCCAGTAACTCCACAGTCACGACCGGTCTCGTCTAGCGTTGTACTGAGCATGGAGACGCCGTGTCAGGTTCGATTGGATCCTACATCGCAACCTCAAAGGCCTCGGTCACGATGTATGGATCTTTTTCAGGCCATTAGACGTATATCCGTGAAATTTCGCATCGCTACGTGCCATCGGAAAATAGGACGTCGTCCTTCTCTCCCACTCAGCCATTGCAGCTAGCTCGTGGAAAGCCTGACCCTCCATCATTGTACCGGACTATGCGTACTCCAAAGAACTTCAATCGGCATCAGGATCTCATCCGCATTTGAAATCTCACGGAGGAACTTGAGCGTTGTAATAGAGTAATGGAGATCAAGAAGGATCATCCAAAGATCCAGATCATCTTGATGGTAGGAGTGGGAACGGGAAAGAAAGGCATCTCAGCTGAAATGTGCATGCTGCAGGTGGTGCTGCCAATCAAGCATTTCCATGAAGATATTCCAGCGAAAGCCAGATAGTTAGACACCCGGAAGCAAGCGAAGGAAGTCGAATGAAGCACGGGATTCTGTGGACATGTAGATGGTGCTGCAGGACAGGAGGCTGCACTCGTTGCAATGTATATGACTAGATATCGTGGGGTGTTTGATGTAAGTGCAACACGCAGAAATTTGTCACACTTCGGAAATTTTCCACACCCTCCGCTTCTAGCAAATCCATCTGCGCGCCTCCCACCTGCCATATTGCATTCAGTCGTATCGAACGTTCGCAGGCGGCATCGATACGCCGCTCGGCGCCATCCGTGAGCTGACGACGGTCGAAGGCCGCGAAAATCATAGAGGGGGGAAGACATCAACCCAACAGACAGTGGCCAGAGGGCACGCACACAACGATGGCTGCGAGCTATCATCCAACTGCGGTGTCACGTTTCTTTCTCAGAGCATTCTTCACGACCCTGATGGCGTTCTCTCTAGCAGCTATGAGCCGCTTCGCCTTGTTGATATCCAAAGACTCCTTCAGTGTGATGTAATCTGGAGCCTTCTTGAGCTTCGGTTCGTCTTGAGGAGCAAGAGTAGACTCCGACTGCTCATGCATTGACTGCTTGTCCTTGGTGAGGGAGGCAAGTTCAGCCCGCAGGGATGTAAGAGTGTCATCCAAGGAGGACAGTCTAGCAATCGATGTCGCCATGTCATCCTTCAGCCTGAACACACGACATACGTCTCGGGCGCATGTCTCAAAATGGGCGAAGCGTACCGGTCCCAGCATGACGCCTCCATACCTACAAACCGCGCACACTGAGCCGCAGCAACTAAACTCTATGATGGGTACATGGACTTACCAGCGACTGACAATAACAACAGCATCTATCACTCCCTCTTCCTGCATGACTTTCAGGACCTTACCACCGGCATGCTGTTCCCTGTCATCCTCACTCCCGGTCTTCAACTCGAAGTCATCCGGCCCACCCAATCCAGTCTTTCCCTCCTTCAGTACCATACATCGCCATGCCGATACCTCATGTGTAGCGGGCTTTGAGGCGTGAACGACATTCCTGACGCATGCGACTACGGCACGAGCTTCCTTGTCGTTGGACGCAGCGTAGATACTAGCCACGAACGTCGAGCCTCTGTCTCGTATTTCCTGCGACGTCGCAATACACTCCGGAGTGCAGTTCGGCTGAGACAATCCTAGATATGCATCAAGCGTGGTGGCCATATTAAAGAGGTTCACGACACTCGGCAATCGTCGAGCATGAGTGAGGCACTTATTTGGTGAATACATACTCGCTATTTTAACCTAGTTCAGTCGATTATACGATTGTATGCTATCCTCGCTAATTTTAGTACAGCAACCTAATCATCGCAGGCTATTCCTCTAGGGTCCTCCCTTGGTCCACGTCGCTTTATTTCCAGTCCACTGCACCACCACGGCCATTGTTCTCCTTCCACCGTCGACACGACGAGGACAACGACCACGACGGCGTCATATACCTGACTAGATACCCTTCCCGCAGTGGACCGGGCTCCGTTCCTTACTATACCTGGATTCACGCAATGGCTACCAATCTCACAGAGCTCATCGACGAAGATGCCTCGCAGCGGACGCTGGCGCCCGTTGCCGTTGGTTCTCAGATTGCTCTAATGAGTGTTGTCTCGGTGAGCAGCATGTCCAAGGTCTGACCATGATGGGAGCTGACCTTTGTAGGCCGTGACGATCATTGTCTTCAATATTCTGCGACCCAGGAACAAGGTGCGTGGACTCGGCGCTCAGCGCTCAGTGTCAATGCTGTGCAGAGCAACTCAGCTCGGTGCAGATCGTATACGAACCCAAAGTCAAGTACCATGTGGGCGACAAACGGCCGCCCCGTATATCCGACTCGCTGCTTGGCTGGCTGCCGCCGCTCATACACACAAAGGAACCCGTGCTCGTGGAGAAGATTGGTCTCGACGCAGCGATCTTTCTGCGTTTCCTGCGCATGTTTCGCTATCTGTTCACCGCAATCGCATTCATTTGTTGCGCGCTGCTCATCCCCGTCGACGTCTCCTACAATCTCCGCCACATACCCTCTGAGTCGCGCGACGTGCTCTCCATGATGACCATCCGCGATGTCTCCGGTAACCTGCTCTTTGTGCATGTCGCAGTCACCTACGTCATCACCGGGCTTGTCATGGGTTTTGTCTGGATCAACTGGCGCGAGGTGCTCCGACTTCGTCAGGCTTGGTTCCGCTCGCCCGAGTACATGCAGTCATTTTATGCGCGCACGCTCATGATCACCGAAGTCCCGCGCCAACTCCAATCTGACGAAGGCCTCCGTGCGATCTTCCAGTCCGTGCAGGTCCCATACCCGACGACCTCGGTACACATTGGCCGCAGGGTCGGCAAACTGGCAGAGCTGATCGAATTCCACAACAATACTGTCCGCGAGCTAGAGCACGTGTTGGTTCGGTATCTGAAAGATGGGAACATAGGAAAGCAGCGCCCGCAGATACGATTGGGCGGTTTCGTGTGTTTTGGGGGCCAGAAGGTGGATGCAATCGACTATTACACGTACGTTCACTCGGTGATTATGGTAGTCGGCATCCAATAATGAATCGATATTGCAGAGCTAAGTTGAGGCGATGTGAAGAAGCAGTCGAGAATTGCCGCAATGAGATCGCCACACGTCGAGCTGAAAGCTATGGATTTGCTTCTATGGCGGCCGTCCCATACGCGCACATTGTCGCGAGGTTGCTGAAGGACAAACACCCGAAAGGTACAACCATCACACTTGCTCCCAACCCCAAAGACATCGTAAGCTGTGATTCTAGGCCACGGCGGGAATCATGCATTTACAGTGCATTCTCCAGGTTTGGTCAAATCTGAGCATGTCAAAGGCAGAGCTCATGCGCAACCAAACATTTGGATGGTCATTTCTTGTCCTGGTGTGTTCCGTGAACACAGTGCCGCTTCTCATCATCTCGATTTTGGCAAACCTGGCTTCTGTGCGTTCACCCCTGCTTGGGCATTTGTTCAGATATTCTAACATCTGCCGCCAATAGCTGACCAGTTATGTGCCTTTCTTGGATAGATGGTCAGAGGCATCTCCAGGAACGTTCACGTTTATCTCTGGTGTACTGCCGCCTGCGGTGTCCGCGGCTTTTGGCTATGCGTTGCCAATTATCATGCGCTGGCTGACGAAGTACATGGGCGCGCATACGCACTCAAGGCTCGACCGCGCAGTCATCGCGCGGTACTTCGCGTTCTTGGTCATTTCCCAGCTGATTATCTTCACGTTGATTGGTGTCATCTTCAGTGAGTACCGGATCCAGCTTCGGTGGACGAAGAGATGACTCAGAGAATATCCTCACTAGATTCCGTTACTGCAATAGTCGAGCAGGTCGGAAAGCATGAAAGCATCGGGGAGATCGTCGAAAATCTACACAGTGAGTCGCCATCACACGATCACCGCTAAGGATTATTTCTCACACCTTAAAATGTGAAGCGCTGCCTAGCACCATAAATCGTACCTACATTGACCAGGCATCGTACTGGCTGACATATTTCCCGTAAGTGCAGACCGTGAGATGTTGCCACCCTCCAGTACTGATTGCTTCGAGCTAGGCTTCGCGGCTTTTTGGTGTTGTTTGATCTGGCGCAGATCATCCACCTGGTCATTGTATTTGTCAAGAAACAGTATGTGCGACCATAGTTGCTCGCCACTGGCTTTACTCATTCTGTCGCAGCCTTTTCGGACGAACACCGCGCGACATCCGTGAATGGACTCAGCCACCAGATTTTCAGTATGCGATCTATTAGTGAGTCCAAGTAGTACTTTAGCTGGCCTCACGTTGATCTTCCTTCACTAGCTCCAACCTGGTATGAGTCTGTCAGAACCACTGATAGCGATCACTGACATTCCCACAGCTTTTCATGGGTACGGTCGGACTCTTCTTTGCGCCACTGGCGCCACTTGTCGCAGTCGCTGCCATGGTCGTGTTCTGGCTCAGTTCCTGGGTCTACAAATATCAACTTATGTTTGTGTTTGTAACCAGAGTGGAAACAGGCGGGGTAAGTGATTCCTGAGAACATTGAAAATTGGTTGCTCAAAGGGAGTGCTCAGCGTTTATGGAATGTCATTGTTAACCGCCTGCTCGTTTCTACTGTAATCGGACAGCTGCTGATGGTACTCAGTAAGTTAATGATTCAATCTGTGATGCACTGATAATTGACGTGTACATTCTAGCGATCGGCCTGCAGTATGAGTTCCAGTCCTTCTTCTGGCTCTCTACCGTCCCGCCTATTCTATTTATCCTGGCTTTCAAGGTGTATATCGACCGGAATTTCTTGTCCAACTTCCGCTACTACATTCCTTCTGAGGATGAACTACGTCAAGCCCACATTTATTCAAAGCGCGCTGACGCAGCGGGCAACAAGCTCGAGAAACGATTCGGCCATCCGGCGCTCCATGCAGAGCTGTTCACTCCCATGGTGCACGCCAACATGACGCATCTGCTGTCAGAGGTGTTCAACGGCAAAATCGGAAGGACGAAGACGAAATTGGACGATCTGGGTGGCAGCAAGGTCGATGCGGTTGTGGCCGATGGCGTCAAGATTGCTGGTATTGAAGAGGTCCGTCCAGTGCTTCTGTTCCCGCTGCAATGCAATTTTCTGACTCCGATGTTGTTTCCACTTGTAGCGAGACTTGGAGTACGATCCCGCTCTCTATCAGCGCGACAGGGGCGAACTGGACTGGGACCAGCGCTCTATGTCGATGTCATCGGTCAACCTACTTGCTGGCGATAAAAACGTATCAAAAGCTGAGCTGTTCGCTGCGAGCGGCCGTGCATCCCCGGCCCCGTCGCAGAAGATGGCATATGACAAATATCTCGCGAACGGCGCTCAGCCAGAAATTGAGATGGCACGACTTGATTATGATGAGCAGCCTCTTTTGCCTACTGTAGTGAGTTTGACTTTCACTTCAGGCTGTGTTCGTATGCTAATGGGCTCAGGAGGCTCCGGGATATTCTGACCCATCAGATGCAAGGAGCATCTACAGCAATCCGCATTCTTATTCTCCCATGCAAGAGGCTCCGTCAGTGCCTTCGCTGGCTGCTGGCTACCGATCGGACGACGGTCACAGAGAAGCACCCGTGCATCGGCCACATCCTGCGGGTCAAGATTACTGGCGATAGTGTACGCTCCAAGCTGTCCCGCAGTTGTTCGCTCTGTATCCCCGCTGCTGGCGCGTAGATCGTGGTCGCGTTCGATGCACATGTATAATGTATGCTTCAGTTCCGATAGGGTGCTGTGCTGTATCTGATCAGTAGGCTTGGTTTGCATCCCTACGTGTACATTGTTTTGGTGGATAATTTGCCAAGACGTTGATAAAATACAATCGACAGTAATGGCTAGCTCTTCATTCGTTCGAGATTCGAATTCCTCATCACAGCTTACAGGGCACGGTGAGATATCGCGAGAAAGTTGCAGTGCTTTGCGCTGTCGGGAGTCACCTATATGAGATTCCTCGTCCCGATTTTCCGATGAATGATCATTTCTTCTTCGATCCGCCGCAGTAAGTACAAGAGGGCAGCGTATCTGTCGTCCGCATGCTGATGGCCGTTTGAATGAGCCGACTGCATATAACAAGCTACACGCGTGGAGGTATTGCCCTTTCATACAAAGCGTCATGACAGATGACTGAGTTCCTACGGCTTCTAGTAGTGCCGCATAATCGGAGCAGGGTACGCTTCATTTCGCGAGCTGGAGGATGAGGGTCCTCGATGACATATATGTAGATTTAATAGAGCATACGTACGACCGCTGTATACTATCCCCGCAATGCAACTAACGCTGGGCAGTTATTATCTAATCTGATAAGACCTCCATATAGATTAGATTAAATCCGTGCCCTATTGAGTCTCTTCTCCAGGTCTCTGAGTCCGCTAGTACTGCGTAATCTTTGCCAACACGGAGCTCCACAAGTTCTGCTCGCATATCCCGCGCTACTCGGAGTGCATTTGTGGAAAATACATACCTGCTCGTACCAACTCCTGTCCCGATTTCTCAACAGAGTCGAAGTCAAGAAAGCAATTAATGGCGACATCTGTCCGTCAAATTACATATTAGGCAAGAACAATTTCATGCCTCAGTAGTCTCGAATGCGTAGGCTGGTGCATGAGCGATCAATTTGGCCGTAGTGTTGGAGGATCGGGCTACCATTCGAGTCATAAACGCTGTCTGACCGACACAGTATCCGAGATCTGACCAGTTCATCATCGAATAATTCTCGTCCAGCGCCACTGATGCGAATCGCTGCTGACGATGTGCAAGTCATCCCACCAGGTACAGTATCATTGTACGGTTGATCAGTTGATATGAACTCACTCCACGCGGACGCAGCCGAGCCTGGGAGCACCTCGACAATTTGAAGGGTACGTCGTCCCATCAGCCGAGCGAACACATCAGCGTCGCCGTATGCGGGGTTGGGATCCCGCGCAGAATATAAGTGTGCTCGCTACTACCTCCATGCACCAGCTTTGGACGAATAGCGTGCTCGAACCTCTATAGCAGTATGCCTCAGACATTGTCTACTCCTGTTTTGATTGTGAGCTCAGCATCTGTTGTAATGTTGGCTATCTTGTTCACTCTTCGCGCTCGTCTTAGGTTGGAGCAGGTCCTGTGGGCCTTCTTTTAGCTCTCACTTTGCTGAAGAACGGAACTTCGGTTCGGATCATCGATAAATTACCAAGCTACCATGTAGGATCTCGCGGTGCTGGAGTGATGGTACGTTGTGTAGGCTGTTCCTGGATACCGGTTTCTGATGAAGTAATCTTAGCCGCGCTCACTTGAGTTGTACAATTACTTGGGAGTGCTGCCCGACATGCAGGCTGAGGGAGCTTCTCTCATGCCGATCAGGGTCTACAAATTACCAGGCGGCGTTGAAGTGTTGAAGGAGTTCAACATGCAAACGGCACAGGACCCTTCTCCCGATGTTCCATACGTGAGTCTAGTCTAGCCCTCAATTATTCATGTGGTGTGAATGATTGCGCGTTCAGATCAATGGCTTATTGATAGGCCAGAATCGTCAAGAAGGTGTACTACGCAAGCATTTGGAACAATTTGGGTGTCATGTGGAATTGAACACGGAACTGCATAGCTTCAGGCAGCAGGAGGACTATGTCGTCGCAGAGATTGTGAAAAAGACAGGGAAGAGCGAGCAGCGGGAGACCGTCCTCGCGCACTGGCTGATTGGCGCATACGGCGCAAAGGTGCGCACAGATCATTCGTACCAGCTTTCGTGGTAGTAATGTATAAGCAGGAATTGTGCGGAAGAAGCTTGGTCTAACATTTGATGGTGAGACTCGAGGCCGACAGGAGCAATTTCTATTCAGCGACGTCGAGATCTTTGGCATAAGCAAGGATGTAAGTCGTTCGCATTGTCCTTCACGACTTCACCATGCTAATCTGACCGTGTTGCAAGGCCTTGCATTCATGGGGAAATGTCAGCGATAGATCGTACGTGTCCGATGATAAATTGCTAGACCGTTGACATTCATGCCATTTCAGGCTCTCCCTTCGTCCCACATACGAAGGCGATGTCTTCAACATTATTGCCGCAGGACATGTCGACTATGCAAAGTTAATCGACGACCGGGAAGAACTAGTCAAGTTTGTCCATTCCGTGTCGAACAGGGATGATATCAAAGTGGGCAAGGTGATATGGCTGTCCGCCTATACGTGAGTTTCATTGCACAAATTTACGTTTAACGATACTCTCGCCTCACGCCTTTCCTTTATATAGGCCGAATATCCGGATGGTGGACAAGTTTGGTGAGGGACGTGTTTTTGTCGCGGGAGGTATGTTGTCCCACCTAATCTACATGTCAAATTTCATTGATTGCTCATAGACTAGACGCTGCACACGTGCATAGCCCTAGTGGTGGTCAAGTGAGGATTACTTCGCAGCTGAAGCAGCTTATGTGACCAATTCTAATCTGTTCTTACAGGGCTTGAATTCGGGCATTCAAGACGCAGTGAGCGATCTCGATCACGGTCGGTAGGCTCGCTCTGATGGCGCCGTTGCAGATTAACCTCGGCTGGAAGCTTTCTCTCGTCGAGAAGGGCATCGCCTCTCGATCTCTCCTTTCCACTTACAATGAGGAGCGTCTTCCAGTCATCAAAGATATGCTCAAGCGCACCACGGCTATCCTTGGTAGGATCATGGCTACCAAAATAGGGGATGATATCTCTGCCTGGAAACGGGAAGGGTTTCTGAAGCAACTCGGAGTTAACTATCGTTGGAGCTCCATCGTCGTGGGTGAGCGTACGCCATGCACCGCAGAGGAAAAGGCGGAGTTAATAGACAATGCGTACGGAGGGGGCGAGGGCATTCGCGCTGGAGACAGAGCCCCTGCCGCGCCGGGGCTCCTGATCGTCCACGAGCGAGAGAAGTGGACGACGAACATAACATCACCTCCCTTTTCCACATCTTCCGTCCTAATTCGCACACTGCACTGATTTTCTCCGCCGAGTCCGATAGTATCGGCTCTGTGCTCAAGGCAACGAAGCTCTATCCCGAGGGTCTGGTCCGCTCCGTTATCGTTCTCCCACAGACGGCTCCCGAGTGCGCCGATGTCCAGTCTGCTGACCTGCTTCTCTCGGATGGGAGTGGGCATGCCTATGAGAGTTACGCAGTGTCGCCGACTAGTGGTGGGATGACCATTGTTATCGTCAGGCCGGATGGTGTGATTGGAGGCATTGTGTTGGGCGTGGATGGTCTGACGAAGTATTTCCGAAATGTCTTCTCGGCGCTGGCGATGTAATCGGTGTCTTGGTTGGGTTCCACTTGGTATCTTATGACAACGTGCTTGAACATAGTGGATATCCCTCTCAAGTCTGGCATTGATGAGATCCCTTATCCTGATTGTTCGACGAAAGATTATGTTTCCCCTAGATCCGCGGTAAGTACGAAAGGCCAGCGTCTTCGCTATCTGCATGCTGATGGTCAATTGTTGAATGAGCCGCCTTCAGATAACAAGCTATACTATATGCCTTGCCGGTGGAAGTATTGCCCCTTATACAAGTGTCATGACAGATGACTGAGTTCTTACGGCTTCTAGTAGTGCCACATAATCGGAGCAGGGAGTCAATCCGATGATTGCTTCTGCAAGAAGCATACGTGACCTAATTCGTATGGAACCGTTGTTCGTATAATACGGACGAGTTCTGTGGGGAAGGCCGTCTTTCTCCCAGCTTCATTGATGGCATCCGAACCTGTAGTGCCTGTCTTGATAGTATGTACGATTCGTCTGCCATATTATCCTTACTGACTGAAGTAGGCTGGTGCTGGCCCTGTGGGCCTTGTCGCCGCGCTCACATTGCGTCAAAATAATATACCCGTACGGATCATCGAGAAGGAGGAAAGAATTCGCGTAGGCCAACGAGGCGCGGCTATCATGGTACGCACGGACCCAATATATCCGGCCACTATTGATTGCTCACCGCCTCGATAGCCTCGATCACTCGAACTGTACAACTTTCTGGGTGTCTTGTCTGACTTGCGTGCACGAGCGATCTCTATGGTTCCTATGCGAGTGTACAAGCTTCCCGAAGGGAGAGAGCCACTTGCGACGTTCCTGTTGGATCCTCCTGTGCAACCGACGCCGTACGTGCCTTTCGTAAGTCAGAAAACATTAGCATGCGAGACGTATTCAGATGCTCATTTCGTTTCGCGATAGACAAATATATCCATGCTTGCACAAGAGCATACAGAAACTATTCTGCGGGCCCACCTGGCCCGACACGGTTGCGAAGTTGAGCTTGGTACTGAGCTCCAGGGTTTCGAGCAAAACCGGGATCATGTTCTTGCACATGTCAAGAAAAATGTTGGCGTCCACAAGGACATGGAGAATATCGCGTGTCGCTGGCTTATAGGAGCAGACGGAGCCAAAGGTTTTTCTATCGATGTATCTGATTTACTTTGTGATATTGATAGCCTCATTGAAGGCATCGTACGCAGGCAGCTGGGTCTGTCTTTCCTTGGTGAAACATTAGGCGCCGGTCAACATCTAGTCGTTGGCGATCTAGAAATACGGGGCCTGGATCACGAGGTAAGCCATTGTTGGTGTACGATCATCCGTTCATCCATGATGTAATGCATCCCAACTGCAGCATTGGCATTCATGGGGGACTATGGACTCGGTGCTGTACGTACATACTATCGAACTGCACTATTGCGGTGAAGTACTGAAACTCCAGGGCATGGCAGCGTAATGTTGCGGGCCACAGAGGACGGCGACCTCTACTTTACCTTTGTGGGTGGGAAAGTGGACCATGCTAGACTGGTAGCGGACCGCGATCACCTTCTGCACACGATCCGAACGAGTACCGGCCGGCACGACTTAGAACTTGGTGCCATCAAATGGCTGACAGAGTGGAAGTCAGTGTGACATCTTATTTCCCGATTGCATATTCACGGGGAGTATCTGTAGGCCCAATATTCGAATGGTAGACCAATTTAGCAAGGGGCGTGTTCTTGTGGCGGGAGGTTAGTACTTGAATGTTTTCTCTGACTATTTCTACTAGAAGCGCTCTTGACATTCGATTCAACGTATAGATGCAGCACATGTGCACAGCCCTTTCGGTGGGCAGGTGAGCTTTGAGATTCCATATCGATGTTCGGTAACCTACTGAACGTGAGTACGTGCACAGGGTCTGAACTCTGGCATACAAGACGCCGTAAGTATGCTGTTCCGACAAGACCGCAATCGCGCAATTGAACGTTCACATAGGTTAACCTTGGCTGGAAGCTTGCCCTTGTTGAGAAAGGCGTCGCGCATCCCTCGATCCTCGAGACATACACTGAAGAGCGATTGCCAGTGATAGCGGAAGTCCTCAAGACATCAAACAAGTTATTCAACTCAGCGGTGAACGCAAAAGGGGACGGTGAAACGAACAAGAAGGCTTGGCATCGGGGCGGCTCCTTGAACCAACTAGGAGTGAACTATCGTTGGAGTTCGATTATCGTCGATGACCGCTTCCCTCGCGAAGAACACCCTACCGACCCCTATGGTGTCACCCACAATCCCACAGATCCGGTACGCGCGGGGGAGCGTGCTCCTGATGCGCCTGGTTTGGTATTGGCAGGGTCTGCGGGCGACGCAGGCAGACGGCCGAAGACGGCCTCGCTTTTTAGCATCTACCGCCCTTTCTACCACACCATCTTGATCTTCGCTGCAAATGCTGACGAAGCCGCACCGATCGTTGGAGCCATGAAAGCGTATCCTTCGGAATTAATTCGGACGGTTTTCATTTATCCTCAGGATACTGCATCCGATGCGACAAGCGCTGAAGGGGTAGATATCACCACAGTCGACGGCGATGGGCATGCGCATATAGCTTATGGGATATTGGAAGGGCCTACGGTAGTCATCATCAGGCCCGATGGAGTTATTGGAGGGGTCGTATGCGGACTGGAAAGCTTGAGAGGCTACTTTCGCCGGGTATTTTCAGGAACGTCGCCGAAGCTATAGTTATGCAGTTCATAGGATGGATTGTTCTTTGCATGTGTACGGGAGTATTTTCCTTGTCCGCAGAGAGTACATCGCTCGATTGGTGTCTATGGAGATTGCGCGTGTGAAGGTATGCGACATGAAATCGGACACGGAACCCGGAAGCCCTGATGCTACTGGTACAATGAAGCAGATACGTCAGCGAAAGAAGCATTGTCTCTAGGTGCAGATGCGCTCGAAAGAGGGTCCCGTAGAGGTGCTATATGTACAAACCAAAGTCGTGACGTCGTAAAGCAAGTATTAGGCGGAGAGCTAGTCTATTAGGAAGGAGTATATGAGCTGTCGGTCAACTGTGACTGTCGCCGCTCCATCAGATTAATGTCGCTTTCGGTGTGAATGCTGCCTTCCACTGGTGTTGGGGCAGAGGTGCTGCTCGCCTCCTGCACAGCGATTCTTATCCTCACAGGAGGCTTCTCCTTCTCGTCGGTGATGGATGCGCGCTCAGGCAATGGTGGAATCTCTTCTTCGTCATCCTCTGGGACTTTTCTGTAGGACTTGGGGAACAACCGATGCTGAGCATAGGCGAAGAGCAGACTGAGATGATGAGAGTGAGCTGACGGCGGGCACATCAGAGAAGGCGAGCACATACGCGGCAGGCAGGGAAATAGCAACGATGATGATGGTCGAGGTTGGTGGTTTCCATCCTTCCAGGACGAGGTCCTGGACAAGATGTGAGACAAAACGACGAGTGCACTGGGCTCAGACGTACCACCCAATGATGTTTGTTACGATCACACATTAACCGCAAACCAAGACTCATTCCCTCCTGCTTATTCACCGCGAGGTCAATACCCAACGCGATGAAGAAGGTTCCTACGGACGCCGAGGCAAGAGCCTGGAAATAGACAAGGTTAACTGGTGACGTTGCATGGAACGATATGCAACCTACGACTGCGATACGCTCGAAGTGAGGGATGACAAGGACATGGATGACAGCGAACGATGCGCCGATCAGCCAGTCGCCGTACACTTCGCGGACTAAGAGGTCCTCTCGGAACAGGCATATCCGAACTCCCCACGAGAAACCACTTGCCACGACGATGAGGATAACTCCAGCGAGATGTCCGAAATGGTGGAAGCCGAACAGGAACCCAGGAAGGAACAAGCATACTGGTATCAGGGTGACCACCAAATCCGACAGAGAATCAGCAGGCTCAGTGTTGATGAACGCAGCCCACACTGCCAATGTGTAAGTAGAGAACATCTGTCGACCGGCAGATCACTCACAGCAGGCAGTGGCCGTAATACCAATACCAATTCCAATTGTCATGCGTGGGATCTTGATACCAAGCAAAGCTAGTGGTACACCAATGACGAAGCAATAAACGATCCAAATGATTGCGGAGGCGTTAAAATCATGGCCGCTGCCGTCAGAGGCAAGGCCCTGTGCGGTGACATTGCCGGTGTCTGGGTTAGTCACGATGATGGTTCCGTTGCTGACGGTGCTGATTTCGGGATCCCATCGCGCCTGGAGAGCGGCGGTCGCCAAAGGAGGTGGCGATGTCAGAGGGAAGCCGCGGGTGAAGGTGATGAGGGCGAAGGAGAGCCATGCCAGGGCAGGAGGGAAGCGGGCTGCAGCGGCCATTGCAGACACGTCCTGACACTCTGGAGGACCGGGTGGTCGCTCTGAGAGTGTTTCGGAAGACGCCCAACCCTAATAGTGAAGGAGGAATACTTCGGAACTTAATGTGGAAATGCCGAACGGCTGATAAGGAGCGGACGGAAGGTAAGGAACGACGAGAAGTGAGAGGATGGGCTAGGTTTGCGACGGTGACAGCACCCAAGTGGCCAGAATCAGCCACGCTAGCTCACAGATACGCACCTCGCGAAACGCTTCAGAAGCCGCGGCTGTCGCGTAGCACGCGAATTTTTCCATCGGCACGACCATGAGGCCTCCATGTAGCAGGTGCATCCGCGGTAGTGGACGGTCTACAGTGAGCGAACACCGGCGCAATTGTCGTGCATCAGTGCAATCCGCATCTCGGACGCTACCACGCGGGCGTATTCGACTCGACCTCACGCTGTCTCGGAGCAAATCGCGCCATGTAGCGTCGCAGGGTGCGGCAGCGCCACGTTCTGCCACGTTGCTCTTGCGAACGTGCTCAACGCACGCATCGATGTGCGTCGGCTACATGGTCTTCGCTGTGAAGAATAACATCGATAGGATGCAATATCGCGCGTTTTTCCACTGACCTGCTTCCCCTCTGGAAGCGACTCTCTTCTTCTCTCCAACGCTCTGTCATCCAGCGCACTTATCTCAGCATTAGCATGCCTCGTTGCGTCGTTCTCAGATTAGCAGTCAAAGAAATTTTACGCGCACTCCTGAGAAGGGAGATAGTAGCGGTGACAGCAAGAATGAAGGCGGACCAGATGTTGCGCTGGCATATGTTTACACGACCACGTGACCGCGACGCGACGCGCGGTGCCACGCGAGTTGTCTTGCTGTCTGCGACGTCGAGCTCGTAGCTACGGGTCCACACTTTCATAAGGACCTGATTCAAAAGTTTGATTTGACGCGTACATCAAGGACTTGCTCGTCATCATCATCGACTCGACGCTGACCCTCACCCACACTCGAAGACGCAGAAGAGGAGATAAACGAACGGTACGGCTGATTGCAGCTTGGGAACTATGTTGAGCTTCGCTACTGAATTATGTGATTAGAATTATTGTTTGCATTTGGAAAGAAATAGGCTGGCTACTCAATCATTGTCAACTCGCTTCAGAAAGGCTTGAAGCTACTGTTGGAGATCCTGGCCACACTGCAGCTATGACAACACCAAAGGCGATATATTCCTCACAGAGCAGGCAAAAGGAATGCAGCGTCGAGCAGGCGGTAGACAAGGTGCTTGAAATTGTACGACTTCTTCATGGGCCGAACTATCTACGGGAAGATATCGAATGGGCTGCCAGTATTCCGACAGGGGAGCAAATCATTCGATGGGTAGCGTCTCAAGTGGATGATGTTTTCGTAAATGCGCAAGGACACCCTCAGTCATTTCAGCTACGGCTTACAGCTTCTTTGGAAGCAATTGCGTTATACGACGAAGAAACACAAAGGTGCCACTCGTAGGATTTTGCCTTTCTCCATAATTGAATGTATGCATCAGACCGTTGCACACTGTCCGATCAAAGGCTCCAGGAGAAGACATAGAACCTAACAGTTCAGACAAATCGTTGACCTCCCCACGATTGCGGCAAGTTTGCGAATCTTCTGTGACTGTTATTGCTTACCCATGTTGTTCTAGAGCAAGTACGGAAACAATGGAAGCTGAGACCGAGCTTCTTCAGGAAGAGACTAAGCTTCTACAGCACCGGGTGCGGAGAGCGAAGTTAGCAGTGTTGGGCTCATCGTTGCTCTATCGTGTCTGATGATTATGACAGGTTGGCATCCAAACAGCTTCATAATACGATTAGCACCCTGCGAACCGAACTCCAGGATACGTCAAAGAAACTATGCCAACAAGAAGAGCATCTGGGAGATATCTCATTGCAGGTGATTCACCTTCGTCCTATCAGCGGCTCATGTGACTGATAACGCGCAGGCGGATACATCAATAGTGAACTCTGTGGCTCATGCGAATAAACTGCTCGAAGATGTGGGCTCCAGTAACGTAGCTGGTACGTCTTTCCAATCCGAAACATGAGCAGAGGATTTATGACCACCTGGTTGGCCGTAGATGACATCTTTAAGCTCCGAGACGGCCTATCCTCCCTGACGGAATTGCGCTCGAATTTAGTCGACTCGGCCAAACAGCGGCTCGCAGCGGTGGACGAGGCTTATTCCTTACTGCCTGGACCTGTCGAGATCCCTCAAGAAGCGGAAACATTGCAAGAGCGATTGCAAGATCTACTGTTCAACATCGCGGCTCAGTCTGAACGAAATTCAGAAAGCCCGGACCTTGACGTTCTCGCTCAGTCCTACTGCCTGGAATTACAGAGGATTTCCGAGAACCTCGAAGCCGCGCAAGATGTAGAAGGTAGACGTGCCGCGTTGAGAAGCGTTCTCTCTCATGCTGATGTTGACGCCGTCTCCGACCTCGATGACGAAAACGTCGCCGAGATCGGCGTGGACGTTGGCAATGAGCTCGAACGAGCATGGAGACTTGACCAGAAGGCATTGCTACTTGCTAGAGAAAAGTGCTTGGATGAGGTGAGCCAAAGAATCTGCCATACGATCTGGACATTAATGAGTCGTCCTCGCAGACAATCGAAGCTTTCGGACGTGATCTGCTGCCACCGTTACAAAACCTTTTCGAGAAGCTATCGGAATGCAGCGAAAATGCGTTTGAAGCGGAAGCACTCGTCCGGACACTGACTGAAGAGCTCAAAGGCATCCTCGATGATGTCGACGCTGCCACGGAAGCCGACACGACGGTCAAGGTTTGGTCAGACTTGTCAGCCGGCACTATCCTCGAGTCTGAGTTGGTCGAATTGCTCAAGCGTAAGCAAAGTACGATGCATCTAATTCCTTGCGCAGTGGTCACATTGCTCATGCGATGTCGACTAGATCTTCGAAGTCAAGATGCAGGGCCCCTTGTTCTCCTGGATCGAACCGACTTGGAGAAGGAATTACATGAGGTTTCGGAGAGGTTGCATGCTGCAGAGGATGCCGAAATAGAATGGTCATCCTCTCTCCCTTCGAGACTGTCTGAGCTGTGAGCTGCACATATCTACTTTGCACGCGCTTGCCGCTGATTTAGGACAACCATAGGACTGGCGCTCATGCTTCCTTGATCTCCACCATATACGCCTATTCGCCTGTGAACACATCTCCACCATTCTCCCTCCCTCCTTCCCTGCAAACTCTCGAGAACGAAGCAGCCGGAGAAGCGAAGCGCCTTAGTGCAAGCATTTCGAGGCTGCAGAAGGTATCTGGTATTATAATATGCATCGTTCTCACTGACAACTTGATACAGGATGTCGAGCTCAGCGACCGCGACAGGAAGAAACTGAGCACGTTTATAAAAAGGTGGCGTTAATTGCTGGCTGGGGGTGTACATCAAGCATACGAGAAGGGAAAATGTGAAGACGTATTCCTCTTAAGGTGTCAGGTTGCGGAGCCGCAGCGATATCCCCATACTGTCGATGTGGTACGTCAAACGACCTTACATTCAAATCTTCGATCATAGGTCGTTAAGACTATGGCCAGACCAGGAAGGCGTCGTTTGGCCTAGAGAGACTGCGCATCTGATTGACTCTGGGCACGACCGCCAGTTGGTTGGATCATGTTGGCAGTGTCTCTCTATCTGATCGACACCCTCGTCAAATTGACCAGTTATATCTCGCTTGTTCTTGTCCCTTTTGCAGTCTGGTATTTTTTCCTCCTCAATTTGTACATTAGAGCAGCTGCATAGGTTGAAAATTAGGATTCTCGTGATAGCGCACGTCAGCAGCATTCGCACGTGAGACCCTCGAAACACGGCGCAACTGAAGTAAATGGAACGCATCGGAAGGCCGGAAGCTTCGACAAGACAGCAATCTCTACACGCTGTACGATAGATCAGCAAACGCCTTCCTTTACTCGATCGAAAACACGACTGAAGTATCCCTCCAAGCCATCCAAACCGAAAACCAGCCCGCCCATTATTCCATCTGGCCTGACGATAGCAAGTGTCATCATCTTCTGAGAGCATGCGTAATTCAGGTATGCGTGGCCCCTTTCGTTCACCACCACGAAATCGGCGTCGAGCAGCTCCGCAGCTGGAGAGGTCCCCTGTGGGTAGATCACGAGAGACTTCAGGGCGGATGTAGGATATCGTTTCAGCGATTCCAGTATATTTGCGATGGTGTCCGTGTTGCCCGCGAAGAGCATGACTGTGTGATGCGATGGACCGAAGATATTGAAGAGAGAGATGGGGTTCACTCCACACCTCGGGTCTCGTCCTTAATGTCGATGAGGCGCAGTCCAGGTGCATCAGGTGCCCTATCTCCCGCACGCACAGTGTCACCCAGCTCGATACCGTATGGATCCATCAGCACTCGCGACGCGCCCTCTAGAGGGAAGCGCTCGTCAACCACGATGGAGCTCCAGCGGTAGTTGACACCGAGCTGCTTGAGCGGCCCGCCCCTATCCCATGCGGCGGTGCCGCTCCCGTCACTCTTCATCGTGCTTGCGGTCGTGTCTAGAATGGCGGTGGTGCGCTTCAGGACGGCGGCAATGACGGGCAGGCGCTCTTCGGTGTATGTGGAGAGCAGCGAGGGTGCTGCGAACCCTTTCTCTACGAGTGCGAGCTTCCAACCGAGGTTGAACTGGGAGTCCCAGTTCCTTAGCGTGCTTCCAGCAGGCTTGCAAACATGGTGCGACGTACCGAGTCTTGGATCCCGGAGTTCATGCCCTGAGGTGCAACGGAACAGTAAGTGTCTGACAGAAAGGTTGTAAGGAAAAACCCTGCCTGGGCCCCGAACGGAGTGTGAACGTGAGCAGCGTCTACATAGCGATTGGTCAAGACATTCCCTAGACAAACAAGACCTTGAGCCACTCACCTCCAGCTACAAATACCCGTCCCTCTCCGAACGTGTCGACCATCCGCATGTTAGGTCTGCCACATTAATGAAGCTGGGGCAGCTGTTCGATACACCTAAAACCTACCTGAATTCAGAGAGCCATCTGACTTTGCGGACGTTTATGTCATCCCTGTCAGTTCCGGTGCGGATTGTCTTGATCAGCTCTTCTTGGTCCGACACCATCCTTGCATGGTCAATTCTGCCTCCTAGGATCAAAGCGAACAAGCCTTCTTCCTCGGTAGGCCTCAGCATCACGCTGTGGGGCACAGCCACGCATCAGAATGCAACCGTTTGAACGATGGTCACTTGGAAACCGACAGGATGGTCGACATACCTCCCCAGAAGTGCCAGTACTAGATGTTCGTGAGCAGGCGCGGGAGTGACAGAGGAAACGGTGATGAACACACCTTGCGGTCCAGTCCCTCTACTTCGAGATCACCAACAACAAACCACATTTCTTCCCCTCTGGTCTCACCTAGGAAGGACAGGCCAAGCTGCCTGCGTACAGTTCCTATTTTATATGTGTCAAGGGAGGAATCGTTCCATCTATCAGAGGCCTACCTCTCGCACCATCAGTTCCTACAAGCCAGTGAGAGGAGATCGTCTCTTGGATCTTCGCATCGCCTTGTCTCTTCACAACATGGGCATCGACACGGTCTGCAAACTGCTCGAAATCACGTAGCTCTGTGCCGAACTCGACTTGACACCCTAGCCTCTCTATATGAGAGCGTAGGATCGCCTCTGCATTGTCTTGCCCAAGTGCTAGAATATTCGGCTTTTCCATTAATTATTAAACAGTGGCACCATCAGGGACAGAGTACAAATTATATTGTGAGGGGGCATACATATTGAACGGCCGGTGTCGGCTCAACGTTGGGTGCCATAGAGTAAGTCTTGATGGGTTCCGCGCCTCCAGGTACTCTGTATACCCGGTTGTAAAAGAGCGATAGAGCTTTCGCTTGCACGTCTGGTAGAACGCCTAGGTAATGAAACAGTTCCTGAGAGCGCGGCTACCAACAGAGGTGTTATCAGAATAGGTCAGACGGTACTTCACGGGAAAATTGGCACCATAATACCTGCCCCGCGCTGTCCGGGGCGAGGAGTCCGTTCCCTCTCAATGATGCGCACAGAAATGCCATTCCTGAGTAGAGATAGGGCAAGTACAAGTCCTACAGGCCCTGCACCAACCTATAGAGACCGGTGAGTCGTCGAAGGCGTCGAGAAAATCAGCGACGTACCACTAGAACAGACGTTGACTTTTCGGAGGCCATGGTTCTTCACTCGTTGGGGAGAATAGATGATTTGGCACGTGGTACCGCCCATGACAACTTCATCGTAAGTCAACATCCGGACTGGTGACAAATGTCGAACCCTATGACTCCGTGAGCATTTCCATTGAAGGAATACCAGTAGGCTCAAGGAACATTCGGAAGCAACTGATTTTCGCGAAGAACTGAGAACCATCGTGGGAGGTTCAAATCGCCACAGCGATCATAGCTACGGCAGGATGGGGATGGTGTTGTCTATGAGTGACTGAGGGGTGAAAGAAGGCTGATGTTAGCATGGAGGCCAAGTAGGTATCAGATACGAGTCAGAAGCCATTTCACAAGGGAATATAATATTTCAATTACAAGATGACAATGCAGAGTAATGACAGGAGATGTAGAAATCAAAGTGTGAGCGAAAAATAAAGAAGCGCCCGGAGGAGATTGAACTCCAGAGTCAAGACCCTCATGGACGGGTTCCCTTTTAGGGTGGCCGCAAGGGTCTGGTCACGAGACTAAAACGTAATCACTCTCACCAAAAAGTCCAAAATGATGATGTAAGCGCCTTCCGGTTCACTTGGCTCCCATCCTCCCTTCCCTGTCTGTGTGAAAACCTGTCTTCTGGCAACGACCGACGACATCACACGCCCACCTTGGGTAAATTAACGTACGTCGTCCTTATCTCCAGTGGCCACCATTGCAGCGTCCTCCGATAGGCGAGCTGACCGATTTTTTCAGCGACAACCCCGCCACACGAGCCCAAATGAATGCTCCGTGCGCCACAATGCCCGCTCTCTTCCTCGATGTGCACTCTGACTATCTGCGTATCAGAGTCCAAAGTAGCAGCTCAGGCATTGGGCTACTTGATAATGGCCCATTGAGCGTGAAGCGTGCGTCCTGGCGCTTTTGAAAACGCCGTGAACATATACGCTGATCCCCTTCCTTCTAGTTAGTTGTTCGGGTTACAGGCCTTCCTTTCACGACATCTCGGGAAAGAGAACTCATAGTTGAGATCCATGTGGGATCGACGAGTAAGCAAGTGTCCTATTTGTACAAAGGATCGTCGAGTGAATGCAACGAATTCCTGGACGGATTGTGAGCAACGTTTGCCCGTTTGTTTTTATTTTTTTCATGTTGACTGCACGTTGTTTTTAGCACGGTTGGTGCTGCTCCGACATTGGCGGTGGACGTCTGCGTGAAGCGAAATAAGCACAACGATTTGGTAGGCAAGCACGTCGTTCCCATCGTTTCGTTGCCCGATCGGAAGCAGTGCGGTGCGTCTTGTGGTGAGGTTGCGTATTCGTTTTTCTCACCGTGACATGTACTCCGGCAGAGCTTGTTATTCCGTTGTCCTCGTCCGGAACCAGGACACATGCCCAAGAGGTGAAAATCACCGTTGAAGTCACCTTTTCCGTGCAATCAGAAGGGCCCACCGTCGCAACTGGGCCACCTTCTATGCCGATCCAGAAGGCTACGCATGCGCAGATGATGAAGCGGAAAAAAGTGCGCATTCAATTGCACACTCAAGGGTTTTTTCAATACATAGCTGAGCTGATAATCACTCATCTACAGAAGAAGGGCAAGAAGTCTGACAAACAGCGTGAAGGGGATCATCTTGCGACTACCTCCAAGAGTGTAAATGGTGTGTTCTGAAGGACTCATCTGACGATATATCTGATGGCTGATCAAGTTTTGTTCAAGCACCGGGGCCTTCTACCGCCGGTGGCAGCACAGTCTCTGAAGCCGAAGAATGGTTGTGGGAGCCGCACCTTAAGCAGAAGTGGGAGACTGCTCCTCAAACCTGGCAGCAGTTCCTGCAGCATTGGTCAAGCCAACCGGACGAGGACACGGAACCTGCTCCTTATTCCATGTCACTCGGGCTGGCCACACGGCCCCCCAACTTGCCTAGCACTATTTTAGTATTGGCGTCCTATAAGAAGCTTTTTGATCGAGCGTGGGACTTCTACAATCGTTATTATCGCCAAGGAATACTGCTTACAGGTCAACCCGGAACAGGTATGTCGCACATGTCCTTATTGTTGGCGTGACGGCGATGAAACATTTGGCCTCTTCCTAGGTAAATCCACCTGGTTGTGGTATGTTCTTACCCGGCTCTTGAGGAGGGGGAAAAACGTGGTGCTTTCTTGGAGCGGGGACGTTTTTCTGTTCTACTCTGGTACCGTTTATGAGGTGCAGAGCGGCGCCTTCTCCGGCAACTATCTTCCGCGGCCTCCTCTGTTGGGAAAGAACGAGAAAGATTCCTCTTTGCGTTATATCTGGGGACTGATAGATGCAGAGAGCACGGTTACAGAGCCCCCCCCCGAGCTTGGTACTTGATGGCGGCATCTTTCCGATTCATGCTTCGTCTCCCAATCAAAGTCGGTATAAGGGTTGGAGCACACAGCGAAAGGCGCACACATGGGGCATGCCTCTGTGGGAACCTGAGGAACTTAAACGAGGGTACGTCGCTATTGATATCATCCCAGAGCTTACACTGATCCACTTTCATCGCAGTTTTGAGCTGCAGGATCAGTATGAGGCGTTGTTGGAAGACGTGACCAAGGCCTACATGGATCCCTCGCTTCCTCGCATTCCTGCGGTTGCCAACGTCATGCAAGCTGCTGACGACAATCACGACGACAATCGAGGCACGCACGGTGGCTGTGAACGTGCTCTCAAGCCATTGAAAAAGAGCATGCTCAAAAAACACGCCCGCTTGCAAATGCTGAAAACTCTCGAAAACGTCATTGATCTGTACGGCCACTCTGCACGTGACGTTTATATGGGAGTATTTGATCCGGACACCATGCGAGCTCGTCTTTTGCACGCAGTGCGAAACGTGACCTGGGCAGACCTTAGAAAGGGCCTACCTAGCGATAACCCCGGAGAGCTCTCCCATCGCATAGTGGCTGTCATTGTGAAGCCGGCTGATGGTCCGGCTGAGGACCAGTTCTTCCTAGGATTCAAGTCCGACCATATCCAACGCGAAGTCGAGGATCGATTGAAGCTCACTCAAATTGATGATGCATTCTCATTGTTGCGCAACTGCCTTGTGACTCCGCGAGGTACCTCGCTTGGCGGGTTTGTTTTCGAGAACTTGGCAAACAGTTACCTATCAGGCTTGACACCGACGACTCCTGAATATCCCTCATTGCTTCCTATGCGAAGAAGCCCGCAAGGCCGGACGTTTGTTGCTCCTGAAATGCCAGTGGTAGCTTCGACTCCTACACTTTCACTTCCTATTCGACGGAGAACACGAACGAAATTTGAAGTGAACAAATCCTCGGCTGTGCGGCTCAAATTACCTGTAGATGAATGCTTCTACATCCCGATCTCTCAAAATAACCCGTTGTTTGACTCGTTCATGATTGAATGTGACGACGACGGTGCCACGTTGTGGATCTTTCAGATGACTGTGGGCAAGGAGCACCGTGGTTCAGCATCCGGCTATGATATCATCACTGGTATCGAGGAATTCGTTCGCAGACAACTACGTCAGCATGCAAAGGTACCGAGCGACGAAGATGGCAGTGTCATTGGTCAGAAACGGAGTGGGCCTGCTCCTGAGGGATCGCGGAAGAAGTTGAAGAGCGCTTGCGAGCATGTCGATGTGAAGTCAAAATTTGTTCTTGTCTGTCCTGATCAAGCACAACAGTGGACAATGCCCATTGGTTGGAAGGACGATAAGGGGTCGGTGTACTGTCAAACGATCCCTATCCAGGTGAGTTTCTACCATCATCTTCCAATGAATGCCAATGCGAAATAACTTGCGCGTCTCAGGACTATATATGAGGCCACTATCAGTCATTATTTCCGTCTGCAATCTCTCTGTAAAGACTTTGATTTGTATAGTTCGTGTTCTTTCTTTCTATCTTGTATTATAACCTTGACATGGACGGAGCACGAGGCGATCGTTGCTCACCATTCCATGGATTATGAAGAAGTTGCGATACTTCATTCGGCAGGCGCACGCTTGATAGTCTGACTCGGAAGACACGGTAATGCACGGGTATTGTGTCCAGTTCACTTCATCGATTTCTATAACATGCACGTTGAGTCGATCTGGCCCCATCGACATGAGGAAGCCTGCAATCTGCGCAAAGTGATGATGTTGTCGAACAGCTGTGCAACGGGGCCATCGACGGTGAGGCTCGTGACTCGTGCAGCAGCGGCCATCTCTTTGCCGTGTAATCTCTGACGGCATCGTCGCAGCCGTGTGTTGTCCCCGCTAGCCTGTACTACGGATATTTGCGGGCCACGGGGAGAACGGTCGTCCACTGCCCACAGGCGGTTCTGCGAGAAGACGTCGTAGTGATGGCCTCGGAGAAAAATGTTCTCAGCCACTGTTCTTTTTGAATGGAAGAAGCTCGTCGATCCATCATAACCCTAGCGCTGATTGTAATGTCAATTATCAGATGACGTACAGACTTCTCTCGTTTCTTATGTGATGGTATGGCTTGAAGATGCCACCCAGTGCAGCCACAAGTCTTTCGATCTGATATCGCATGTTACGAACGCTGGGGCCCTTGGTCTTCTCGGTTGCCTAGTCCTGCGATATCTTCGCAAGTTCAGGATGTCAGGCTAGCAGGGTCTCAGTCTGAGCGGTGAGCCAGGCAGAACGAATGATTGGGGAGGAACGATTAATGATAGCTCAGAATTAGAACTGGGAGCTTTTTTTTTTGAATTTACGCGTACGCAGTTCGACATCTGTAAATCGAATGAGGACCTATGAGGTCAATCGAGGTTTTTGAATAATTGACATAAATCATTTAAAATCTATTTCAGCATCAGATAAGTATGAATGTTTAGAAACATTACAGATATTTTTCACCTCAATCAAGTGCAGTTATGCTTAAAAGGGTTGAACTCTTTTATCATACTTTCACCATCATTCAATGCAAACTATCGGTTCTTACAACCCAGTGCTTCGGAATTTAAAAGTACATCGCTGCTTTCGCGAGGCAATCGATGCGCATGTCGCCACTCCCATCTTTCCAACGACTTCAGCCTTCAAATCTTGCTTTCCAGGAAACCTAGCACTCAGCAGGAGGGCCAATTGCGCGGCAGCTCCCCCCAGAAGCTGGGGCAGGGAATTGTGAAGAGAAGCCGTTTGATTTGTCTACAACGTGCAACCGGCCGCCCCTCCTGAAAATCCGTCCATAACGCTGACACTCAAGCCCACGGACTCAAAAGGTACGGAATCGAGTGCTAGATGCTGCGAGAAATGCGTTTAAGTAGAAGGTTTCCAGCAAGTTCGAGCGTTCTGCAGGGTTGGATAGCGCTCACACCGCAGAGGCTCGATCTTGGGACAATCGCTCTTATCTTGCGCAGGAGAAATTACACACGTGTCCCTCTTACTGTGCGGAACGACCAGAGTGGCTGGTTTTCGTGGATCCGCGATTGTTGCGGCGGTAGCCCGCTTACCGCCATTCCACAAATCCCTCTCGTCACCCACAAGGTGTTGAACATCGATATCTGGATTCTGATTGCTGCGGGTGTTCGTGCTTGTCTTCCCGAGAATCTTGCTCGTTCATCTAGAACTCGACGGTCGATCTCGCCGATCTGCACTTATGGCCGGTGATTTTACGGCTGCCAACATGTTGTCCCGCACGCTTCCGGAGGCTCTCAACTTTCGGAGGGATCAAGTGCCTGTTCAGGGTGCATTGGCGGAGCTACGCAAAGAGTCTCTCGACATCTACAATCGTCTCCACTCAATATCCGAAGACATTGACTTCGTGAACGATATCTGTGCGGCGTACCCCCATCTTCCTGTCCTACGTGAGCCCACCTTCTAAGTCAAGTTTGAGAGCCGCTACTCATGTCCCTTTATTCAGCAAATCAGCGCTGTGGCGCCTGGTACGTTGATCCGGCGATTGTGCGTTCCATAGACTCTTTATAGTGGGAGTACCGTAACAACTGATCCCAAGGCAAGGGAAGAAACAGCATATTTCAAGTCCACTGATGGCCACTTCGGTAATTGGAGCTTCAACCTCCGTCGACCCAATCTTCACCTGCTGTCAATCATTGCCTGCGAAGGCGGGTACGTCAACCTGCGTACCAATGTTCGGAATCGCGGTAATTGCTGACGATATCGACCAGGATGATACTAGTGGATTCTACGCGAGCGGGTAAGAAGGTGCCGGATGCACTTTCGAAGACCGTACCCATCTGGTGTGCTGTCATCAATCGTGCCGTGCGCCGCAAGTACTCGAGTCCCGAAAAGGATGATTGGGATACGCAACTGTACTGCTCAGCCTCAGCTGTCAGTGCTCAAGAGCAGGCCCAAATTGAGGCTCGGCTTGATACCTGGGTCGATTCGCTCATCGTAGGCAGCCCACTCTGTTCTCCCAGATCGATGCTGAGACAGCTCGCAGGACTCTGCCTACATCTTAGCAGACCTTTTGCAGCCTTTACGACCAGTATGGGTCACTCCTTCGACTTCCGTTCTACCAGACCTGTCGCCAGGCCGGAACCTCCCGTTCTACCCAATCGTCTGCGTCTCTGCATCTCAGCAGATCCATGAAGGACTGCAACGGCGGTCGCACGGCTTTGCATACATCCAGGGCTCCGGAGACGACCACGAGTCCTGGGGCATGGTCAGTTTGTTTCATGTAGCTTTGTGTCTGAAGAAACTAAAGGAAAACACAACACAAGGGGTTGAACCCGCCGTTGTTCTGGGAGAACAAGGACGAGCTTCTGGCGTGCGATAGACCGGGTCTGTCGGCACTAATAAGACCTATCGTCGCCAGGACTCGAGCACCGGCGCAGCATGATGGATGGACGGTCAAGCCTTCGCCGATCTCGCACATCGGTGGTCAGATCCTAGTCGGTGTGGTAGACGACCTACCGTTCCCCGCTCCACGTTCGCTGCCAGGCAGCTCGGTTGCGCTGGCATATGTCCTGCTCACGCACAGACCCTGGCTAGCAAGTCCACAAAACGGAGCGAGCGAGGATATCCTCGGCCTCCAGATGTTGGAAGGCAAGAAGGACCAGATCCACTTCCTTCAGAACGTCCTACCTCGGTCAATGGCGTTCATCGGCACATGCCTCACTAAGGACATGCAGATTTGCGTCTGCTGCGATACTGGCAAGGATGCATGCGTCGGCGTCGCGTTGGCGGCTCTGCAGCTGTTCTTTGACGATTCGGGCAAGTTTGCGGCAACTCGCGAGCAGCAGGCGGCGCTGAGTAAGTAATAGTATGCAAAGTCCTCTTCACTACGAGATATCTCTAATACAACCCTAGGGAGCACTGCGAGCAAACAGTCGTTACAAAAGCGGCTACAATGGATCATCTCTAGCAGACCCCAGGCAAACCCCTCCCGCGTCACGCTCAAGCGTGTCAACGAATATATCCTAACGTCGCCTTCCTTCCGCCGTCAGCGCGGCGTCGACTGCTCAACGTGACTCTGACTCTTGTTCTTGCTATCTAGGGTGTCATACACGTTTCATGGGGCGGATGTTGACTGCAATTGTACTATAAACGATCAATTTGAATGCTCTTTGGATGTCCGGATGATACGTTGATGGAATGATGTGATATGTGCCTGGTTGTAATGCGATGCGCGGCGTTACCGCTCCGGCGATTGCGTCCGAGTAGGGTCCTGAGGTGCCGACAAGGATGCCGCGGGATGCTTTTCTCTGGAAGACTGAGACGTTGATGGATGTAGGTGACGTAGCGTCGGCCAGCTGCAAGCGAACCCTGGAGTTTGATGAATGGTTACTATGTCGAAGAAATCTGGTGAGAACTTTGCTCACTTAAGGTATGCCGGAGCGTCAATGCGTAGCTCATATGCAGGGTTATTGGCGAACTTGCTGGAGCTGGGGCCTCCGCCTGCTGTCCCTGCAGTCCTGTGGAATGCTCAGCGCGGCACAGACAATATGGAGCTGGTTAGACATACCACGCATCCCGAAGCACGCGACTGAACATCCCGGCACCCTCCTGTGGTATTGAAGTGATCTCAACGGGATATGCACTCTCAACCTGGATCTTGAATTCGCCCAGTTGCTGAGGCTCAAAGGTCGAGATGATGAGAGTGTAGTCTCCAGCTGCATTTTCCATTAGCGTAAAGTCAACCTATTCAGAAGTGAGTACCTGGTACGTCGCCGTATGCGCGTGCATATCCATAGCAATATGGCCCCGAAGTTGCGACCAGGTCATTCTGGCTCAACCTAGGACAACATTCATCAGCGCTAAAACCCAAGAGGACCGCACATCACAAACTCAGTAATCCGCTCTCCCCTCGACCAGACTAGCGAGGCGTTGATCGGTGTCCGCCGGGATCCATGCACTGTGACCGACACAGGTACCTTGACGTTGGCATTCCTTCCGAGCTTCCTGGATTGTTCCACGTTAGGGTGGATCCGTAGATGGAATTGAGGATTGTCCATAAAGGTAGGATAGCTATAATTGCCTCCAGAGGTCTTGCTGGTGAAAGCGCCATCAATCTTCATCATGGTCATCATGGTCATCATGGTCAATAGAGAAAGGATGACAGCAGCTGAAAAAGCGGCTCACTTCCTTCATATACAACGCTTTGGGTGGATTCTCAACCCAGGAAACGTCAGTGTCCGAATACACATTGATCGTGAATCCCACGTCACTGAAGTGGCCATCATACGCTGCTATCAGATGCAAAACGGTATCGGTGGCTGACACTCTCGTTCGAACCTAGTAAAGGTCAACGAAAACCGCATATATTTACTTGTCAAACGACATACCAGAGTATGGATGCTGTTGGTGTATTCTCCCTGAATGTAGAAGCTTAACATGGCTTCTAGTTGATCCTTAACGAGCATACCTTCAGCATCGTCGGGTCAATGTCCGCAGGCGATTGCCTTCCATCGTCTTGACCGTTGACAAGGAGAGAAATATACTCAGAGGTGCGTGTAGTATCCGACACATGGCGTGTCAGCTGGATCCAGATCTCACACCCGTCCTGGGCGGCGGTGTCCATTCCCGTGCGTAATTGCAGCTGAAAGTAAGATGCTACAAATCCTGTCAGGAAGATTGCATGGCGTCGTGGCAGCAACGTACATCGATTCACGCCCTCTTCGAAGGACGGCGACTGAGCCTTCCACGTTCCATGGAAAACAATCTGATTGCGGAAGATTCCTGGGTCCCAGCTGAGGTATACGCCATCGAAGTGGCTGCAGACTGTATCCCAACCGAGGCTGAAGGTGTCTGATCATACCCCTCTCAGAATGGTTCCCAAACCATTCTTGGGACATACTCACATGAGTGGTCACACACATAGTTGGATGCTGCTTGCGCTTCCCGACCTTGTACGTTTGCAGTCTGCGTCCACGAGTCGAGCATCGTGACCTGGCGAACGCCATCATGCTCTTGCACGTCTTTTGTTGCTCGTGAATACGTAATGTTCGAACGGCTATAAACTTCCACTCACCGATTACAGCATAACAATGGGCCGGGAGGAGCGTGAGTTCAGACACCAACATCGAAGAAGCCGGGGCATCGCAAGTGCCTACGGTGAGGACACAGGACCCTATACGTAGGTCGTAAGTCTACACGATATTTCCTGATCCACACAGGGCTACTCGCCCTGAATGAAGCCTTCGATTAAACGCATCCATAGTTGTTCTCGTTGAGACCTAGAAATGCAACCGTGATCAGCTTGACTGTGTACGTACACAAAGTAGTTTGATTCCTGACAACCTGAGATCTACATGCTCCGGTATCCAGCCCACGAGAGCACTACCGGAGTAAATTTAGTAACATATGCGTTTGATATCACAAGAAATCAAGGCTGACTGTAGGTCTATGCAGGAATTTCTGCAAAGGGAGTGAGAAGGATGATCTCCACGGAAAGAGGTGGCTCACGATCCGGGAAAATCGTATCCGCCCATGAGTTTCATGTACTATGGCAACTATGACGACATGTTCCAACGGAAAATACAAGAATCACAGCTTACGGCTTTCTCGACAAGCGACGGCCAGATTTGGTGCTCGGCGCCAGTTGACATGCACATCAACCCACCCTCCGGGTAAGTTGGCAACTTGTCATCAATAGCTGAGATGTCGCTTCAGCCGAAGGAAGGAAAGCAGAGCTGGTGATTCCTACGTACTTATCTATGGAAGTATGAGGTTGCGGTCATACGAAGAATCAATGTCTCCTTACGCGTCGGAAAGCCCCATTGAAGAGAAAGCGAAAATGATAGACTCCACTTCTTGAATCGTAAGACTCATCTCCTGGATCACGAGGATGTAGGTTGGACAGTACTATCTGCTCGGAGTCAGCGCAATGAAGCTAAGGTAATCGTGTTGTACCGTTGACCTTTGAATTAAACCGACAGTGATGTCCAACACAGACAGCGACAGAAGCACAAACAGAACAGTCGGTGATTATGTGTTGAACAATGTCTTGAGGTGACAAACGCTGTGCTGATGAATATACCATCGTCCCTTCAGCCTTACGCCAGATTGCATCATGCTGTTGCTGCTCCGGCGATAGTTCGGGTTGTCTGGAAGAAAGATTATCACGTTTTCGATTACGTTAAGGCAGTCATGTATGTACCGTACGTCATCCGATGCGCTCGCGCTGCTATCCCAAAGCGGTATGCGAACGTTATTGACGAATGATGACTTTCTCAGCACGTAAAGCTGTTCTTCTGTGAAGCCAAGAAGTCTTCAGCGCCAACCTCATTATCTAGTGCTAACTTTAACCCACGTTCGGAGAAATAGTCCTTGGCTACTGGCGTAACATCAGGGCGGACGGCTTTGATCTTCTCTGCACGTTCTAATGCCTTTCCTGCCTGGAGTTTGCAACTCGCACGTAGACCGGCATCGTTGCATGATTGACTGAGGTGGAGGAAATCTTCAGCCGCTTTCACGTACAGGCGGAATGCGCGATCTAGATTCTGTTGCAGTTCAGACTTGGCAGCCTTGGAATATGTTGCCTACACGCCAAGATGATCAGTAAGAAGTGATGGCGGCCAAGCAGCTGCATACCTCTGCATCTTGAAACATCATCTCTGCCTGCTTGGCAGACACCCAAGGCATAGTACGCGCGTCGTGTATGGGTGATGATTTTCTGCATCGTTATCCGTGTCAGGTTTTCGTTCATGTTTACCCCTGCGCTGTGGCCACTTACCATGTATGGGCGATCCGACGACCGCAGAATCGGCGCCTGACCTGGCAAGGGGCACACACGGCAGGATAATGTGAATTAAATTCACTGCCTGGTGGATGCCTTCATATAGGTTCTTCCAGCCCTGGAAAGTGGGGGTAGAAGGATGAACTGTAACGTGAACGTAAGTAGGCTGTGCAGGTTCTCGCGTTGCTCCGCCCCAAAAACAGACATTTCAGCGCGGTCACGTGAATTTAATATTCGAGTCAGGCACGTCCCCGCCTTTTTCCGGCTGGCTCGTTTCATCTAAAGTCCCGACAAACACAATACTGATAGCATTGAGAAAGCGAACTCGAGCTGTGGCGGTGTCTTAGCTTATACATACATGTCATTCTCAAGAGAATGATATTGGTACAAACAAACAAGCGTCAGCACGATATCGACCGCGCGCGAATATAACCTACAGGCTTCTCCTGCCGCTCATTCCCAGCTGACACCGTCGTGGCCTGCATCCTCCGTACTGGCGTCCTCTCCGGCGGAGGCGACGGCGTAGGCGAAGGAATGCCCAGCCGCACCGATGTCACGTGCTGCTCGCTCGCCGCCCGCCGTCTCCCCTCAACCGCGGCATCCACAACGCTCTTCAGGGGCCCGCCATCCATGAGCTTGCTCTCGATGAACATGTTCTCCATTTGCGTCGACAAGCGTTCCATAACCTCCGGTGCGGGGTGCTCGCATGGTGGTAGGCGCGAGAAGTGGGCGCCGCTGTCGGTCGGCTGCGTGTTTGTCAGTGGGCCATGCACGGAGTGAAGCTCTGTGTGTATCTGTTGGGCCGCTGTTAAAGACACGGTGTGGTCAGCGGTGAGGATGGTCATATATGCGATGATTCTAACCGTCGCGTTCGACCGCCTTGGCGAGCAGCCCAATTCGCTCAATTGTAGCTTGCAGCTTTTGTGGATCTGCAAACTCATCTCCAACTGGCGGGAACAACACAGGTGCGACTCTGGATAGCGCAATGGACATGAATAGGAATAATGAATGCAGAAACCGAATGTGCTGGTATGCAACTCGCCGAGGCCATAGCCAAGTGAAGAAGCCGGTATGCGTTGGCGTCCCGGGCTCAGAGAACAGGACAGAAGAGAACGTATGCTGCGACGGCGAACACACTGACGGACTCAGGATGAATGTGAGTTCGTAGGCGAACACTGCCGCAAACAACACGTAGCGCCACTACGATTCCAACACTAAGCCAAACGCATGCGCTCAATACGTATGACTACTCACAAATGCAACATAACTTGGCTTTCCTATCGCAGAAAATAGCAAGAGCGCACAGGCAGCAACTATGTGGAAGCCAGCGGATTGCATGAGTCCGTGGCGGATGTATTCTCGGAGAGTTGTGCAGTGTGTCCAGTGGATCGCTTCTGGACCAAACCTGACGTACATAGAAGGTTAAGCTACGACTGCATACATTTGGAATTTGGAATATTCTCCGACCTGTCATACGCAAACCGCGTCACCGGATTTTTCAACGCCTCGAAAGCATCGCGCACTTCGATAAAGACCGCCTCTCCCTGTGCTCCGACGCGGTCTGGGTGGTTCTTCCGGGCAAACTGTCTGAAGGCCAGTTTCAACGTATTTTCGTCTGCAACTGGATCGACGCCGAGCAGCTCGTAATAATTTGGTGACATGGAGACTGCAGCTTCGTAGAAATTGTACAACAGATAGCTGAGAACAGCGAAAGCATAGACATAGCGATAGTGGCGAGAGTACAAAGGAGTTCCGGGAGGTGGAGGTTGACGGCCGAGGAGGACTCGATAGAAATGGTGGTAGACGGGAAGAAGCCGGCGGGTTGCTATGTCTGGGAGATATGACCATCCTATAAAGGAGAGGATAGAAGCAAGCATTGCTTCTCTGGATGATTTTGAAGAGAAGAGAACAGGAAACCTGGAAATGCTTGTCGTGAGTCTCAATGTTCATTAGGAACGTGCACAGCAACATCTCGACGTTCAGCTCAGCATGGGTTAAACCCATCCGCGTTTTGATCTCCTCTCCCCGGCGACAAGGAGACGTTGCTCCCCTGTACTTAGCACCCGTACCTGCCACGTCTACGCACAGCACCACACGCCTGAGCATCAATTTCTAGCTCAAACGCTTGAAGCCGCGCGCCCACCAACCGGTGGCCATTATACCGTTCGTCTAAATACCACGTCTAGAGACCGCCCGCAGCAGAGTGAATTTCGTCTGCGCGGGCTTGGCTTCTCGAACGCAGGCACGTCTCCCCATGACCCAAGCGAGCCCGGATAGACGGCCCCATGTAGACTCTGCCTTTGCTCGCAAGTCTTGAACTTGATAGACACACAAGCCAATTGTAGAGTCGCGGAGATGATGTAGGTCCGGCCTTAAGGCGTGCCACGATAGTCTCGAGGCAGCACGTCGGGTATCGAACACTTTTGGGGGCTCAGATGCCAGGAGAGCGCGTCTCTCGCCGCCGGAGTCGACCCTTTTACTTGGACATCATTGCACCTCGAGTCTGCACTGAAATTTGCTCACCTCGGCACTGAAAGTCTATTTTCCGAGAACTGCGAGCCTCTTCCGCTCGATTTCCGGAATCTCTGGATTACGCGGTATGGAGGAAGCGAGAGGTCATCGCAAAATCGTTATGGATGTTGTTGAAGGGGACAATAGGTGCCACAATCGAGCCACAGGAAGATTCCGGATAAGGGTCTTAACTTCAACAAATACGTAGCTTATCGGCGCAATAACTCTCGCACCCTGTGCCACCGCTGGCGTAGCAGCCACGACCATACGACTATGTCTGACTTCCTCGCTCGCGAAAGCGAAGTTTTGGGCGAGGAGTTCACCGGCACGCCCACTGGCGGTTCCTACGCAACCGCAGGCGGCGAAATCGACTTCGACCGTGCTGCCTCTGCTTTCCCAGACATCTCGCTCGATGGCTCGGACGACATTCCCGCCCCGAGCGTTGTTGTGCCAATAAAGACATCCAGCTTTTCATTCGACGATTTCAGTAGTTCGCCGCGAGAGCGCACTACGGAGGTCAAGGTGACAGGGGACGACGAAATCGAGAAGTTCGAGAGCGAGTTTCCGGACATTGAGGTCCCGGCGGTGCGTGAATGCGTGCATTGCATACGATGTGCAGACACGTAACCTTTGATTGGTGATGGCAGTCGCTACCTCCTGTTATCCAGCCAACGTTTAATTCTACACCGACGTTTGCACCGCAACCACAGTCTTCGGCGTTCTCATCAACACCTATCCTAAGCCAGGCAATTGACGAAGAGGAGCCCGAAGTCATCAGGTGCGCGCATCGGCTTATACCTCATTGCCTCGACTAATTGAGATTCCTGTCAGAGAATGGCGCGAGAAGCAAGAAGCAGAGATCAAGGCGCGCGACGAAGCCTCCAAGGCGAAGCGGGATGAGACCATCTCCAAGGCAGAGCGCGCTATCGACCAGTTCTACGAGGAATACGCAGCCAAGAAGGAGCGCAACATCCGCGAGAACAAGTGCGTGCTGATTACGTCTATAATATCCTGCAGCTAACCACCATGGTCTCGCCAGGGAGCACGAAGAGGAGTTCGTCTCGAAAATGTCCGATTCGCTCTCGCATGGTACGACTTGGGAGCGCATCTGCGACATCATCGAGCTGCAGAACTCGCAGAGCAAGACTATCGCGCGGGCGGGCCCCGGCACGACGGACCTCTCGCGGTTCAAGGAGGTGCTCTTGCGACTGAAGAGGGAGGGCGAGGCTGCGCCTGGGGCTGCTGGATACTAGGAGGCTGGGACAATGTAGAGACTGTACGTGTACTTTCACGACAGCACCTGTCGGATTCGATCCTTGCGTCTGTCAATAATTTCACTTTTTTTTTCGGTACTTGCAACAGCATTTCCTTGGCCGGTGACCATCAACTTGTATATATGCTATCATAGCAAGAAACGACAGTTGAGACATCTCGTGTCAAAAAGCGGCTGCTACTGTACACTATCGAAGCGAATACATTACCACAGATTAGAAGACGAAGTAGGCCTATCTATGCGAAAACTATGGCTACACTCTATCAACAAACAGTCCAAAGCTTCCAGAGTCCCAAAGCGTTATGTATATCGCACACCAGGTGCACAAACAAGTCGTGTCATGAAGAGAACGTGCAGACGCTGCAGCTGCCAGCAGGTGTCAACGCCGTGCCCTGCACATCGCACTGCTGCAGATCGCCTAAAGAACAGAAGGAGCCGGACACTGTCCCGCTCAACGCGGCGTTGTCTGCGAGGTTAAAAACCTCGAGCTTCGCCGGGAATGCACTCGGAAGCGGATCGGTGAGGCGGTTGTCGTTGAGGAATAATTCGAGGAGGGAGGCGAGCTTGGAGATGGTTGAGGGAATGGGACCCGCGATGCTCGTCGCGGAAAGATTCCTGGGTGGGCATTAGTCGTTTCGGAAGACAGACGAATGAAAGCGGCCTACAGGAGCTTGAGCGAGGACTGGAGGGAGGGGCTGTTGGATAGCGTAGAGAGCGGATTGGTGAGGTCTTGGTTCGTTACTACGCTGCAGGCACCATGAACGACTGAGGTGAACGCGAGGACAGTAAACCCACAGATTTTCGAGGCTGAGTGCCGTTATACTCGAAGGCAGACTTGACCCCATCTTTGCGTTATTGTCCCAAAAGAGTGTGGTGATGTTCTTGAGCGAGACGAAAAGTTCGTCAGGTAACGTCCCAATAGCGGTGGATTCAAGCTCGAGCGTCGTCAGCGCGGTGAGGTTGACGAAGGAGTTCGGTAGAGATCCAGCTGGTGGCATCGGCTCAGTGCATCAGAAGCACTGTCTGTCGCTTTCTGACTCACCTGGCTGTTCAGAGTCGCCAACAATCTTCAAAGTCTGCAACCCCGTGAGCCCGCCTATATCGCTGGGAATGATAGTCGGGACTGCGGGAGCAATAAGCTCCCTGTCACACGACATTGAGTACCAACACGCATGGCCGTGAGTGAACATGTACCCACAGAGTGGTCACTTGTCCGGTCGTATTGCACCTCACTCCATTCCAAGCGCAGAAGTTGACATTCTGCATCCAACCTCCATCGCTCAGCACGGCCTGCCCAATGAACTCTGCCTCTACGAATATACTTTGCAGTGCACAGAACTGTATCGCGTTCCGGATGCCCTGCGCGTCGTTCGCATTCGCGTCCAGGTAGCTGGACGGCACGCCTTGGAGAACGGAGAAGCACGTCGAGCACGGATATGACTGGGCGTTTGCCGGCGCATTGATGCTGAACTCGGCCAAGCACAGCGCCTCATTCGCGGACAGGGTCGTCGTATTACTCGTCGAGTTCGCGCCACCAGAACCCGTTGACATCCCAGAGGCTGCCGTGGACGTCGGTGAGGCTTGCCTGCGGCCAAAGGTCGCCAAGTTCAGCGCGACGATGTTTCCGAAGAGAAATGACAGCAGCACGATGACCACGACCACGAACACCCATTCCGACCATCTTTTCCTCCGGGTACAGTGCTTGCAACACTGGTGCGGGCGTTTCTCGATGTGCAGCGGCTTCCATTCCTGCAGCGGTGGTCGGGGCGTCGGCGGCGGAGCCTCTATATCAGGCTCGCGCGGTACAGCCTCTATATCAGGCTCGCGAGGCAGAGGACGAGAGACAGGCCCCGTGAAGACACTGCTCATCACATCGCGCATGCGCCGCTGTGGCGCTCGCACGCCGCTCTCCACAGCATTCGCAGAGAAATTTGAGGTGCCCGAGTCCGTCCGGCCAGAATTCGTCCGGCCAGAGTTATCGCGGAGAACCATGAAAGACCACCAGGGTAAGGAACGTGAAAGGGCCTATCGGGACGGGGAGACAATGAGAGGAGCTCCCAGGACGCCAGGTCAAGAGAGACGCATAGCCACGGGCTGCAAGCAAGCAAAGAGAGACTCCGCGATAAGGCGCTTCGCTTGACGCGTGGGTTTCATTTCATTTACGGAAACAATTGAGGGAATCGGTTCTGTGAGAACAACAATTTTCGCGCGTGGCTGCAGTGCGGCCATCGCGATCACGTGATCCGCGTTGTACGTCGCTTCCTGCGTGTCGCGAGCTCGTCGCCTAGCGACATGCAGGCGTCCGAGCAACTCGAGGGTAGGTCAATAAACGTACCAGTGTTTCCAATGCCATGAGAAACCCGAGAGGTCTATAGTCGATCGGTCTCAAGAGGAATGTAAACCGATGCAATGAGCTGAGTCAGACGAGCAAGGACCGGGATCAACTGGATGACAGAAAAACAAGGCGCTCCGTCCCGTCGTACGTATTGCGAACTCTTCTCCTGTCGCATTCCAACGGAAATACATCTCGCCTGAAACGAAGAGAACGTCGTCCTTCGCATTTGGCAACTGGTTTTCCTCGTTACCGTGGGTTGTCTGATGGCCTTCGAGGACCCGGACGCTTCTCGAGGTTCAAGGAACAATCCGACAGCTGCAAAACAAACAGGGTACCATTGTCACTGAGGCTGTGAAGTATGACAACACATCGCTTGAGTGCAGATGTCCATCATGATACTGTAATCAGGAACAGGCCCGTGGGAAGAAGGCATGACAGCCAGACTCATCAATGCATCATGCATCAGAGTTCGACAGCTTGATTAGTTCCACAAGGTCGCAGCATCAAGACGAGCACCGGGGTTGGAACTTGAGCTTGAGTGCTTGAGTACTGAGTCCTGGGAGGGCACCTTTGGTGAGGCCAAGGCATGCGGCAAGAACAGCAATCACCTCGCGTTAGCCGCCGTCCGAGCGACCTGTTCTATGGAACATGGAACTGGGCCACGTCACAGACGTGACGTTGTGGCCCCGCTCGGACTACAGGACTTTTCCAATACCCGTAAGTCCCCATCTGACTATATACCCTTTGCGCTCATGTCCGGTCAATCAGGCATTATTACATAACGCGATGAGATGCGCTTGACGGGCATCCTTAAAGTACCCTCCCAGTACTGCGGTTCTGTTTGCACTGACCGTTGTCATCGACGTTGATACCTCTACAATGTCGAACGCATCAGCTGCAAGCATACAGTTGGCTCAGGAAGAAGCGGTCCTCTTACAGACAGCGTGAGGACGACGACACTTTCTGAGGCGTTCAACTGACCAGTTCGCGATCACTGTCACAGATACACTTATGCCTACTGCTATCTCGCAACTACTGGTACGCCCCGGGTCGGACCACTATAAGCGATCGAACTCGACTCACAGACTGGACATGTTATTAGCCCTCATCTTCTTTGAGTACATTGTGACTTTCTCTGAAGAGGTTCACGTCGTCTGGGGAACCAGGTTGACCATTGTCACGGTCATATTTGCCCTCAACCGTTATATGCTCATGGTACAAGGCGTTAGTTCTGCACTGAATCCCGTCTGGTGGCATACTCCACTGGTAAGTCATGTCGTGTCGTGCTGCGAGTGAATCGATCACTGACGATCTACGCGCACACAGAGGTGAGCGGCGACGACCGCGCTGTACGTTCATCGCAGTTTATAGATTGTCACAGCTGTGATGCCGTGACCGTCTTGAATAGTGTGGTCACGAATGTTCTTGAGGCTGTGGCAGCAAGTCAGAAATTGTTTGACCTCAAATTACATGAAGAGATTGATCGATAAATTGTCAGGCTTTTCCGCGTTTCGCACATATGCTATCAGCGGACGCCAGATCGCCCCTGCATTGTTAGTATTGCTACTGGGGCTAGCACCAGTCGGCACCAACATCGTGAGTGTATATGTTCTCCGCCATCATATGTCTGTTGAGAACCTCCGGACAGTTTACATACACAAGAGATTCATACGAGTTCGTGACTTACGTGGGCAAATACCCAGTTTGTAACTATAACGACCGCGAGTCCATCGCGATACAGGACAAGTAAGTACCACGCTCAACTCTCCGACGTCGGCACTCCTAGGACTGACCCTCCTTTGCTTAGACGTGAGTGTGAAGGAGACCGATAAGTTGTTGCTTTGACACTCACGATTCCTGCAGTCGTCATCTTCGGGCGCGTCTGCCCAGCTGTGTCCGACTTGATTGTGCTCCTTGTCACTTGGTTCAAAACATCCGGACTCGCCATAGAAGTGCGAAAGTTACGGTTAAAAGGATCGATTGCGACGGTACTCATAAGAAACGGTGAGTATATGTGGCTCTTTAAGTGCACGTAATGCATTACAAGCAGCACATTCAAGGCGCGCTCTACTTCATGTACGTCGGGCTCTGTCACTGTGCCTTGTCGTGACTCTGTTCTTCTACTGTTCCTTAGTGCCCTTTTGCTTCTCGACATCCTCCACATCGCGATCAGAGTCCACTACATGAATTCACAGGCAAGTTACCCATACAAGTACATGACCGCTCTAACATAACGTGCAAGCAGAATCCCGCAAGCTACGTCATAACTTTCCTGCCGGCGTGAGCGACCGATCATACCCGATGCAGCTCGATTCATCCTTACCAAGTCAATCAGAATCTCATCAATCTTGATATCACGCTTCATCCTCAACCTACGCCAGGTGTTCCTCGGCAGCGTGGACTTGAATGCGATCTCTCACAGCACTCTGAACACGTCGGACTTTCCCTCTCGCCTGGTTGGCAACTTTGGCGCCGAGGTCCAGCACACGTCACTTGTATTTGAGAATGTCGAGGATAGCGCTGAGGACGAGCAGAGTGTTGGTGTGGACTGTGAGGTCTACGAGTTGGCGCAGGTGCAGTAGTCATCGTACAAGCTATGCGGTCGTTTTCGACAGTGCCGGATCTGACTGTAACCTGCATTTGCACCTTGACATGATTTTTCAGTCGTGATATCCGAGCAAAGTGTTATGCTAAGCTGGCGCGAAGCATAAATCCGTTATAGCGTAACCAGCAAGGGGGGAGATTCGCCAGGTCAAAAGCTGCATCTCGCCGCCGCAATGCTGAATGTTGTCCGAGTGCTGTGTGACATAGACCAAAGTCATGGATTGGTAGCAGCAGTCAATCCATTTCATGTCCCAATTCAATTTTACAGCATAGCAGATGTGCAGACCGTTGCATATAAAGCGTCGAAGTCTCATAAAACATTGGAGACGCGTCGGTGGCTGGAAATGTCGGTCCTTGTGGAGCATCAAAAATTCAGGCACGGTTCGGCAGCCGCCGCGAGCTTGAAAGTCTGCCATTGCCCGAGCGTTGAGTCGATGACGGTCTAAGAGGGAATGCAAGCCGTCCAACGCAAAAAAAACCATTTGCAAGTCCGTATACCATTGACAGAGCTACTAACAGACTTCTCAAGCCATCCGGCCCGCATGCAAGCGCAGCAAATCAAGCATTATCACTTCGTCTATTCGCAGTGTTAGTAGTTCAAATCTGTTCGTCTACTTCTTATGTCAAGCATACGTTCTAGAGTCCTTTTGATTCGCTTCCTGCAAAGTTGAATATCACCTTATGTATGACCTCCGCAACCTTGTTCGCGACGGCTTGAGCGCTCATCTTCGGGTCCTTGTCGTACGTCGCGATTTTAGGCGAGAGGATCATATGCCGCTCCTCGTTAGGATATTATTTCTCAACACCGCCGTTGAAGAAGGATGTGACGTGTGCATGTGTCCCGGTTTCTAGCCATGGTCGGAGATGTGCTAGCACGATAACACACAGTGCACATACCGGCCGTGTATGCCTGCTTCATGCCCTGCTTCGCGGGCCGAATGACAGTCGTCATCGGTTGCGGCGGAAAAGCAACCGGGAAGGGGAATTCGGCGTTGTATTGTGGCATGGTTCTGATGCGCTACAAAGCAGCCGCCAAAATGAGAGTCATCAATCTCCATGGGCCTGTCAGGAAGGCCAAGCACGGTGACAATCCCCCGCATCCGGTCAGAGAAGTAGTTGAAGAAGAAGAGCGTGTCGCCATCCTTGATGAGACCCTCATCGCCGTTCACGGTGACAGGCTTCAAGAAGTCGTCTGTCCCATCCATGAAATGTTTGTCTCCGTGGATTCGACTTGCTGCGTTAGCTTCGCGGTCACGTGATACACGTTCCGCTCAGTCTCCAAGCGTGTGCACTGCGGTGCATTTGTCGTCATTAGAAGCGCAGACAGATCAGCAAGCTAATTGATCAGTGTATCACGTCCATGAGTTCCCAGAAGCAGAGGAATATTAAGAGCAGCGAGCAATCAGAGAAGCGAGGAGAGACCAGGAGGGCTCGATACAGAACAAGGCGTACCATCTCGCCGCGCATTTACCGTGTTCTTTCGCAACTAGTCGCCACACGCATTCAAGTCACTTTAAGTATAAGAAGGGAGAACATCATCCGTCACATTGATCAGCTCTGTTTCTCTCTCGCCAGAGGGTGGACGACCTTTGAAAACTTCAACGTAACTCAAGCACTTCTGAGATCGAATGCAAAGAGGCAATCTGATGTTTGAAATAAATCTGTCTTGCTATTGTCGCCAGAGTCCCAGGAGCATAGCAACGCATAAAAGGGGCAATCTGGGTGGCTATTCCGCATGATGATCAGGAAAGGTTGCTTAATGCAGTGTTCTTAAAGTCAGTCCAAACCCTGCGAGACTGACGAAATTACAGTAAGTGGTCTTTTAAACTCGGGACACCAGGGACCACACTGGAAAGCCTGAAGAATGGTCGACGAAGATGTCGTCAAGCTTGAAGAGCAGTCGACAAGCACAGTTTTGGCTTAGGCAGGATGAGCGTCTCGTGATGGCAAACCTAATATGTAATTTCATTCTCACGCCTCCTACACGTCGCTTCATAGTTCGTTCAGCGCTGTGAACAGCGTTCCACGTACACAGTCGCTCTCTGCTTCAAACAGCCATGAATCTTTTTCGGTTGTTCGGTACCAAACATTGCTGCTCATTAGAAATGACGGCCGTTGACACGCTTCTGCAGGGGACATGTCCCACCTGGCGTCAATTCTCATACTCCTGCACAAGATTCAGACGACACGGTCATGTCGAGGTCAGCGTCTTTCCCCCGGTTGCCGCTAATTCAAGCCAGCAACACATTGTTGGGCATGACATAAGGCGTGGGGACGTGCTGGTGCTGACATATTGGCTTGAAACGCAGGCATATCATTCAAGACGCAGGCTCTCTATGTCGCCGTGTTCGTTACCCGATATCTGGACCTCTTCTATGACTATGTTTCGCTATACAACTCCGTCATGAAGATTTTCTTTATCGCGAGCACCTGCTACGTACTCTACCTAATGAAAGTAAAGTTCCGGTGCGTTCATCCCGCGTTCATGCTGCTTCACAACCGCCGTCTCATGTTCCACCAGGCCAACGAACGACCCATCCATTGACACCTTCCGCGTCGAGTACCTCGTCGGACCCTGTATTCTCCTTGCGCTCATCTTCAACTACAAGTTCACATTCACGGAAGTCCTGTGGTCCTTCTCCATATTTCTAGAGTCTGTCGCCATCCTCCCGCAGCTGTTCATGCTGCAGCGTACCGGCGAGGCAGAGACAATCACGACGCACTACTTGGCAGCGCTGGGCGCATACAGGGCACTCTACATCCCGAACTGGATCTACCGGTGCGTGATAGAAGTGTGCGCTCTCATGCTGAGGGCTTATTGCGTGCTCTTCCTACACAGGTACTGGACAGAAGACGTTGTGGATCCAATTGCTGTCACAGCGGGCATCGTCCAGACCGCGCTCTACCTGGACTTTTTCTACGTCTATGTCACAAAGTGCGTGTGCTCTTCCCTCTACGCGTGCAGCTGCTCACCCGCCCTCCGTTGTTCCTGTCCTTGGTTCGCTTTCTCGACGTGTGCAGAGTGTTACAAGGGCAGAAATTTGAACTCCCTGCATAAATGTGATGTCAGAAAAGTAATGCATATCGACTGTTGTTCTTTTGGCTAGAGCCGTAACTTATCGAAGACATTTTTGGCTGCCTGAATATTTTTGGTTTTTGTCCCCAGAAGGACAGTCAGTACGCATGCGAGAACCTCTCTGAACTCAGCTATCTCGAGCAAGATGCGCAGTAAGAGCACATGAGAGAACAGCGGGCAGAACGACGCACGCGTCGCAAAGCGGGCGCGTCATCCTTATGCGTGACATGACGCATGCATTGGCATCATTCAGCATCATTCATCGTGCACGTCAAGTTAGTGCTTTGTCTTTGCGAGACCTCTAGAAATCTGCACAAAGCTCACACATGTACTCTTCTGTCATGCCTATTTCTTTAAGGAAGACCACTATTTCCCTTCTTCCAGGAGAAAACTCGTATGCTGAAGTCACTGTGACTTAGCGCTCGATTGTAAGCAACGCGTGCGATGTCACAAAAGACCCGCTCAGGCTTATTCGTTAGAAACTGATCAACGGTCCGACATCATTATATCGATCTACGAAGTAGTCACCGTTGACCATATCCTACATCGTTCCGCTAGCATAAGCTCCATAGTGACATGCCGTGCTGTGAAACGGTCGGTGAGCAGACTGCTTTTACCGCTGTACATACAACTGTACATAGGTTGACCTCACTGCCAGGACGTGAGGCGCGTCTTCTGGCACGACATGTATCTGGAAACCCACCGATCGCAATGATACTCCATGAAGTGGTCCAAAAACACTCGATTTCTGTCAACCCAGGTAATCCTTGTGCGCTCCAAAGCCCTCGATACCTCCAACGAAACAGCTTCGCGTGGCACAAACTTACAGGTCCACCTTCTCGTTTCAGCATCCGGCTAGAGCCATCACTCATACGGCCAATGAACCGGTTCTGGGTCTTCAAAGCGAACGTAGATGTGACAATGCCAGTTAATATGCGTGCAAACGATGACCACGTCGTAAAGGCTCTCGTCTGACGGTGGGGTGTCCCTGCTGCCACACAACAAGCGCTCGCATCATATTCACTATCTCTCACAGATTCGGCTATGCCGCGATTTCTTTTGTGGATGTCGCGTACTGCTTGGGGGGCAACGATGAATAAATTGGGTATATGACAAGACAGACGAGGTACCGTGGAGCGCGCATCGCATCTGATCTCAGTGGCTTCTCTGCCATCGTACAAGGCGTCTCTATTTGTCGACATCCGCATTGGAATGTCATCAGAGCTCGTCTCCAAATTAGGAACACAGCAAATGACAAAAAAGGCACCACATAGAATCTGTCTACACTGTCTTCGCGACACCGTAAGCTCGACCGTCATGCTCAATGATCCTAGACTCCGAATGCCGAACAAGCGATCACCGACGCACGGCCTTCCAAAAGCGGCCTATACTGTATCGTGCCATAATACAACGGACTTTGATCAGCCGGCAACCTACGGATGAAGTATATACGGTGACGCGTCCGCATTTGTCATAGTCGAAAGATGAAGCTACATGATGCACTCGGAATTATCTAGATCAGCAGCCGCGCACATCGGAAGAAAGAAATTATGACATGGCAGATCGCTGCTAGCCCCGATTCGGTCAAGACCTTGCCTTGAGCGCAGTCACTTACACCATGAACGCTGCAAGCGTGCTGTTATGCATATGCTGCTCGCTGATCGATTGCCCTCTCATTACAGATTTCTGCGCATCAAGAGCTTCCTCAGGCATGTGTGCCGACATGCTGTCACATCTTTGTTCGCTCCGCGATCTCCTCCGAGATCTCCGCGCACACGATCAGGAGAGCTTTCCCGAGCTTCTCAAAGTCGCCGATCTATCGTATCAACATAGACAAGTGAAATTCTGCAACGAGGCCACAGAAAGGCGACTCACGCACCTCGTTGTAAACCTGCGCACTAACCCTCGTCCACCACCTGCCATCGTAGTGAAACTGCGAAGCATATACATTGTGCTCGTTGAGCAGCTTGTCCTGGAACTTCAAGGTAACAGCAGGAGTCGGTGCTATCGAACCTGCTAGAGGGATCTCGACGTTGACCTGAAAATGAACACGTCAGCTACTGCATTTTGATGAGCCGGTGTATAAGCAGACCATGTTTGCGGTGAACATCTCCGCTTCATCAGAATTAGGTGCGAACATCATGCGCGTGTTCAGGGTCTCGGCGAGATGTTTACCACCAGCTAGAGCGAGCGTGTGACAGTAATCATTGATTCTCTTCTCGCCACCTAATAATTCTCGAAATTCGAGGGCTGCGCATGACGTGGCAATAACTAAAAGATCACCCAGCCTGACAGGCGAGAAACGTACCGGGCTTGATGCTCAAAGGTATCGTGAATTCTATCGTCCCGGTCCCTATGGCCTCGTCGATTTGTCAGATGGTAAGCATCAGCAAGATTGTGTGGCATAAACCACAAGAGAATTTGGTTTGAGGATCGCCTTCGTGTCCAGGCGGGAGCGGCCCAAACGTGATGCCCGTAGGAAATGCTGACCTGATGATATGATGGTTGCTTTCCGGGTACGAATCAGCTTTCTAGCACTGATGGCGTCGGCAGAGATGGACAGCACTGACCATTCTGGCACATAGAGCACGGCACAACCGTGCTTCGCGTACATCCATTTTGAGCAGCTCTGGCCGTACCCATAGAAACAGCGATCTCTAACCATTAACAGCGAGGAGAACATATCGACACCCAGAAGTCAGGCGCTGCCTCTGTCAAGTTGAGGTCCACTTCCTGTCCTAGCGAATGTGCCGCATCGATAACGCTCCACACAGACTCCTCTCTGCATATCTGAACCATATCTTTCCAAGGCATGTAGACAGATGGGGTCGCTGAGATGCTATCCAATACCGCAACAATTTTCCCCTTTGGAGTCTCATCAGCAGATTGCCGCCGCTGAGCCTTCAGACTCTGGAGAAATTTGCGAAATCGCTCGAACAATGCCTTTCGCTTCTCCGGGATTGACAGTGTGAACTCGGAGAGCTTTGGATGAGGTGCGGTGTCAGAGACGTAGCGCGCTGCAGCTCTGATAGTGTTGAACGTGCAATTGGCTGACAACGTCGTGGTCAGCTGGATATCGCTGTTCACGTCCCGCGGACATACTCATGACGAGGACGTCACCGTTCTCCCAGTCAAAGTTGCGCAGGACGATATTGATCCCATGGGAGACATTCGATACGAACGCACAGTCGCTGGGATGTGCGCCAATCAGCTTCGCAATTAGCCCCCGGACCTCCTCCACCATGGGCCGATAGTCGAACCAGAGGAAGCGGTCTGGCTTTGCTGCTACTTTATCAGCAAGATCCCTGGTTGCGTCTTCGACACGACGTGGCGTAGCTCCTGCAGTGCCTGGAAGTAGTGCTTGGTAGTCAGCATGTTTTTGAATGGAAGATGTTGTACACTGACCGGAATTGAGGTTTATATATCCATCTTCGAGGGAGAAGAAAGGAAGAGCGGCATGGCCGAGCTCAGGAAACTTCTCCATGCACCTAAACTCGAGCCCCAGTAAGTGTGCATGCGACACGGATATTGGGTACACAGCGAGCTGTTCCTTATCAAATCAAAAGCCTACCAAGCATGTTCGGGTAGAAGCTGTCTTTAATGATGGCATGACAAACAGACAGGGAAGAAGATAAGTTTACAGTTACGGCCACATTTCTCCGCAGGAATCGCCTTACTTCATGGTCCGTTGACATCGCATAATGGGATGGATTCAATGGCGATGCTCGACCACTCCTTTCGGGCTGGAGAGCCACTTTCAGCCCTGAACACTGAGATGCCGACAAATGAACTTACTCATTCAACCATGCAGACTTCAGCATGAAGCTTTGAAGTCTCGTCTTCTAGGGCCATAATCAGCTCTATTGCTCAGCACACGCAAGCGGCAGCCTTTTCTATCAAACATATGTTCTGCATGCAAGTTTTCGGACATGCAGCGAGAGGATACCGCCTGTATTCCAGGATCTGCGATCTCCAATCGGGCTATCTCCATTGGGGTAGACGGTGTGGGAACGAAACTTAGTACCCGATCACATTTATCATTCAGTTCCAACTCTTCCAATCCGCAGGTCATCGATTCATCGCTCAGCGCTCGTCGCTACCAATCTTCATAAGTTCAACATCAGCAACGTTGTTGATAGGTGACATATCCGATAGCAGGGAGTATTCACGCACTACATCCCATGACCGTTGTTCTGATTTCATACCGTCAGGTTCCGAGCGTTGGGATGTGGCATACATTTCAATGGTCCAAACTCAAACCAGAGCGCCTCAGCATGCACAATTCGCGAGGAACTGCACGACATTGTCACCAGAAATGACGGAGCACGCAGTCACCTCCAGATGACCCAAATTCTGAGCGATCGTGCATCATGCGTTATCGTAGGATCAGCTAAGTGGCATCCTTGATTAAACACGTAACTTACTAATCGTATCGCGAAGAGCGCGAAGAACTCGCCTGTATCGCTTCATGTAGTAAAATCACTGATGAGAAGCACTGTGTATGTCCGCCATAGTACCACCCTCCGTCAAAGCATAACCTTGAAGCCTGCCGTACATCAAGCGCAGTGGCCAATGATCGGAGGACAGCCGCGCAGCGATCCCTACCTCCTGCTCGTATCGACCCTTGGCGCGGCCACGATGGCTAAATTCCCTGTAGCAGAGGCGGAGCTCGTCGCTATCATCACCGAAAGCATCACCTACGGAATCCACATATCGACATTCGCGACGTGTATCTGGACGCTGTTTCGGACGTCAAAGACGTTGGGACGAGAGACCAACGTGACATTGCTGTTCTTCTCGATCACACTCTTTGTCATCGGAACGCTGGATATCTCGTTCAACATCTATCGCAACTTGTCCGCCTTCATCTTCTACACGGGACCCGGTGGGGCCAACCACGTTGATGAGGAGGTCTCGAATTGGGTGCAGGTTTCACGGGTAAGCCTCGGCCTGAGCCCGTCATAGAATGCCTTCATGGACATGGAAACCTAGGGTGCCTTTAATCTATTCGCCCTCATTGTCGCTGATGCCGCCCAGGTGCGTGTAACTCCCCGTCATAAGTTACTAGACGAATGCAGATAGCATCTGTCCAGATCTACCGCCTGTGGATTGTATACGGCCGCAACTGGAGAATAGCCTTCCCTCCCTTGGTCTTATGGCTGGCAGGACTGTCATGCGCTATACCGCTAATATATTATAGCACCAAACTGAACGTACTCACGGCCATGGCCGGGGCGACCAAGCTTGATGCGTTCCTGGATGCCTTTATCGTCCTTTCAGTGGCTATTAACATCCTCGCATCAGGTGTGTGTCAATTCCATGCCAAAACAATCATGCACTCGAATATATCATACGCCTGTGCCAGGTTTGACACTGTACCGCATCTATTGGATCCATAGGTCAACGTCCCAGCATTTCACGGGCAGCTCGGGCGCGGTGGTGCGACAGGGCGTGACATGGACGCAACTCTTCCGAATCGTCATCGAGTCCACACTCCTGTACACGCTCTCTTCCATCATCGCCTTGGTCGTCAACTCGATAGGAAACAACGCATTCTACTGCGTCTCGGACATGGTGAGCTTTCCGGCCTCATATTAACGCTGCCCCACATTGCTGATCGCTGATCATCGGGTTCTGCCCTTGCGCTTACAGCAACTGCAGATTGCAGGCATACAATTCGACCTGGTCATCATACGCGTAGGGCTGGGTATCACCGTGGAGCAGGTCCACACGAGTCTCGGGGATATGACGTTCCGAATGAGAGCGATCAAATCCAGCGGGACAGAGGTCGAGCTCGGCGTGCCTGTCGTGATTCCCGAGAACAGTACGCAGACGACACGGTCGGTGGAGGACATCGATCGTCAGAGCATTAAAACTGGAAATTTTCTCCGCGTTAATGTAGACTCACCTTGATCGGTTCACCCATACGTGGTTCGAAATATGCAGCGAGCGTGTGCCGCCTGATTGTTGAGCGTTCTCCTATGTATCATGTATGAGTGGCCAGTATATACCACACCGACTCACGGTCCCAGGTTGTTTTGCAGTCTGCGACTACTTGCGATGCCCACTTGCGGAATGTGTCTATAATCTATGCACTATTGACCATTGTTGAGTAGTGCTAAGAGCAGCGGTCTTACCGGGCGTCCAGCGGTCGTCAAGAGAGTGTACGGCCAGAGATCCCATTTATCCAGCTAAGATTCCGCTTGCAGATTATTTGTCACTCGCAAGTCGCACAAATGCCTATCACCATTTGAGCAACAGGCAGCACTCAGTGCCTTCACAGACTCGGTTGAACTAGGCGTGAGAGCGCCGCCCGGCTGATCGCGCTGTACGTGGCGGTGGCTGTAATTCCAGTAACGCGCTCTGCAGAGATCTGTGTCTCTTCCATCATCCCACCCGCACTGCGTTGTCTAGCTACCCAGCAACGTCCGGACACTTACCTTGAAATACCGGTTCTCCGTCACGACTGGGTCTTGTAACCCCGACGAACTCGACCCCAACCACGATGCTCGCAAGCAGTCTACTGCTATGCCTCCTCGGCCTCCTGCCGCTGAGCGCCTTGGCCGTCATGGACACAAGGATGGGGAACCAGACGATTGAGAGAGTGAGCGTACCATACTTGGAAGTTCAGCGATAGGAATGGATTGTAAACAGGTGTTGCGAATAGACGATCAATCTCCGGACACACTCGATATATGCGCCGTACATTGACGAAGACCTTCAAAACCGGTGCGTCTCCTCTTTATCTCCCTTGCGGCTGACCGCTCATTGATCATGGCATATAGATGGTGGGACTTTGGCGCAGACGCGTATATCGTGCGTATAGTTCGCGGAATGTTAGTATGCCGCTGGGTCTTACTTCACGGGGGCACCAGAACACGAACAAGCACATCCGCCTTACGCGGAATCGTCCCTCGCAAATAGTACGTCCCCCTTCTCCCTGCGCCAGCTGTGTTCACCAATATACGTCTGCCTGCAGGGCTGGCTGTGGACGCGCGTCCCGCTCACAGCGCAAAACTTCATCATCGAGGTCGAATTTAAGGTGCGCGCCATCTTTCGCGCGAACCCACGCCCGACTGCTGAGCCTTATGTACAACCAGATAGGAGGCGAATCAAGCCATCTGTACGGAGACGGCATGGCATTGTGGCTCACAACGACGCGCGCTCAGCCGGGGCCGGTCTTCGGCAGCGTAGGTATGTCGCGCGAGCCACCGTCCGCACTGTACAGTCCTCATGACAGACATCACAGACAATTTTGAGGGTCTCGGCATCTTCCTCGACACGTAAGCTACGCACGCCTGTCCAGCATCTGACGCGGTTGCTCAACAGTCGCGTAGGTACGCCAACACACGACACTCGTACTCCTTCCCGCGCGTCGTCGGGATGCTCGGCGACGGCAAGACGAAGTACGACCAGGAGGGCGACGGACAGAAGGACGGTCTGGGCGGATGCTCCGTAAGTGGCCCTACACTCCTCTCCCTACCGCGCGGGTCTCACTGTAGCACCAGGCCAACTACCGTCGCACCAACGTCGCGACGAAGCTGCGCGTATCATACATCAAAGACAAGTACCTGAACGTCAGCATCCCCTTGTCGCTACCAACTGCCCCTGCCTGACTCCGTGATCTCGTCATAGGTTAAGATCCAATACCGAGCATGGGACGACTGGGTAAACTGCTTCACCGTGCACGACATCAGCCTGCCCAGCTCGCCCTACCTCGGGCTCACAGCCATGACCGGCGACGTCTCCGACAACCACGAGTAAGCCGCGTCTCCGCTCCCATGCCATACTTCGCACATCTGACTCGCCGATCACCATCAGCGTTATCAGCGTGACGACGCTCTCCGCGATCCTCTCGCCGCCGAACCTCCAACGTGACCAGATCAACAGCCGGTCCGGCAGGACCCCTGCGTGGATTTGGACGTTCTTCAAGTTCGCCGGCGTCCTCGCCGTCATCGCGGGCGTGCTGTATGCGTATAAGAAGTATGTGTTATCGCACCCGTCGGACAGGAGCTTTGGCAATGCGTTCATGGGGAGGGCAGGTAACATGGGCTTTGGCGGAGGCTTCTATAGCGATGCTAAGCGCTTCTGAGATTCACTACCGTATATATCTGTCGTTCTGACGGGGTGATCTGTCAGCATAATAATTATGCAGTAGATCATGCAATTGCGTCCAACAGCTTCCATGAAAAAGCGTTGCGGCACACAGCGTCAGAGAACGTTCATGAATTTCAGACGTCGATCACCGTCATCGTCCCATCATCCGAGTTATAATTACATAAATGCACGACAGATGAAGCTTAAACGAGTATTTGTCTGGTGTCAAGAGCAAGACCAGGAAACCAATACATACGAGCACAAGCTGACGATACAACAGATCCGGAGAGATCAGAAGCATAGGCGAGACACGTACATGAGAGCAAAAAAGCAACACGCAAAAGAATGAATGCAAGGGAGAGTGATAGCCAACTCGGGCAAATAAATAAATCCAAGGTAGCGTCGTAAAGAAAGTCGTCAAAATCGTAAGAACCTTCTCAGTCAAGCGTCTCTCAACAGACAGAACAGCAAAGCACACGCGATCAGAACAAGCACACAAAGTTGCTCGGGAAGACGTGGCGCCCAGGCTGTCGCCGGGCTTCGTCCAGCAGCTCGCCAGACCACCACCCGTCTTCCGGCGTCGCAGTGACGGCAATCACATCACCAGATTGGAAGTCGAACTCCTCGTCGATCGTAGCTTGATAATCATACAATGCCTTGACTGCAGCGAAATCATCAGTCTTTATGCCTCTGTTAACCCAAAAGAGAGCATACTCACCATAGAACAACACGGGCCGCCCATCCTCCGTAAAGCCCGTTGGCAGTGGAGGAGGCTGTGGCGATGGCGCCCGAGCGGGGCTCGGCGCACGATACGCGAACGGCTGCTGCTGCTGCTGCTGCTGCTGTTGCTGCGGCTGGGCGTATCCGCCCTGTTCATAATACCCATTCATGGACGCACCCCGATGCAAGTTCTGCACAACCGCGCCCTGGCGCGTGTACTCATGCGGCTGGGGCTGGTACACCTGCGGCTGCTGATACTGCGCCGGCGGCGGTGCGCCATACATGCGTTGCGGGGGCGGCGCCTGCTGCGGCTGCTGTACCCCATACTGCTGGCTATACGTCGACACAGGCGTGGGAGGGTATTGGGTAGGCGCCTGGGGCGGCATCGTCTGCTGCGGGTACCCATTCGAGTTGACCGTGTACGTCGGTCGCCGCGCGACGGAGTGCTGCTGTTGCGGAGGCGGCTGGTTCTGCGGCGGCGGCTGTCCGTACTGTGTCTGTTGCTGCTGCTGCTGCTGCTGCTGCTGCTGACGCTGTGCATACATATCCGCCATCGAGTCCGTCACGACACGTCCATTCAGGTCGAGCGCGATACCAACGCTGTTCGGGCTCGTCGGGCGCTGCTGATGCGGCGCAGCCTGAGGAACGGACATCGAGCTGTGCCTGTTGGGCCCTGGGCTCGGCGCGCCCTGTCGCTGTGCGCCCGTCTGCGGGACAGTCATCGAGTTCTGGCGCATCGGGGCGCCACCAGGGCCCGGGCTCGTTGCACGCTGCTGTTGTGCGACCGGCTGGGGCACCGACATCGAATTCTGCCGGATGGAATTGGAGGTGGAGTTACGCCGCACGGAGTTGCGCGACAGCGAATGGTTATGAGTCTGTCCGTTCGTGCCGTTGACGGAGGGAGGCGTGACTCTGCTGCTGTAGCTGTTCCTGCTGGACACAGACGAGTTGGGGGCCGGAGCTGCAGGAGCGTGGTGGAGTGCCGCAGGGCTCGTGCTACGCGACACAGGCGCGTACGGCTGCGGGCTGACGCTCCTGCCCTGCGCCCCAACGCCCGCCTGTCCGCCCATACTCAACGGCCGCTCGCGGTGCACGGAGCTCTGGCTGGGCCGCGGCGAGTGGCCGGGCATACCAGACGCGTGTCCTGCCTGGCTGGGCGGCCTGCTCAGCGACTTGCGCTCACCAGGGAATGATTGTTGATAGTCCGCCAGGATCTCCTGCACAGGCAGATTGGCACCAGGGCCCGCTGGAGTTTGCGGGGGAGGCATCATGTATTTCGCCGTGGGCGGATTGGGCGACGCCGGACGCGAGCTCGGGATTGGGTATGCGCCGACGACGATATCCGCAGAATGGCGGTAGTCGCGAGATGGAGGACGGCCCCTGTTCTCCGAGCCACCGGGCGGCGGGGAGAGCTTCGTTGTGGAATCACGTTTCGTAAGGGAGGAGACTCCATGCTGGCCGCCTGCTGTAGGCGATGGCGCTTGCGGCGCTGCATTCTGCCAATTCCCACTTCGGCGCACGCTCATGCCACGCGCGGGCGCCGCCCTCTTTAACTCGGCCATCTGACGCGCAAGCGGGTCGTCTTCCTGTCCGACTTTGATTGGCGTGACGACAGCATTGCCATTCTGAGCAGAACCCCGACCTGTCTGCGCCTGCGGGTCGCGCGACAGGTCCACATCGTATGCATTGTCGCCAATTTTGATCATCGTCTTGGCCGTTGGGTCGATAACGTCTGCTTGGGAGTCAGCAGGGCGCATGCCTCCAGCGGGCGGCTGCTGCGATCGTGACACCGGCGCTGCTTGCGGTGGCGCGTGCCCATTCACCGGCGGCACCTCTGGTCCATTCCCATTTCGGTAGCTCGCACGACTCGCGCTACGCGCCTGGGCATCAGCTGCGGCATCTGCCTGTCGTGCAATGCCCAGTCCAACACCTGCGAGGTTCGTGGACGGTTCCTGGTCATCGTCTGGTGGCGGCGGTGAAGGGGCGGTCTCTCGGGGGCGCCCCGAGGTGCGGGCGAAATTGGCGGGCCGAGTGCTCGGTGGTTGGGAGGCAGACGGAATGGCGTTAGGGTTGGCATAGTTGACGAAACCAGGAGGATCGGGGATGTCGTTGCCTGTTCCGTACTCACGCACGAAGTTCTGCATGTCTCTCTCGGGTTCCACTTGCTCGAGCGACAACCGAATTGCCTCGCACGACTACAGTCGTCACCATGAGCCACTGATCAAAGAGAATAGCGAAAGCGAAAGCACACACCTGGTCATCAGCCACGCAAACCGTAGACACTGAATTAGCGTACGCCCACACGTTGTCCTTCATGAACTCCAAGCGCTCCTCTTCCATATCTTGGCAGCTGTCGCAGAATGCCTTCCAGCTCATCTCCCACTTTCGGACATTGTCCTGCAGCGCCCTCGCAAAGTTGGCGAAATCGCGCTCATTTGCCTGGACCGTCTGCTGCACACGATCAAGCTTTTTCTGGATGTTCTCCAGATCTTTGCCTTGCATGAGAGTACTCTCGGCAGTGAGCGAGTTGATGCGCATACAGTCCGATTCGTACTTCTCCCGTGCTTTAGTAACGTAGGACTCTTGCGTCTGCTTATTCTTGAACTCTTTCTCGATCAGGGCCTGATAAGTCTTTTTGTGCTGCTGCTGTTTGCTGAGGAATGTGGTGGCCTGCCCTTCAAGGTCGTTCTTGATCTGCTGGGCGACCATAAGATGAAATCCGGATTGCTTCTCTGTCTCAAGACGCAACGTGTCCAGCGACGTACGTAAGTCCCTGAAAATAGACTTAGCAAGCTGCAGACATTCGTTTGAATGGCATATACCCTATCTCATCCCGACCTAATGTGAACTTGGCCAACCCAGCCAACCGCTTCGCGTACTGTTCTTCGATCAGAGCCCTTCAAACGCACGCGTCAGCTAGTCAGTACGATGCACAACCAATGCTATCCACCTCTCCTTCCAAAAGTTCCGCAACTCCTCCATAGTCCGCGTGGCACCCCGCATACGTGCGAACAGCACATCGACACCGCCATCACCAGTACCCCAGAACGCATTACAAAAGTCAAGCGATTTGTCTCCAAGCTCAGGCGAAACCGCCCGTGCAAACTGCGCAAGAGAAGTAGTCGACGCCTGGCGTCGGGCTGTCATCGTGATGGTGGACAGGCAGGCGGAGGGCCGCGGAGAGCAGGCGTGTGTGGTGAGTAGTGGTTCGGACTGCAGCGAACGGGCGCGTCTGGCATTTCAGGCTCCGACATCCGGTTTGAGAGCGTGGGAGCTTCGAGCCACACGCATCATCGGCGCGGCGGCAGTTTCATTGAGTGCGACGCTGGCGGCGATGTGAGACCTGAATAAGGCAAATTGGTTTGATGGCGCATGAGACATGCCTGGCGGTGAGAAGAACAGAGCGCCGTCTCCCAATCGAAGAGGGCGGCCCGCGGATTTTGATGCAAACTGGCATGCAAGTTGCACAAAATCAAGCGAGATCGCTGAGGATGTGGGAGGAAAAAGAACATAGACCTCATTGCCTGACGAAGCTCTTATATACTGCATCAGCAGAAGCAGCGGCGGGGTCTGAATGGGAAGACTCAAGCACTGTTACTGAATCTGGTAAATGATATTCCCGATATAGAAGGTTCAAAGGACGAACGCGGGCGCCTAACGTCCGTCGTCCAGAATTATGACGCAAGAGCGCTCCGGGGAGAAAACGCTTCGGCGGGATGTAGCCACATTTGCCCCGACTTCGCCGGAACAATCTATGTGCACGTTATTAGTGGAGAGATTAGCACAGTACTGACAACGATTTCGGGTGGAACTTGACCATGATATAGATGTTGAAATTCCAAATCAAAAGACGTATGTACATCATGGACGGGAGACAGACACATGCGGGAACGACGGTGTGAAGTAAAATTAGCAAGGTCAAATGCAGCACCGAAAGACAGCTCTGAGCATCACGGCACTGTCACTGCACTCCTCCGACGTCTCATGACGGTCATGCGATATCAAAGGTACATCAATCTATCTGTTTGTGACCGTACTGCATCTCGGAGTTATCAGCTTGGAAGATGAGCAACTTAGTGCGGCGTAACGGCCCTTGTCTTAATCCGCTAACTTTGCCTGACCTTTCACATGACTACGACGTCCAGTACCTCGTGCTCCCGCCATAATCACTGCCACGAACGCCATCGCACGATGAGAGGCCGGGTAAAGATGTTCAAAGACCAATCAACTCCATCAACATGACCTTCCAACACGATTCAGAGCCTTACAGGCACCTCGCGCGATCGAACCTTGAGCGCTTCTGATCAGATGCACTATTGAGGCCAGGAACCCGACCACCTCGGACCGCTTGCTCTTCGCGCCCACCCATAGCCACCGCCTTCCTCGAATCCACGCACACCCACCGCTGCGCTCACCCGGCAGCGCCTACACATCCCGCCTCCGAAACGACACGGAACGCGCCTAAATCTGCTTGCCATGCAGTGCAAGGGGTCCTCTCGCTAGTCGCATTAGCATAATCACGCGCTTCGGGATGCTAAACGATCCAGGCGTTTGATCACAGTCCACGCTATATAACATGGCCTCCATCGCTGTCTGTCTTGTGCTCGCATCTGCTCCCCCCGACCATCTCTCACCCTCCGCCACCATCCTCGTGCGTGACCTTTGCAGTGCGTCAGTCTTAAAATCAAATCGCCCACACCCCGCACCTCCTGTACACGATGCGCGCATTCAACATCATCGAGCACCCCACCTTCGAGACGACCTCCTCGCGCAGGGACTACTTCACCCTCTTTGGCATGGCGAGCGTCGTCGCCGCGCTGGCCACAACCGCCGTCACGTTGCGCGTAAAGGGCATCCCCCTCTCCTCTCTTGTTGACGCGTACGTCCGTGGAAGCCCTCCCTCACCGTTTCCCTGCTTGTCACTCACGGAAATGGTCATCCGCTAGATTTGTACACGTCCATCCATGAGCAGCATCTGCTTCTGGCTGGGATACGCGCCGCAATGATCACAAGCTAGCTCAGCTGACAGGTGAGCATTCTACACGACATGTCAAGTGATGCTAGGGTCCCTGATGGATATTTGAAGAACCACATATCACGACGACTACGCATTCTCAGCCTCCAATTAGAGCTCACCATGCAAGGCCATAACGCCGACCTCCCTCACACGTCCCCCTTCTACAACTCCCGTTATCGTCTGCGCGCCCTCCTTCTGAGAACCTTCACTCCTCCCCGGCACACGTCCTGTACCATAACTCTCTCGGATCACCTGTCTTTGTAGAATTAGTGATGACATATACTGTACTGCAGTAATCTTACATCGAGTTTTCATACATCATTCCCGGCATAGTCTCGCTAGCACTCGCTCGCGGAGCGAATTAGGTACAGCACTGCAGCGTGTCACCGCCCATCAGGGACCTTTCGCCGCGGGGAATGCGAGCAGTACGACCATGAACATCAACACACCTAGTATGTCAACTGGACATGGCTTTACAGCGACGTGAGACACAATCGCATCAGAATTCTTCCAACCTATACACATCATATGCAACCTCCTCATACGGATGTACCTACCCATCCCCTCCCATCAGCCAACGACCACCCCAAACCATGTACCACATACCTTCTTCAACTCCTCCAACACCCGCTTCACATCCGAGTCCCCCGGCCCACTCGCGTCCGACTGCACGACCACCTCCACCCTATCCTCCTCAACACGCTCCGGCGCACCCACCGAGCCTATCGTCGGGTTCGCGCCCTCCAGCGGTATAAACTGGCCTGCAACAAACACCACCGAAGACATCGACATCAATCAGCCCTGCGCCACTTAGGCTTCAGCCACAGCCAAAACAATGTGATGCCCCACCGGTGCCTCGGGTGACGAACGCGCACCCGCCGTACGCGCCGATCTTCCCGACGTTTCGCGGGAACTGCTCGAAGAGATGGTGGAGGATGGGCTGCGTGTTGGCGATGGGGGAGAAGAAGACGAGCTTGAACCGCGGCATCTTGGTTTCTGGAAAAGGCTCTAAAAGTGGCTCCGCCGCCCGGGTTATCTGCGCTCGGAAATGATGTTGCATATTATATGTTATGTCAAGCTTATCTGCTTGCTGATCTTCATCCTCTTTTAATTCTGCGGGATGAAGAGCATTTATCACGGTACACTGTCCGACAATCAATGCACGCGTCCAACATGCAAACAGACCCTTTGCATGAATGCTTGAAACAACCCTTCGCACACACAAGAAGACGCTTCCTACTAGGCCTACCGCATGCCCTCCATCGTTCAACGTTCAGCTCCAATACTTCTCCGCATACAGCCCCAGCACCGCGTCCGCGAGCAGCGGCGAATACGTAAACACGTCCTCCTCTGTGTACGTCTGCTCGCTCTGCAGCCCATTGATGATCTCCAACACGTCGCTCTCAATAAAGTCCACGAACACCAGATCGGTCAGCGTGTCGTTCGTCACGTCCGGTGCATCGGACGCGATGTAATCCGGAGAAGAGTAGTACGGCTGGCAGAAAAGCACGGTGAGGATCTACCCATGCACGGATAAGACTGAATGAAACTGAAACTGACCACGGGTGTGTGCGGCGTGTCGTCGCCCACACCAGGACACAGCTGGGTACGTATTCAGCGATTTAGTTCGATTATGAGGACGAGACGGGCGCACATCAGACGTGACATATCCCAGCGTCAAATTCTCCGCCGCCTCGCGCCTCTCCACACGCCTCCTGCTCATCTCCTCCAGCCACGCATTAAACCTCCCAGAGACGTCTCCCTTCGCATAGCGCTCCAACTCGCGCTCTATATGGAGCTCGCGCTTGCGCTTGTCGTCCGACCCGTAGTCATTCAGCGCGGGAAGCACGGCGTTCGCGACGCTAAAGGTGACGTTCGGGATGTACAGGAACGCGTCCGTGAACGGCGCAGACGTCAGTTGGTCGTTCTTGTCGAACGTGCCCGCGAGGATGTCGAAGCGCAGCTCCCCCGAGTTGACGATCATGATATTCGGGATCGAGATGCGCGTGTTGTTGATCGTGAGCGCGTACGGCATCACCTGGGATCGATCAGGGTTCAGCAACCTTGTGGTAGAGAGAAGAGGTGGGTCCGCACCTCAGAGACATAGAGCGTGAGCACGGAGCCGTTAGAGGGGTACGGGTCGCTGTGTGAAGTCAGCTCATACAATCCTCGGACCACAAGAATTGCTTAGCCGTACCGAGAGAGCGTGTAATCATGCGGTGCCGTGCCATAGAGAGTGCTCAGGTCATAATTCACCCACAGCTGCTCAAGACCTGCTGTAATGCTCTTGCCCGCAGCGGTATCATACGTCGTGTTGCTCCGACGGGTGTGGTACTGCAACGGAGGCCAGATGAGCGAGTGAATGGGTGAAGGCGAAACTAGACTCGCCTCATACGTGACTCGGTTCGCATCTAGGTACCGACGGGTGAACGTAATATTCTCTGTTTTGGGCACGTCGAGCTTCGCGCCTGGAGTGGTGCGACCATCGCATTCAATCACCTTCCCGCCACAACAGACAGAGGACTGGACTCACTCATCCAACCTACATTACCACATTAGTTCAGCTCAGCATGGCCCACGTAGAGAAATCAGCCAAGCACGCACCAACGGTCTCCATGTACCGCCCGCTCTCCAGCGCCATAGAGCGGCCGTCAAGCTGGACTGTCCAAGTAGTCACGAGTCCGTAGGTGAATCAGAGCACAAAACCGATGGCATACGCACTGCAGTCCCGGATATGCGTGTGCCCACCAAATATCAGGATGGGTGTCGTTGGATGCACTGCGCGTACGGCGTTGTACACGGTCGGCCCTGCACGAGATAAGCGTCAGGCTCCGGGCCCCTCTGCGGATGTCAAAAAGCGCACAGTTGTCGTAACGGACGGGCATATGCCTTTATAAGTAGCCGTCAGAGACTGGAAGCAGACATCGAGCATCTGTACGCACCCAAGTAACATGAAAAAGTCGGGTTCCTGGGCGATCGCCTCGGCAAACTATACTCGCCGTCGCGTCAGACGCGAAAAGAAATGCCGATCACGCTTGGCGCACCCATTCCTCCTTAACCATGTCCTCCACCTTCTGCACAGTGGTGTTCTCACTGTTGCCAGTGAAATCGTACAGCACGCCGAGCGACGTCACCGAGCGGCCTCTGCAGGACACATGCCATTAACTCGCATCTTCTTATACCAACTGACGCGCGCTCACTTTCGCGTCTTGAATTTAGTGTAGCGGTTCCCCAGTGGGACACTGATTGTGTTGTTCCCATCGCCATCGTAAATGGTGATATTCACGTTCGACGCGAGGTACCGCCCGTTCCAGTGGGGAGCAAAGTGCATGTACATGTCGTACGCGTTCGCATAGTCATACAGCTCGTGGCTGATAATGCGAGTCAGCGGAGGTCGGGTAACTGTGAGGATCTGCATGCACGTACTTGCCGATGGCGAGCGCGTCGTAGGGCAGCTCCAGGATGAAATTGTTCGTCTAGGACATTCAGTTGAGCTGGTGTAAGAGCGAAGGGAGAGCATACTTACCTCGTGTCCGTCGACCTGACCAGGCGGGAAGCCATCCGAGAGGCCGGTGCCTGAGCAGAGTTGGTCACATCACCACCAATCATACGTTGATGATATGAACGATGATCACCATCATGCAGATCACCCGTGTCAATCAGGAGAAGGTCGACGTCTTTCTCCTGCATGTCATCCGTCAGTACACAAGGCGCCTAAGGCGAGGCAAGCAAGTACGCACCAGCGCAATCTGCTTCATGTGCGTCACGAACGACGCGAAGTCTCCAAAGTCGCCGCTGCACACTGGAGTGTCAGACACTGCTAGCGACCAGCTAAACCTTACAGACCACACACCTGTAGTTCGGCTCGGGAAACGACAGGTGCTGATGGCCAAGCAGCCATCCGTGGCTGTCCGTCGTGTGAATGACGCTGCGATACAAGGCTCGTCAACGCGCTCGCGTGGCGAAGAGGCATATCACCCACTTGACATCCGACCATTCGAGCGGTCGGCTGGGAGGCGTCAGCGGCACCTGGGGATACAGCCGCTTCCCGTGCTCGTGCACATGGTCGTGCTCCTCGCCAGGGCACGCTAGCACCATCGCCGCCGTCATCAGGGACGTCAAGATCACGAACGCGCGCTGCATGTCGGCTGCGGGACCAGTGAGCAGGAGTTGCAAAGCCGGGCGTGTTGCCCGCTATTCGAGGATCTTATAAATCGACTTGGGAAGGCACCGATCCTTGACGGTAAGCGCGTTCCGCGTGGTCGCATGCTTGATATACTAGTGAGCGGCTCTGCTATCAGGGCGATGTGCAAGGCACATTGCCCGATCGTTCTTCTGCGACAGGTGGTCGAGTCCCCAGCCCGGCGTGCTATAGCCACCCGTCACGGCGGGTTAATTGAATGAACAAGGAACGTGCGACGCGCGCACTGCGCTGGGCAGATGCCTTTCGTCCTGAGCATTTAGGCGACGCACGTGGCCACCGATAACGCCGAGGAACGCCAGTTGTAGACGTGCGCAACCGGCACATGGGAGGCCAAACAGACTTCCTGTTCTGCTTATCGAGCCACATATGGGCACGGAGGAACACAGTGTGCAACACTGCGTCAGCCTGGGAGAACTCCCACCCGAGAAGATGGTCCGGGATACCGCAATACAGTTGAGGCCGCTTCCGCGGAAGAAAGCAGCGCAGCAAGGTCTTTCAGTTTCAAAAAGGATCGCGAATCACTAGCGTGATGGTTGTGAGCAACGAATTGTATGCACAGTACACAAGTGCTCCTGCGACCATATCGTCTGAGCAACGGCAAAGTTGTAAGGTTTAGCATACCAGGAGCCAGGATCGAGAGCAGAAACGAACCTCGGACGTATATTTGCGAATCACGACTCAGTTCAAACGTCTTCACTTGCGACAGAGCTGCATGTTAAAATCTCGAGATGTTTGGGCAGTTCAGAAAAAGTGTTGGATAGACGCCCGGGAGTGCGGCCACTGCGACTCCGGACTGGCGCTTCACTTGAGAATACCATCATTACCCGTCCGGCAACTCACTCACACTGAGTCACACATAAAACGAAGCGCGAACGAGACGTTAACCTGTCACAAGTACCGAGAGGTGTCTACATGTTTCGTCCAGTCCTGTGCCGCAATTCGCGATGTCAAAGATGTCGCTAGCCAAGCTTACAAAAAAGCCAACGCATTAGACGAAATCGCAGGTATGCACTACGCCAGCGATCTTGTTCCGAGGGGAGGGGGGGAGTTCGTCGTATTGCTAGTAGCCTTCGATCTAATATACATTGTGAACATGGACCAAATCGCAATAATCGTTTGAATCTCGCTTGTTGCATTTGCCTTCTTCCAGTGGCATTATCTGAACAACGCTTCTTACGCATGACGTTCTTGTTCCGCCACCGTCGAAAAGAGATCAAGCCAACTCATGACCGTCTCAGTGCTGCGCTCCTTTGCCCACTCTGCATGACAGCATCAGCCCAGGCAAAATACATCACAGAGGTGGTGACGGAAAGACTCACTGGCCACGGGATCGTTCACGTTGCCTTGCGTCGCAAACCCGTGCTTCACGCCGCAGAACACCTGGATATGGTAGGCAGCCTTGATCTCAAGTAAAATGTCTTCAGCTCTTCGGCGTTTCTCAAGCGAGAAGGTGAAGTCGTCCTCTACGTGAGGTTTCCCTTGGATGTCAGCATGATTATAATCAGAGTACTGGGCCTCGGTACCTGCGCACGAGAGCAAGAGAGGTTCTGCCATGATCATCTTGCGTCAAACCGGGAAATTACGAATTTATGGACAACGTACTCTTCAGGTTATAAAAGTGGCTTTCTTCGAGCAATCCGGGATGAGCGAAGGCGCCTGATATATGAAGATGAATCGAAAGGCTGTGCACGGAACAGTATCGTTCACATTACCAGCTGTGATCCAGTCGTTTGCGAGGCAATCCATTACAAAAGGAGCACCGAAGCAGTATCCTGTCGAGGCAATAGGTGTGACATTATCTTGCTTCCATGCGTCGCACGGGCAAATGAGGTCCAGCAGTCTCAAGTACATTCTAGGCCGAGACGTCCAAGCCAAGGAAAATAGCAACAGAAATATGCCACTCACCACCGACATCGAAGAAGAATCATCCTCACTAGAGGACCGCCGAATCACACGTTGGACCTATTGAAGGAATTGACAATCGCTCTGCAGAGGCAACCGTCCTTCGAGTCGGAAAGTAAAGCTGAGACATTAGCCGATAGTTCACGAGAGAGATACTTAGGGCATATATTTTCGAAGGCCATGTAATTGGGGTTGCGAAATCAGTTCCTTCTCCCATGCGTGGTATCAGACAGTGTCATCATAAAGGGAACAGACGATACACGGGGTAATATACAAGGTCACCCGGTCGCAACTTCACAACTGCCCTATTCGCTGCTGCATCTTCTCTTTCACGGTCATGTACGCCTGCATGATTGTCTGCTCGTTGATGACGATTTCTGTCGTGTCCGCCTTTGGTCGACTGACCCGCGATGCAATCGCTGCTGGGTCGGTTTCGAGGATGATTCTGTAGGCAGTGAGAAGTGGACATGTAAGATCATCACACGTTCATTCATCAAGTTACACCTCGTACCCGTCATCGATCGTTTCGTCCAAGCATAGTAGCACGAGGTCGAGATTCTCCAAGACGGCTCGCTTCTCGACTTGGTTCCGCAAGAGCATGTGAACTGCATCGGAGAACGCGACCAACGCAGAGTACAGCATGAGCTCGTTCTCAGCGGGGTCGCCAATGAGATAGAAGATCAGGTCTAGCGAGTGCCTGTACACTGCTAGCTGCCCGTCGTATAGGATGATGTCTCCTGTTCTTCACCAGAACACGCATATATCGACCGGCAGATGAAGGGTGAAGAGAGTGTGCGTGAATGAGGTGCGCCTGGGTTATATGATATGATGCGAGCGCACGAACCTCCCGCCTTCTTTGTTTTCTGGTACAGTCCCTTCTCGAATGCGCGTTGTTCCTTCACCATGCGGAACTTCTGCGACTCGCCATTAGGATGACTCTTTGGATGGTAGTACTTGGCTAGGACGCGGTGACCGTCGGTGTCGATGATGAGGAACGCAGAGACAGTGTACAAGGACAGGTTCATGGCGATAGCTATTTCAACGCGGATGCGATGTCAGGCAAGAGGGAAAGGAGATGTGCTCGAACGCGACGTGTTGAAAAGTGGTCGTGGCTTAACCCAAGTCTAATCAAAGTGGTTACGTTGAATAATATATTAGGCGCCCAGTTCTTTGATGGACCGCATCACACATTTTCTCGCTTCCGATTCATTTCTCGCAGTACTCATTCCCCTCTTGCTCTCTATACTCGGCCTCCAGCTTGTTGGCACGCCCTCAGTCTCCGACCTGCACAGTCTTCTTAATCGCATTCTACGTGGTGCACGAGGTGCACGCACGCCGTCGCATTTCTCCGTTGAGCGCGCAGTACGCTCCTACGAACAGTATGCCGAGCTTTCTGGCAACGAGCTTGCACGCATGCGCGCATCCTATGCGAAACTGGGACGCGCGCACAAACGCATAGGGTACGAGCTCGCGTATCCACGGAAGCTTGATCGGCTGCAGGAGGCCATCTGCACGAACGCGTTGGTCGCGGAGGGCATTGTGCGGCTTGCGCGAGAGCAATTTCGAGAGAGGCTGCAGGAGGTAAACGATATCTCGGGAGATCTGGTGAGAGTCAGGGAGTCACTGAGGCACTTTGTACGCGATTGGAGCAACGAGGGGAAAGACGAGCGAGAAAAGATCTTTGGTCCAATCCTGGACGTGCTGCGGGAGGTGGACGAGGAGGCGCGTAGAACGATGAGCGTGCTCGTCCCTGGCTCAGGTTTGGGCAGACTTGCTTGGGAAATTTCCCAGTTGGGTACGTCGTCAATTATATCAAGTCAGCTTCTCAATGTGCAAGATAGCCTGCCTGCCAGTTCAGCAATACCAAACATTCTAGTCTCCCAATCTATTGCTCGGCACCAAATAATGTTGGCTCTTTGACGCATACCTATCATCGATTGCATTCTGTCATGTTCTGTTCGTCAAGTATCGCTGACCTTCGACTAGGCTTTCATACCACGGCGAACGAGCTGTCTTTTTTCATGAACCTCGCATTCCGCTTCCTTTTGTCCGATCACACAACCCAGCACGTCAATCAACACACCTTGCAGCCCTACGCGAGCTGGTTCTCGCATCAACGCACGACAGACAGTGTGTTTCGAGCCATCGCATTCCCCGACGTCGTTCCGCGCCTCAGCCCTTCACTTCAACTCGCTGAGCAGGACTTTCTCTCCCTTCGAATGCCGCCACATCCTTCCACGAAACAAATTGCAGGCTACGACTTCATTGTGACCCTCTTTTTCATCGACACCTCCCTAAATGTGCTCGAGACGATTGAGCATGTACACGAGCTTCTGAGGCCTGGAGGGACGTGGATCAATCTCGGACCATTGCTCTGGACGGGCGGCGGGCAGGCAGCAGTAGAACTGAGTTTGGAGGAGGTCATGGCTCTGGTGGCAATGACAGGTTTCCGAGTTGAGAAGGAGGGCGCGGGGAGAAGGAGGTCGGTCGAGTGCGAATATACGGCGGATAGGAGGGCGATGATGAGATGGTTATACCAGGCTGAGTTTTGGGCTGCCACAAAGATTTAATGTATAAGGCAGTGGGTGGTTAAGACCATGCAATCAATTTGTATCGTTTATCGCAGGATCACATCAAGAGAGAACACCGTGACGGTGCTGAGGCAGCGTCCCACTGCGATTACACTAGATGTATCACTCTGATATCGCGCGCAAGGAAAGCTTACTCTGGGACAAGATTCTGCAACGCTGACCATAAGCTGCCCCTAATTCTGTTTATTCAGGCGTCAATACTCACTGGGCCCTCAGTTGTCCGGACTCCGTAAGTCCCTTCATCTTGCCGGCGCCGCAGGGGCGCCTCGTACTAGTATCCAGTAATGGCATCGACGTCTTTTTTTTTGAGTACAATTTATATCCCGCCCCGAAGGGGCGGTCGGAGGTGTGTAAATACATACACCCCAGATATGGAGCTCTTTTTCGATGTGTAATATGTGGGGAAAATGTGAACTAGTATTTTGATAATGGGTCGGTTCTTTGCGAAAATGACATAGCAGTTTACATATTAGGCATCTGCAATTGGAAATGAAACTGCGGCATATACCAAACCATATTCTTGAGGCTATATTGTATTCATTTTTGTAGACTTTGCGAATACAATATGTTCGCATTATTTTTTGATGTTACAGATGGTAAAAATGCGACGGAGAAGTAAATCGTCACAGATTCGATGTTATGCATCTAAAAATATCTTACGTAAAAACCAAAGGGTGGCACATTCTAAATTATTCATTGCATCTGCGATGAGGAGGTACAAAACAAATTTCATCATACAGGTGGCTACATTGAGGATTTCATTAACCGTCAAACGGATCCTATAGGTGACGACAATCAGACTGGGACGTAATTCTGTTAGTGGTCACGAAGGGCGTACTAGGTGAGGTATCTCGTTATCGCTCGTGCATCCTACTCTGGACCGCTCGACTTTCGTCAAAGAAGCTAGCCATTGCGGGTCGTAGTAAGACTTTGGTAGGCCGCGAACGCATAGCCGGCTCGACTTCGGAGACTTGGACGAGAGCTCCTGAATGCGAGGCAGAGCTCGATTCCCTCTCGACTGCAGAGCTCCGGACATGGTCTGGTAACTATCGATAGCCGACAACAAAGCATCGATGTCTTCATGACGCCACAGCAAGCGCGCTCTGTGAACGACTTTGTGGCGACTGCTAGCTTCTTCGTCCGTGTGATCTGAGCTCATCCCGGCAACCTCAAGCTTCTCTAAGACATCCTCGACGGCGCTCCATAAAGTCGGTGAGCTACGCTTGTTCGTGTTGACGACCTGGGCACGTCTCATGAATATCTACGGAATGCTAGGTCAATAGAGTGGTTCACAATGCAGATTTAAAACTCACGCCCTGGCGACGCATATTGCGACGCAGCGCTGCCGCATCATTGACTTTTCTTTTCTTCCACTCATCAGAACCTGCATGACGGACTTGTGCATGCACGCGCCTCAATTTCGCGGTGCAAGAGCGCATTAAAATTGTCTCTGTCATGGCTTCAGGATCGAAGAGCAAAGGAAATTCTAAGCCCGACTTGATTCGATTGAGGAATTCTCGGGAGAGGAGCAGGATCAACTCTCTGTTCCACTGAGAACTTAACTCACTGGTCCAATCGACGAGCAGCATTGCAATGTCAGGTCCATCCCCAGTTCCATCAATGAAGGCTTCGACCACAGAGGGCGATGCACCAACTGGCAAACCACCATCGATGGGTAGAACACCCTTACTCCGAAGATACTGTCTGAATCGTGCCTGTTGAACGAGTCAAAGTGCGGTGACAGCCATGGCCATGTAATGGGAAAACTCACATTGAGGGTGTTGTTATCCCGCGGACCTCTCTGACTTTTCGTCCGTTTGGTAAGAGTTTTGCGTTCATTGGCGTCTCCAAAATATTCGTCCTCATCAAGCTCCATCCGCACAGATTTCCCAGTGACGTTGCGACATTTGCTGACAACACCACCAGGCCTGTTGTTGGACTTTTGTGCATCTACCGCCTTCAGTGCTCTCTGTACTCCTTCCTTGATACCATTTGCCACAGCAAGAGACATTGCTTGCATCAGTTTCGCTAGATCGGTTTCTTCGATAGCAGGTCCCGACATGCCAAAGTCAGGAGCACTTGAGGAGGGGCCAAGCGTAGAGCCTACTGCAGCTGATGGAACGTTATCTGGTGGTGGTCGCGACACCAGTGGAACATGGGGAAGTGATTGTGCAGTTGTTCCGTCCATAGGACGTTGGACGTTTTGGATGCCTGGGTGATTATTAAACTGAAACACAACTTCGGGCGAGGAATCGTCAATCGCGGCGCCATTTTGAACACCGAAAGACCCATATTGTAACTCCATAATGGCGAGATCACTTTCATACTACAAAAACCAATCAGTCAAGCATGAAACGAGATGCAGATGATATGCTCACTTCTTCAGTTACGACATCATGCCTTGTATGCGATTGCGATGCGTTGACGAATCTGCCTGCATACAAAGCCGGCTGATGTCGCATACCACCGTTGTTCTGGAAGTCAGTCATTTCGGAAACGAAGCTGAAGGAACGCTTATAGAGCAATAAGCCGGTAACCTTTGACGTGGGCAGCACTTCGCACGCACTGTTTGGCCACCGCTCGTTAAATTAGGAGCAATGTACTCTTCATGAGACAATATGGCTCCGCGCACTTCTCGCTCCTCATTGCTGGAGAGTTCTTCCGAGAGCTTTGAACGAATAAGCATCGCATGTAGCCAGTAACGCCATCAATTACTCACTTGTCCTTGGGGTGGTTCGCCGTCTGCCATGTCCAGTGACTCTCGATACATTTCATGCTATGATGCCTAGTCAGGTTGAGGATCTTGAACTAAATTCCACAGAACACTAACAGTTATATTGACCCAAGAATTATTGATCACATTTGTGGGAGTTATGTCTATTTGTTGAGGAGCAACCTGAACCTTCGTCAGAAAAAGAGGAGTTGGTGAAACATAGAGCCGACCGTGGTGTGCCAGCCATTCAGAACGGCAGACATGACGCGCTTTGTTCTGGCATCATTCTCCAAGGACCAACTGGATCACCTGGCACTTGTGAGCAGAGCTGTACATATATACCGCGGACAACAAGCGGAGACACAAGCGAAAACATGGCACCTCACTACCGTGCACAAGTTCCACCAGCCTGACGCGTACGAGCGTTGCGTTGCTTGACGGACGAGCTGACGGAGACAATGACAACACCGCTCGGAAGCAATCCTGGGCCAAATGGGGGACAATAGACATTACTCGGTAAAGCAGCGAGGGAGATGAATGCACCACCGGTATAGACAGATAACGAATCACCTTCGCGCGTGACATTAAGGCGTCAAAGGTGAGCCGCGGGGCTGCGCGCGTGAACAATCAGCGTCGAGGATGCGAGGATAGCGGTCAGCCTACCTCGTGATGAGCGGAGATGAGGAGCCGCTACTCTGAACCATCGGAGATGCAAGTGAGGGACAATTGGCATAGATAGTGATGCGTGTTGGCGATCCGGAAGGCTTGGAGGGCCGGGCTGTGGTGCTCAGTGTTCAAGTTGTTTTCGAGAAAGGATGGACGAACGTACTCGTGCCTGTAAACCCCCTCATGGCCGAGTGCGGTGAGTGCTGCTGTGTCGGGGCTAGCGAACTTCAGAGAGCAGAAGTGCAGGCACGACGAGTAGCCGGACCTGACGGCGGTGAAAACTGTGGGCGTGAACAATTAGTGTCGACGATGCGAGGATAGCGGTCAGCCTACCTCACGGCGAGTGTACGCAATGAGTGGAGACGAGGAGCTGCTACTCTGAATCACCGGAGATGCAAGTGAGGGACAATGGGTGTAGATAGCGATGCGTGTTGGCGATCCGGAAGGCTTGGAGGGCTGGGCTGCGGTGCTCAGTGTTCAAGTTGGTTTCGGAAAAGGATGGACGGACGTACTCGTGCCTGTAAACCCCCTCACAGCCGAGTGCGGCGAGCGCTGCTGTGTCGGGGCTAGTGAACTTCAGAGAGCAGAAGTGCAGGCACGACGAGTAGCTGGACCTGATGGCGGTGAAAACTGTGGACGTGAACAATTAGTGTCGACGATGTGAGGATAGCGGTCAGCCTACCTCATGGCGAGTGTACGCGATGAGCGGAGACGAGGAGCCGCTACTCTGAATCACCGGAGATGCAAGTGAGGGACAATGGGCATAGATAGTGATGTGTGTTGGCGATCCGAAAGGCTTGGAGGGCCGGGCTGCAGTGCTCAGTGTTCAAGTTGTTTTCGGGAAAGGATGGACGGACGTACTCATGCCTGTAAACCCCCTAATGGCTGACTTGTGCGGCGAGTCCTGGCTGTGTCAGGGCTCATGAGCATTGTATGGTGAGTGGCGTCAGTGATTGCAGTGCTCGCTGCCTTCTCGCTCGTTGGAGGGACGGCGGACGACGTCTGTGCGTCGTACGGCGTGTGGCTGTCTCCAGACGTTGATCATGCTCGCTGTCTCACTCGTTTGAGGGGCGGCGGGCGGAGGCGTCCGCTCGTCGTTATTCAACCATCTCAGTTATCCGATCTCAGTTATTCGACCATCTAATGCGGTTCCCTCAGCCTCCGCTTGCTGACATCGCATGTCCCAACCAACACCGACGACGCCAACGGCGCCGACGATGCGGTGAACTCAATGGACAGCCCGCCACCCACCTAAGTGGGCGGCGGCCACCACGAGCGCAGATGGGAGAGCGAAAAGAAGAAACATCACACATCGTGGGTATATTTGAACGGCAGAGTTTAGGGCAGGTGCACATTTGAGTGGCGTGAGAACTATCAGTGGCGTGGAAACAGCCTACCCGGAGTGGATGGCAGCGCCAGGCGATCACGCCACTGGGGGATTGAGTGGCGTGAGAACTACAGGTGGCGTGCGAACCATTGTCAGGCCGCTCGGCCTGGCGCTCGACAAATCCCCAGTGGCATGAAAAACGGCATTCACCTGGTGCCCATTCGCACGCCACCTGTAGTTCTCACGCCACTCAATCCCCCAGTGGCGTGATCGCCTGGCGCTGCCACCCACTCCAGGTAGGCTGTTTCCATGCCACTGATAGTTCTCACGCCACTCAAATGTGCATCTGCCCTAAACTCTGCCGTTCAAATATACCCACGACGCATGACATTTCTTCTTTTCGCTCTCCCATCTGCGCTCGTGGTGGCCGCCGCCCACTTAGGTGGGTGGCGGGCTGTCCATTGAGTTCACCGCATCATCGGCGCCGTTGGCGTCATCGGTGTCAGTTGGGACATGCGATGTCAGCAAGTGGAGGCTGAGGGAACCGCATTAGATGGTCGAATAACTGAGATCAGATAACTGAGATGGTTGAATAACGATGCGCAAACGCCTCCGCCCACCGCCCCTCAAACGAGCAAGACAGCGAGCACGATCAACGTCCGGAGACAGCCACACACCGTACGACGCGCAGATGTCGTTCGCCGTCCCTCCAATGAGCGAGAAGGCAGCGAGCACTGCAATCACTGACGCCACTCACCATACAATGCTCATGAGCCCCCACACAGCCAGGACTCGCTGCACAAGTCGGCCGTGAGAGGGTTTACAGGCATGAGTACGTCCGTCCATCCTTTCCCGAAAACAACTTGAACACTGAGCACCGCAGCCTGGCCCTCCAAGCCTTCCGGATTGCCAACACGCATCGCTATCTACGCCCATTGTCCCTCGCTTGCATCTCCGGTGATTCAGAGTAGCGGCTCCTCATCTCCGCTCATCGCGTACGCTCGCCGTGAGGTAGGCTGACCGCTATCCTCACATCGTCGACACTAATTGTTCACGCTCACAGTTTTCACTGCCGTCAGGTCCGGCTACTCATCGTGCCTGCACTTCTGCTCTCTGAAGTTCACTAGCCCCGACACAGCAGCGCTCGCTGCACTCAGCCGTGAGGGGGTTTACAGGCACGAGTACGTCCGTCCATCCTTTCCCGAAAACAACTTGAACACTGAGCACCGCAGCCCAGCCCTCCAAGCCTTCTGGATCACCAACACGCATCGCTATCTATGCCCATTGTCCCTCACTTGCATCTTCGGTGATTCAGAGTAGCGGCTCCTCGTCTCCGCTCATTGCGTACACTCGCCGTGAGGTAGGCTGACCGCTATCCTCGCATCGTCGACACTAATTGTTCACGCCCACAGTTTTCACTGCCATCAGGTCCGGCTACTCGTCGTGCCTGCACTTCTGCTCAGCCCTCTCTTATGTCTATTGTCCGTCGTTCCGTTCCATCCCATCGTCACAAGTCGCTTCATCTCGTAGCAAGGCTAGTGAAACTTTTTGCATGCAGCGTAGCTGTATTAGGACTTGGACTCGGACCATCTACCACCAGCTCTCTATCTTCATGGCACTATTTTCACGCGTATGTCTTGCTTTCTTGCCGCACCGGCACCGTGGAAAGGGAACTGTCTCGCGATATATAAATATGATTGCTCAAGGGACCTTAGCGGTCATCAACAGTTCACTGATTCGGGCGAGTTGCAGTCATGGGCACCGTGCTGAGTGTTCTGTTGCTCAGTGTTCTGTTCTGCTGTGCATCAAGGAAGCGCAAAGCCATCGATAGTCGCGATGCTGTCCCTGCAAAGAAAATGGTATGTTTATGAGCTCATTGTTCGGACTTATGCTCACATGCATTTAGCGAGTGGGTTTGGCCATGGAATTGACTGCGCCTGACGGTGATTTGACAGTTGAAGAGTTCTTCACAGCTGTAGGTACCATTGATCTATGCTGTTTGATACGTTCTCATTGTCCCTGCAGGAGTCATCTTCCGTTGCAGCCATCAAAACTGATCAAGATGCACCTTCTGTCGTAGGTGCCATCAGGTTGCACTGTTCGACTCATCCTGATTCCGTCCCGCAGTCACGTTCTGTCGCAGTGATCCAAACGGATCAAGATGCTCTATGCAGTGTTCCCAATGAGCTCGTCATCGCAATAGCTGAGTTGCTGCCCGACAGCGACGTCGTGCATATGAGCATCCTCTCTCGTCGTCTGCACTATATTGCAGTTCCTATATATCTTCGTCGACACGGCCTACGTATTTCTGGAGAAAACAAAGCTATCGTTCTCCTCAGAGAGGATGCTGTGGCGACTCTTTCTTTTTGGCGACATACACTGCTATTCCAATGCCCGCGGACAATCCGTGTCACCATTAACTCGGACAATTTGTCCGAGTACGTCCAGTTGGGCCACTTCTTCTCATCTCTAGAGCCTACTTCTCCGTTGCGGACCGTGAAGCTCGTCTTCAATGCATCTCCAGGTGGTCAGTTGATAAACTTGTTGAAAACGTTGCGACATGGCTGTGTTTCGGACATCACGCTATGGCATAGAAGTAACAAGATTTGCCGCCCCGCCTTACCATCCAAGCCCATTTCTTGCACGCAGATCTCCTCTTTCCTTCCCTGGAGACTTTTCAGCCTCAGGCGGCTGTGCTGTTCGATTCCTCTCTGTGTCAATGGACACTGACGATGATCAATTCGTCAACCATTGGCGAGTTAAGCCTGATTACGCCCGGTCTTGCATCCCCACCCTGGTCTCGCATTCTTGAGCGTCTCGTGATCCCTTCCCTCCATATCCTACGCATCGAGGGTGAACTTACTCAGATTGCCCTCGATCGATTCTTACGACGCCATGGCGGAATGCGGGAACTTCATATTGGGTACCATTCGGATTGTGGCGGTGCAGCCCGTCGACGATCTCCGCCTCCAGAGTTACCTCATTTGTGGGTCCTCGCAGCACCGCTCACGTATCTCCCCCGTTTATTGGGCGACGAGCGAATGAGGATCACTACCTTGGAGAGGTTGACCATCCTTCCTGATTTCGATTGCGACAATACCGCCGAGTTCGTTTGCAACTTCTCCAAAGTGCTCGTGCTCGTCTCTGAGCTTCAGGACCTATGGTGGCTCAATTGCACCTTGCCTCCTTTATTTGCAGCAGATGTTGATGAGACTGTGAGCAGTGGCTTTGGCCTTCAGATATTGGATGCTCTATTTCCTCAGATAAAGTGCATCGTTCTGGAACAAGCGTCAAGGGAGAACCGACAGGATTCGTTCAGTATGACACTCCTGGTAAGTTAGTTGCTGCGGTACCAGTATTGGCAGAGTCGGATCGCTGAAAGGGTTGCAATATAGGACTACCTACCCCGTTGGTTGCGGCAATTCCCTGCTCTGTCATCCCTGCAGCTGTGGGAGGACGCTGCCATTGACCGGACAGAGGAAATAGCACGCCTTTGCGCTGCATGTGCTACTCTATCCGATTTCTGGATGTATTCTGGTGGGAAGGATCTGAGCTGGAAGTTCACTTCGGCGGAGGCATCAGATGGTCCCCAGTGAACCAAAGTTAAGTCACCTTGTCTTGTTGAAGAGAGTTCCCCATCTCCTGTCGTCATATACTGTTGCCCGCCGATTTGAAATCTGTCATGAGATAGACGTGAGCAATCTTGACGTCGTTCCATCACGGTCAAGTAGCGTACAGATTTCGCATCGCATACGATGTACTGGTACCGTACTTCCTTTGGTCTTGGAATTTGCTATGAACTTGTTTACCTGTTAGATATTCTAAGATGCGCAACATCGATCAGCCATTCAATATCTGTGACGATTTAATTCTCCGTCACATTTTCAACATTCATAACATCAAAACATAATGGGAACATATTGTATTCGCAAAGTTTACAAAAATGAATACAATATAGCCCCAAGAATATGGTTTGGCATATGCCGCAGTTTCATTTCCAATTGCAGATGCCTAATATGTAAACTGTAATGTCATTTTTGCAAAGAATCGACCAATAATCAAAATACTAGTTCACATTTTTCTCACATATTACACATCGAAAAAGAGCTCCACGTCTGGGGTGATAACGTGTAACAATGGAGGACCAGACGCATCTGGGGACGAAGAAGCTTAACGTACGGACACCAGGTCCCCACGGACGCAACAGAGCAGGTGTATAGTAGAAGGGCATGAAGCCCGGTAAGCTGTGTCATGGACCACGCAAACGTCGACAACCTAACATATGCATATGCCCGACCAACACGAAAACCGTGCCGCGGCCAGTCCGTTGACTCATTAGGAACACTGTTTAGGGGGGATCGAACCTCCAAGATACTCCCACCTAACTAACCTCGTCACCCCTCTGAGGGGGGGAGTTGCCCAGTTGACTTTGAGGAGAGCTCGGCGGACCAGGGTTAGTGAACTGCACGACGGCGGACCGAAGGGCGAAAATGAGTTGGCAGCCAAAGAGATGTCAGGGCGGAGGGGGAGGAAACCAGAGGAAGTCGACAGTAGGAATGGGTGACGCGCGGCGAACCCTACCACGCAGCAGGCTGGATAAAAACTGATCCCCTGCATTTAAGTGTTGCTACGCTGGCATGCTAACCCCATATTCGGTGCGGGCATGCCTTGTGGTGACTGAGGGGAGCGGACGGGGGGCGCTAAAAATGAAAAGACAAGGAAAGGAACGTGGGGGGGAGGAAGGTCATGCCCGCCACTACATAGCGACATCAGAGTCACCAGCATTGGGCGGCACGGGGTGCTCGAGAGCAGTTGGTGGAGCGGGGCCAGCGTTCTGGAAGAGAGTGCATTTGGGGCATTGGTCGGAGTCAGCGTGGTGGAGGCCACGGCAGTTCACGCAGCGCGCATGAGCGCAGAAGTCTGAGGTGGCGCGATTCTCCTTTGCGCACATGGTGCACTGAGAGCGGTGCACCGATTCGAGGTGGCGGCCAGCACACACATGGCACCGGGGTGGCTTCGTGCATCCCGCAGCGAGATGACCGTATCCCCAGCACCTCGTACACTGTCAGAGGCACGGCTTATCACGCCAGCGCGACGTAGTGACGGGGGCACCGAAGGCGAAAAGGGGGGTCCGGAGGAGGGTAGTGAGAATGGAGCCATCCAGGTCCTCGAAACCAAGGACGACGGACGAGTGAGCACCGTCGATTTGCTCAGGTCGACGTGCCCAGCACGGAGGTTGGGTGAGGTGGAGGCGCGCAAGTGCGGGGTTTTTCACGAGCTCGTCCGACAAGGCCAGGGTTGAATGGACAGCGCCGCCTGGGGCTGCCCGTGTGCTGACGTTACCGAGGAGGACCCTGGACCACTTGACGTTCCTGGAGATGTGGTGATCCGGGTTGAGCCTGAGGGCATTACGGATGGTCGGGAGGTGTTCGTCGATGCGGCAGTAGGATGTGGTGGCGGGAAAGGCCAGGACGATGTTGCCAGAGGAGCTTGGGTAGGCTGCGAGTGCAGTCAGAACTGCAGCCAGTGCTGCATTCACATCGCTGACAAGTTGGACGGGGGGTGTCTGAAGAAGATGCGCCGGCGCAGGGCCAGCAAAACGAACCACGTACCGCAGGGGCTCCGGGGCGTGCTTGGGCCCAGGAGCCTTCGGGGGAGTGGGTGGGTTCAGGGTCGTCACGGGAGGAGCCGGACGAGAAGGGGCGGCTGCCGCCGCATACGAGCGCTTCTTGGGAGTGCCACGTACCTGAGGTTTGGACGGAGGGGGAGCCTTCACCTGTGATGGGGGGGCCGCCACAGTCGCCATTCGACTCTCCAAGGCATCGAGCCTGGCGTCGAGGGCAGAGCGAAGGTCCTGGAGGGCCGCCGTGAGGTCGGGTCCAGTGGTCGGAGGGGGGGATAGGACAGGGGTGGGTTCTGGTAGATGGGGTCATACTTGTCCACGACAGCTTTAAGACGCTGTTTATGGAGATCGTCAAGGTCAGTGTTGCGTTGGTGCATCCGCTCGGCATGGCCGATGACCAGAAACACTGCCTTATGAATCGCAAAGGTGGCATGTCAGGGAGCAGCTCAGAGGGTCCCTGAGCCTGCCATTGCCGTAAGGCCTGTCGGACAGCTAGCGTAAGTTTGGGGGTGTAGTCTGTGTGCACGAGTTCCGTTGACGAGGAGGACGAGCCCCCGGCGCTAGCGGAAGAAGATGGTGGTTGCGGTTCAAGATCCATGATGGCATCGACGTCGCGCAGCTCGAAACTCGGATACAAAACATCCTCTTCTTCGGCACCATCGACATTTCTTGACTCGATACCTGAACACAGTGTTTCCTCTTCTACAAGAATGTCTAAATGTCCCAGCGATGAGATACCGGCTGCACCGAATAAGATAAGGAAGACCCATGAAATGGACATCATGCAGAAAGCTGTAAATGCGGCGAAAGGCATGGAAATGTTGTTAGACCCTTTGAGAGGTATTTCTTGCCCTTGTAGATAGATTGCTGTCTACGGGCTGAGCAATTTTACATTAGAATTGCTTTCGGTGCTCGAAGGAGTAGGTCTACCAGCAGACAAAAAATGCCTCGTCGTGGTGGATTGGCATCTTGCTATAGGGACTATCGCACGGTTCACGGACTGGGACAATTATGACCGGTCCTTGCTCGATCGTCGCCTGGAGATACCGGAAAATGCACCAGAAGAGCACAGTGAGTGTGTCCTTATCTTTTTACGACTCGGCCTTGACCTAGCATAGGGAAAAGGCTGGAGGCATATAATAAAGATTATATTCGCTTCAGCGAGCTGCAGAAACGTGTCCTGGAGGACAAACTCCCCTCACCCTCTACGTTTGCCAAGGAGGCGATAGCAGACCCGAAGTTAGACGGGAAAGAGGTGCTGCTCATTCAGATGCCTGGTATGTTTCGACCCACTTGAACAAAGCAGAGAACTAATTCGGAGGCAGAACCACCTGTCCGGCCAGCACCAGCACAAGCCACTGCCGAAATTGAGGAGGCTAGAGATGTTCCTATGGAGTTTCCTGCAATTCAGCGCAAGCTCGCTGCATCATCGTCCATCTCACGGAGTTCTGATCTGATTTCAGGTCGCAATGAATACCTTTTGACAGTCAAAAAAGTCGGGAGCGTCTCCGTTAATATTCCCGCAGACATTGCGAAGATGCACAAACTCTTATTCGATGGCCGGGCTTTGACAGGTGACGGTCAATATGGCCTGCCTGTGGCGCTCTATCATCCGGCCTTGGCTGCTTTGCAACATCAATTCGAGACGCTTAATTTGCAAATCAAGCAGGTTCGGATCCTGAAAGTCGATGAAGGAGATTTACCTGATGGATTCATACGACTCGACAGCGAATTATTCAACGCATCCGCGAGGTATTTCACCAAATCGCGCGCCTTTTATCAGAAGGAATGGGATCGATGGACATCCGCAGTGAGACCATTTTGTGAATGCATTTTTGGATTGGACGACCTTGAGGAGCAGAAGGTCAGCGAGGATGCATAGGAACCGGAGACAGAGAAATTAGCGGATGCTGTCTGGAAGCTCTATCTCGTCCGAAGCTTAAGAATGAATACGGGGTGGGCGGCAATCCGACCCTTCAGAGCACTTACTGGTATGCGAAAAGCTTATCCGGCCTCAAGGTCCGCAGGTATTCTTCTCTGTGGGTTTCTTGCTCGCTGATGTAGCGGTCGGATAGGAGAAATTCAAAAACACCAAGTTCCCCTTTATTATTCTCGGCCTCCCGGGCACCGTGCTCGAAGTTTCCATAGCAGTATGCCTGGAGAAGATCCTTGTGGACAAAATCCTTCATTTCGAGATCCACGATGGTGACGACGACGACGAGATGATCACCAAGCTGGCCTTGATTGTTTCGGCACTGAGAGACTGTGCGTGCGAGCTTCGGATAGAATTTCACTGTCTCGAGCAAGCGACCGCTGGCGACGGCCCACCTGAAAACAAAACGTGGCACTTACCTTGTCCATCCGTCGCTCCTTCCGCGAACTTTTCGATGCCGGCGTTGAAGTTCAAATCGAAGCTAAGCCGAGAGAACAGGGCAATTGTATTGGAACGAGATGAACCGAACATTCGTCCGCTCTTCCTTGCCGACTACACGCCCGAAGGATCATCATCAGCGGTGGAGACAGTGGTCAAGTTTCCAGTCACGTACAACAAGACTGCGCATAAGATGCTGGCAGACAAAAACTACGCGCCGAAGCTATACGTTGGCGTACCCGTGATCGGTGGACGAGAAATGGTCATCATGGAGCGCGTGTATGGAAAGCGGATGTGCGACTATCCCCGAAACAGCCTTCCAAACAGCGTATTCAAGGACAGCGAAGGAGCTTTGCAGGTCTTGCATGATCTCAAGCTCGTGTTCAGTGATCTTCGCGATGTAAATGTTATGATCGTTGAAGGTGACGGCGAAGGCAAGACTAAAGTTAGGGCAACGCTCATTGACTTCGATTGGGTCGGTGAAGACGGGAGAGCCTCCTATTCAGCTCTGATAAACACGAAACTCGTTGGCACGGAGTATGACTCCGACGTCCGTGCATGCGGGTTCATGCGACAGAAGCACGACATCTCGGCTCTCGAGTTTTTCTGTAAGAAGTACCGTGTAAAAGGGATGGAGGAGGGCGAGAAAGCACCAGCATAAGTACGTTTCACGTCTGCTAAGCCTGGTTGCCATAATTCTGTCTTTTTTTGCCATCATACTTTACTCCCCATCTCGTTCGATAGCAAACCGCATGACGTGAACAGTATATAAATACATGCAACTTTTCCACCTCATCAGCTCTGGTTTATTGGCTCCACGAAGTCCAAGTTGGCTAATGCCTTGCACGACGATGAATGTGTCTGTGAACACACATTTGTCACCTGCCTTTGCTCGTTCGAAGAGCTCCGAACGTAAAACAATGTCCAGGGATCGGGGCATAGATCCGTAGGAATCTCTGGAAGATTCTCTTGAATGCGCACTTTCTGCCAATCTGTGAACTTCGAACTGTTGATCTGCAATTGCCACGCAACCTGATTACCACAGGTTGGGTTTGGACAGAGGCTCAGCTAAGGAGCCCGTAGTCAATACTGGTGCTGCTATGTACATTATATACACTCACCTCTGTGTACTTGAACTGTTGCTCGATATCGTTGACTATCCCTCCACAGACCTCGCAGATGAAGGTGCCATACAGAAGTTCTGGGCTTACTTCGCTCGCCCTGGTGACCGTTTCGCTGATGCGTACCGATTTTGTCTGCTCTGAGGTCGTATACCGGAGACTAGAGGGAGATGGTAAAATGTGACATTGAACTCACGCGACTGCAGGTTCACAGAGTCTGTGGCAGCCGCGGTCGGATTCAATTTGAGATATTCTGGCTCAAACTCCGCCACAAGGCTGTGGACTGCGCACCGGATGTAGGGGAGGAAGCGGTAGTATTGCTTCTGGATGGCATCAGCAAGGACGTCATCCTTGTGCAGCAGGTGTCCATAGTCAACATAGAGAGTTGTTAGCTCTTGTTCTCGCATTGTATGGATTTGTTCGATAGAGATCAGATCTCCTTCAGGTGCAGCAGGTAATCCACCATCTGATCGATGCAAGGGCGATCTCCTTAGTAAAGCTCAAGTATACAAGACGAACAGACCATAGTGCCACAACGAATCATGATGGCAGTCAGGCCCAGAGCATCGACTCACTTTCTCTCAAAGCTCTCCTGCACAGTCTCGCTGACTGCGTCAATTACAATTGGAATATTCTCATCGAGCTGCCCTCTGGCCGTCGATGTCCGTTGTAGGGTGTTGCGGGGGGGGGGGGGGGGGGGGGGGGGGGGGGGGGGGGGGGGGGGGGGGGGGGGGGGGGGGGGGGGAACGAGATGCGCAGTGGTCATGCACCCGCTTCTGACATTATTGTCCAGGGATGATGCAACGATACATTCCACCGTCATCTTCTTTACAGTAGTCACTGGCCGATACACCCAATATACCTGGCAGGACCTTTATTCGGCGCTGGGAGATATCACTGCGTGAAGCGCTAGATTACTCAATGCCAGGATTTTCACAGGATCCGCGGATCCTGAGGCCATTCTGTCGTGATCCTGAGCCAATCCTACCTGAGCCAGGATGAGCTCAGAGCTTCTAAGTTTCTGGCCTGTTTCAGGGCCATTCCAGCTGGATTATGAGTAGATTCTGTCCTTTCATGGTCTGCGGACCTGCCGCAGAAAAATACAGGCCTTTCGCACATACATTTACTATATATTACAGAAGAATTATTATTATTAATTAAATAGCTCCTTGCTTTACTCGCGGCGCGGTGCGCATACAGTCACTATATGCGTCATATAGCATTGAACGAAAATATATTCATTGAGATCTACAGGAACATCCGTAGCACTACCAAGAAAGAGAGACATATGTACCGAGAGCATGCCAGATACCATGGATGACTGAACAGCAAATGCAATGTGAACTACATATGTAAGGTTAGAGCATCAGAGACCAAAATGAATGCTAGGAATGCGCGACCCACCTTGCGAGTCGACTCTGCAATGCACACTCCGGGCGAGCGAGCCTTTTTACATTGGAGTGAAGTCAGTAAGGATCACATGATGAACCAATGCCTCACCTATGAGTCTCTAGGTCAGAAGCCCAGGCTCGTGTTCGTCATTCTCATGTTGGCCGCACCAACTCTATGCGTTCAGGTACAATGTCCTCAATGCACAGTGAAGTAAAGAGTCAAGTACTCACAGATAGTTACACCACAGTCTACTGCAGAGGCACAAAAATGCAGTTGTCTAAGTAAATGTCACGCTGGGGGGCGAGCATCGCCGGCAACACCGCAGACATGAAGCGATTTGCGCATGTGGCAAATGCTTAGCAAATGTCGACAGGTTTTTTGCCTTTGTGATCTCAATTTGCTACGGTTCC